CTGGCTAGTTCAGTCGGGAGAGCATGACACTCTAAATTTCAGGGTCGTTGGTTCGAGCTCCGTGTTGGGCGCAGAATCAACGTTTGATTTGTTGGGATTTAAATTGTCCATTTATGTAGGTGTGGTGGTCACTCTTTAAACTCACAAACACTACACAGTATCTACCAGAGCGCGTCATTGATAACCCTGACAAGACCCCGCCTGAGGGGTAGAGGCTGTGGAGTGTGTGCGTGATCCCCCAGGACCCTGCCTCTAGGCAGAAAGCGGGATAAACAAACACAGATCGGTTGGACTACCTGTGGCCAGAACCCCTCTTGAGGGGAGGGGGTTCTGAGGGATCTCAGAACTGTGATCCCTCAGAACCCCGCCCCTCCGTGGGGAATCGTGTAAAAGGCGGGCTCCTGAGAGCAGAGCTCAGTTCGCCTCAAGCCGAAGTCGAGGAGCCACCTGGAGACGAGACCCTGGACCCCAAGCCCCGACGTCCTTCTAAGGGCCGGGGCTCAGTGCTGTGCCAGAGGTCGAGAGGCTAGGACCCTGAGGTTCCCTCAGCCCGACGTCCTTCTGAGGGCCGGGTCTGGACGAGCCAGTGGTCAGAGACCCACCGGTGCCAGCGGTGGGTCAGCCTCCTTAGTTCCATCTAGCCGGAGGACTATAGGAGTAGGTCAGTGGCGAGGATAGATAGCCCGGAGGCTGTACCTCCACAGGTTGTGGGTCGAAGGGGCCGTTACCCCTTCACGCTAAATCCTATTGAATTGTTAAAGATATAAATTAAACGTGTTGCTTCCTACTACGACTCCGTCTCCATACACGACAAGTACATAGGTAAAGTAACCAGGCAATATATCAACTTACGAATTCCTTTTTACTTAAATTCATGTAGTTATTAAATATACGGTGGGTGACATCACTCACAATCACCCCAAGTTAGTCAGGTGTCACACACCACAGACGCCCGGCTAGCTCAGTCGGTAGCGCATGAGACTCTTAATCTCAGGGTCGTGGGTTCGAGCCCCACGTTGGGCGCAGATAAATTTTGTGATTTGCTTCGATAAAATTGTGCATTTCTGTGGACCAATTTAGCACGCATGATGAAAAAATCGAATTACCTTTCACTTATTGTCATGTTTTTTTTTTCTGAAATACACCGTGGGTCACTTGACTCACAATCACCCCAAGTTAGACTGGGGTCACTCACAAAAAATAGCCTGGCTAGTTCAGTCGGTCTAGCATGAGACTCTTAATCACGGGGTCGTTGGTTCGATGCTCCATGTTGGGCGCAGAATCAACGTGTGATTTGTTTTAATTTAAAATGTCCATTTATGTAGAGAATGTAACCAGGCAATATATAAACTTACGAATTTATTTTAACTTAAATTCATGTTTTTTTAAAATATACGGTGGGTGACAGGGTTCGAGCCCCACGTTGGGCGCATAATAATTTTGTGATTTACTTTGACGACAATTGTGCATTTCTGTGGACCAATTTAGCACTCATTATTAAAACAATCGAATTACCTTTTATTTATTGTCATGTTTTTATATTATTTACTGTGGGTCACTTGACTCACATTCACCCCAAGTTAGACAGGGGTCATTCATAACAGCAGCCCGGCTAGCTCAGTCGGTAGAGCATGAGACTCTTAATCTCAGGGTCGTGGGTTCGAGCCCCATGTTGGGCGCAGAATAATTTTGTGATTTGCTTTTAATTTAAAATAAAATAACCAGGCAATATATAAACTTACGAATTCCTTTTTTTATTCATGTTTTTATCAAATAAACGGTGGGTGACATGACTCACAATCACCCCAAGTTAGACAGGGATCACATAGCACAGAAGCCCGGCTAGCTCAGTCGGTGGAGCATGAGACTCTTAATCGTAGGTTCGTGGGTTCGATCCCCACGTTGGGCGCAGGTGAATTTTGTGATTTGCTTTGATGACAATTGTGCATTTTTATGGACCAATTTAACACGCATGATGAAAACAATCGAATTACCTTTTACTTATTGTCATGGTATTTTCTGAAATACACTGTGCGTCACTTGACTCACATTCACCCCAAGTTCGACTGGGGTCACTCACAACAGCAGCCTGGCTAGTTCAGTCGGTAGAGCATTAGACTCTTAATCTCAGGGTCGTTGGTTTGATGCTCCATGTTGGGCGGAGATACAACGTGTGATTTGTTTCGACTTAAATTGTTCATATATGTAGGTAAAGTAACCAGACAGTTTATAAACTTACAAATTCCTTTTTTCTTAAATTCATGTATTTTTGAAATATACGGTGGGTGACATGACTCACAATCACCCCAAGTTAGACAGGGGTCACACACTACAATCGCCCGGCTAGCTCAGTCGGTAGAGCATGAGACTCTTAATCTCAGGGTCGTGGGTTCGAGCCCCACGTTGGGCGCAGAATATTTTTGGCCACCTCAATGTGAAATTGTAGTTGTTTGTGAGCATCTACATCAGCAGCCATACGATAAGAAAATATCAGAAGTGCCGAGTGAGAGTAAGGGACTTCGACCACACCTCACCTGGAGGAGAGGCAATTTCACAGAGACACTCAAGCCTGAGTGCCAACCAGTCAACACGAATCGTTTCCTGTCCTATAGTTGACACACATTGTTGAAGTGGTTAGTATGCAAATAGTTATAGTGTGAATCGTTCATTGGATGCTACCCGGCTTTGCCCGGGACTTGGATTCACCACGCCTGGCCACCTTTGTCTCCCCAGTGGCGATGTTCACACACCACACCAGTTAATTGTTTGAGGCTGAGTGGACCTAGGGGAGGCCCAGGTCCGGTTCAAAGAATCGTCACCGGTGGGGGCCGTGAGCGGGAATCGAACCCGGGTTCGTAGCGCTAACTGCTACACTACAATGCGTTACGCTTCCACACAGACACATAGACAGCGCGCTAACCACTACACTACAATGCGTTACACTTCCACACGCGTGAGTCACATGACAGATTTGACGTCACAGCTCACTTGCCGTGCAAAAAAAATAAATGCATTATTGAGCTCCCCCCCCCCCAAAAAAAGTGTATTTTTATAATGTTTGCATGGTGTACAGTCTGGAAAGTACCCACATGGCAAATTTCAAGTTTGTTGCATGTCGGGAAGTACGCTAAACATTTTGAACAGACACACATAATCACAACTTTGCCTTTTTATATATATGGAGATAGGTTTAACAAATAATTGGTGTGAATTTATATGATTTGTTGGTTTTAATAATTATCTCTGCGTGAAATGTGATTCTTCATCGTTTAAATATGTACAGTACTTTTATTATTAATATATGCATTTGTAGGTTTCCTGAAGTATTTAATAAACATTCAAGTAACTACAGAACATTAAGTTCATTTTTATTCTGTTTCTGTACATAGTCTTTATCAATTATTAAATTGTTCATGCTGTATTAATCCAGCAATAATGCATTCTAAACCAAATAAATTGTTTGTAAGAAAAGTGTGTCATTATTTTTTGGCGGGATGGAGTTTGGAATAGGAATCGAAAATTCAAATCGATTCCACCTATTGATTATTATTTGTGAATGGAACATGGAATTGATTCCAAAAATGGTTGTCATCGGCCCATCCATCGGTCTTGGCAGAGAATCACGTGGCTAGGTTGGGGGCGTGGGAGCGGTGGGTGGGGCGGGGGGAGACGAGAGGAACTGGGGGGGGGGCATTGAGCCCGGGGGGGTGGGGGAGATAGGCGTCGTAGGGGGCGATAGGGCCCGGGGGGGCGGGGCGTGTATAGGGGCGGGGCGGGGCGTGTATAGGGACGGGGCGTGTATAGGGGCGGGGCGTGTATAGGGGCGGGGCGTGTATAGGGGCGGGGCGTGTATAGGGGCGGGGCGTGTATAGGGGCGGGGCGTGTATAGGGGCGGGGCGGGTTCCCGCACGGGATCGCGCTGACTTCTCGCGATACTCGGAGGGGTCAGAGAGAACAAGATGGCGCTGCTGTTCAGGTGGGTGAGGAGTAAGCGTCGGAACTTTCACTAAATAACAACAAGAACCGCAGCGCACAGCCAACACGAACATCGCGAGGTCTTACAGACACCACATTCAACAAATAGATATTTGTTACCATGGTAGTTGTGTCTCGCGTTCCGAAAGGTGACCACTATCGTGGAGACGGAGCGATTACATGGACTGTGGTGCAGGTGCCGATCGTTGACATCGCGGGTACCGTGAGGGTTACCGGCTTGAGGCTGTCTTCATCCAGCGGTAGATTGACCATGGCTGCTGATAATGATGGTGGCCGTTTGCGTTTCGGAGTGGGCACTCAGAGGTCGCACTGGAGGAGGGACACTGTAAGGGGAGTTCCGTAGGGGACGGGGCGAATGCGTAACAGCTATCGGGGTCTTGACATGGGGCAGGCGGCACCACCACCATCATCACCACCATCATCATCATCACCACCATCATCATCATCACCACCATCATCACCAAGACGCGCAGTAGCCAGGCTTGAGCCGTAGGGGCTCGTGGAAGGATGCGGCCATGAGGCGGCGTTGACCTTGTGGGTTGTGAGAGTCGCGGCAGGGCTGGGGGACTTGGTATGCGGACTCGGTACACTGCAGTGTGGGACCTTTTTTGGCAGTATTAAAGTATGAAAAAATAAGAATAGGTTTTGCCCTTTCTGGCAATGAAACGGGTTGTTAAGGTGTTCAAACACCAAATGGATAACCTTTTGCAAGGAATCATGTCTGCATTATCCACATGTACTTGTGGCGAACATGCAAACAAAAACCATGCTCTGATAATATTTTTTGCATTTTCTTCGAGGCTGATTGATCTACGTCAGAGACAGCAGACTTCTTTAGGACTCCCGTCTCACCACCAGTGTCAGACCAGAGAACAACGCCAAAAGCGACCAGTCACCATTTAGCCACACATGATAAAAAAAACATTCGCCTATTTTATTGCCAGAAAGGATAACCTCAATTCTTATTTTCTTTCCGAACGCGGTGTTTACACACTCCTCACAGTGGAAAGGTCCCTTTGTAACCCATTGAGACCAAACGCGCTTGCACGGAAGGTGGCCCAAGCATTTGAGGTGGGGGAGCCTTAAAAGGTGGTCGACTTAAATGGCCAATACAAAATGAGCTGTGGTACATCAATTTCACGTGAGTTGATTTTCACAGACACGCATTGCACGTTTAATTGGCCGTGTAAACTAAATCGCGACCGCTAAAAGGGTTGGTACTACACCACGACTCACGGGCTAAGAGAGGAGGGACATCGTCTCGTGCCCTTTGGCGGGCACAATGTGGTATGGTGCCGAAATGTGTCCAATTTGTGTGGTATCTGCACCACCCTCAGCTCCCCCGTGGTCCCACGATAATTCAATCGAAGAGTGCTTTGAATGAGGCTGCTTTTTTAATCCAAGGCCAGACGATGGGGTATGTAGAACTTGCCATGAACATAACGCATTTGAAGGTATTATAGTAAGCATGACCTCCGTAATAGTGCACTTTTTATAAGGTTTTTTTTACTATTAAAATACTGTAATCTAAACTTAAATTGGGGAGTGCACATAGCTTAAAAATTTGATTAGAAAAAAGATGTTTTTTTTTTCAAATAAAAGTGACAACGTTTACATTTGGGTAGGAACACAAAGTACAATAGACAACACGAAGAGCAAACACTAATTCAGTGCGTACACTGTTTCGTATGAGAGCCGTCAAACTCGTCACGTTACGAGAACATAAGCTTCCTGTATTGCATGACCCTGACAGTGGACGCGAACTGGAGCACGGGAGAGGTCATCTGGGGACAAAATGCGTACACAATAATTGGTTGGGCAAGCCGAGCACGACAGTCCGTTTGGAAGGCTGCCTTTTAAAGCTCATAACCCAGCGGTCGTAATTAGAAGCTTTTCACGTCAGTCTGCAACAGTAGTTCTGTAATTGCAGTCACGCTTTGTAGTAATTGAGACATTAAAAGCCAGTTGGCTCAGGTAGAGCAAGCGGCTCCTTAATCGGGAGGTTATACGTACAAGTTTGTTATTTTAACACTTTATTTATGTCAATGTCATTTTACATTGAAATAAAATTGCCAAATATTCGTCATATTTGAAAAAAACATGTTCATTATCCTTACACAGTATTTGTTTGTCCTTAATCTTCGGGGTTATTGCATTTTCACAAAAATACGCTATCGGGTAAAAACGACTCCCAACCCATAAAGAACCTTGTATTTGTTTAGGACCGTGATGTCATGTGAACACCTTTAATTATTTCTTGAGATCCAGTTGTTGATTAATTAAAAGTGACAATAAGACCAGTGACCACAATTACATCAGGTAGTTTGTTTTACTCCTTGTTGCCCATGTGGTTTGAGCGGTCTTTAAATTTTTGCATGGCTCACTGGTGGCCACTGTTGAGGCATGTTGCCTAATCACATACCTGTGCACTGAGCACCATGCACTAAGTAAGGCGCCTTTCTTGCTTAGACCATGTATTGAACTTACATTTAAATAACAACAACATGGATATGATTATGAAGTACTCTGGTTTTAAACGTGGTTTCCGTATATTCTCTTACAGACTTGCAGGGCGCCATTGCGCGCGCAAACAGCTGTCGGCGTTTCCTCTACAACCATGGTACGCACAATTTTGCATGAATCATTAAGCCACTTGAGTAGTAGTCAATGGTCTTGTTAATGTACGACTTTGTTTCAACTAAACAGCTGCAAATTATTCCCTTTGTTATCCTCGAGATCATAATCTTCATCAATATCAATGTCACGTTTAGTGTATTGGCCTGTGAACAAATCACCTGCAATGCACCCGATACTCTTCACATTTTGGAAGCTAAGCTGGCATTAATCTGAACAATTCTTGTATGGGCGACCACCATCGTTGTAGGTGGTGTAGGCTGCAGGGTTGTGCGATGTGTTGTGGGTGATAGAGGGTATTTACAGCAAAATCATCCACCGATGTACTGTACTTATGTGCACCAACTTAATGTTCTCCCACCTTCAGCCTGCATTGACCAACATGGTAAAGTATTGTAAAAAAACAATATGACCCACATGGTGTGGGGCATTCTTTATTTAGCAGTTGATTGCCCAAGGGCTGTACATGTTACCATACATTCAACACCCTTGAAGTCTTAATAAACATCTTCACTCATGTAATAATCAACGTTGCTCTGGAGTAGACTTTTGCTCAAAGCCAACCTCAATGCAGCAGAGTACAATTTAATATGTATAAAATATTGCAATTTTTAAAAATAATGTTTCTTGTACTTTGTAGAACTTAATGCTGAACTCCACAAATAAAGTGTGATAACGTTGCTAAATATTCCAGCCAATACGCTTATATCACTTTGGGGCCATTTCAATATTTATAAAGGCCACAAATGTATTGGTTTCATAAAAAATGTTTTATTTAAGTAAAAAATACGAATATTCATGAATGTGCGTCTTAACTGTTATTTATCTTGGGGAAGTGAAATGGGTCATGCGCACATTCGAACGTGACTCGTCCGGGCCAACAGTGGAAATTACACATTTCTATTGCTGGGACCAATCACAGCAGAGGAAAAGCACTTTTGACTTCCTACAAAGTGTTAATATATTTATCATTGATGATGGACTTAATCCCTGGCAAGGATGTTCTTGTAACCTTGTGGTTGTCAGTTGCACATTCTGATTCGAGTGGTCCCTATTCATATAACACGTCCTTGCAGGGTGGGCTGGTAGGAACATTGGATTTTTTTTACACCCAACAGCACGAGATTTCACTTCTAAAGTATTGAAAGGGGACGGACGGACGGACACATTAATCTATTGCAGGCTGGTACACTCAGTTTACAACTTCGTTCCTACCAGTATAACACAATTTTATGTAAACACGGCCACATTGACAATTGATGAATTATTGTATTTTACTTAATGTAATTTACAAGAGGTTCAAACTATGTTTTTCTGCATTTGTATTTAAAGGAAAATTAGAGACTTTTGTGTTAAAATGTAATGTATATTTGTTTTTAATCAGTTCTGTAGCCATGGCAACCTCAGCCAAGAAAGAAATGGATACATTTTGGGATAAGAACACACAGCTTCAACGGCCGCTGTCTCCACACGTCTCCATTTACAGGTAAGGAATTGTTACATATTTTCAGTGGTGTATTATGAAAATAGAATCCCCTGTTCACTTTTAGAACACGAGTTAAAACCATTGTTTCACGCAGTCTTAAATTCATGATATTGTGAGAAAAAATAATAATCACTTAGGAATTTAGAGTACTCATGAGCGAATCCGTGGCACTGAAGCTACAAGGAACAATGCAGGCCTAGTTGATTAAATGGGCTGTCATGCATTGCACCGGCATGCAGTTTAAGAACATTTCAACATAAATCGCCAAATAATGATATGCTAAATGTTGCTGTTATCTATTCGGCTCAGTGCCCCATATGCTCCAATTCAGTTTCCATAGAATTGACCACATTTATTTAAATTGTTCACATTCAGAGCTATAGGTTGTGTTCAGTGCAGAAATGAAACGGTGACATTAACTATTCATACTAATTTTGGAAGCCTCCTTGAGAGTAATAGGGATATCCATTTTTGTTAATTATTGGGGATATTTTCAATTAGATATGTCAGGTGAAAATAATGCTGCTCTCCTTACACAATCTATCAACAAATACAGGATTGAGATTATATTGTAAATATTAATTCAAAATTACTTTAACTATTTCTCAACAGCAAATTCTGATAAAGCTATAAATAATTATCCATGGTTATTTATCCATAAAATTGTTATGTTGTGCATTACACTTCAGTGCTGTATTAAAGGCATTTTGTACGTCTGTCAACAGATGGTCTGTACCAATGTTGATGTCCATCACACACCGTGGAACAGGAGTTGCTTTAAGTGGAGGTTGAGAACATTTCACTTTTTTTCCACCAACACATTCTGACAGTTGCACGTTGCGTCTGAGCACTCGTAGTAAACCATGCGATCAGAGCATGCATAGCATATTTTGGATGTGTTCGATAAAATGTTAAAAATAGCTCAGGCCATATTTTAAAATAGAGGGATCGGTGGTCATTGCCTGCAATTTTTCAATACTGTAAATATGAGGAAAACATTAAAGTTATACAGGGTGTTTCAAAATGATGGACCAGATTTGAAATTGCTATATCTCTGCAACCACGAACTGCCCATGAATGAAACTATTACCACTTGAAAGGGCGGGGCATAGAGTTCCAAATTATTACCGCGAGATGCCTCTCCCAGCGCACAAACAGTCCCTAGCCTCAGTCATTCGCAAGACGGTGACCCTGCAACACAAGGGGCGTTTTTCGTTCTGCAGTTCAGCAAGACTGAACCCGTAATTGCGGTGCAGCGTGCGTTTCAACGGCGTTTTGGCATTGATCCGCCAATGTCAAAGAGCATTCGTCGTTGGTACCGACAATTTGAGGAAACGGGCAGCTGTTGATGTAAGGGGAAGAGCACAGGGCGACCACGCACCTCGGAGGAAAACCTGAGAAGAGAGGCGTTTGGGACGAATTCAACTATCGTCTCGATGTTGTCCGTACAGCTGGTGGAGGGCACATAGAGCATTTATAAAATGGTTAGTAAAACTTGCTAACTCATTAAACCGTTTGTAACTTTTTGTGTAATTGTAACATGTTGCCATCGTGAAATATACTGCTTTGAAATTGGGTCCATCCTTTTCAAACACCCTGTATATCACTTTGGAACGCGTATAATGAAATGTTGTGGGATCACGAGCTATGCGCATACTTATTTTCTGTATTTATGTTGAACTTCTTTCGCACCGTATCTCGCTAATCGTGAGGTGCGGGGGAAGGACAACAAACTAAACACAAAAAGTAGTTTAAAAAATATTGTTTTCAATCTAGATTTCAGAGTAATTTTTATTGTGATTTATTGGATGTTGATGTAATGCCTTGGAATTTTCCATGATCTATTTCGATCATGGAGAAAAAATCCATGTAGAAAATACATACATATTTTGATACTTATAATGTTCTGAATTTGCATTTACACAATAAGCATATGCTTGCTAAATGAACTGTCAATATTATGTTGCCACTCAAAGATGTTCCTGACTTTGAGGCTCCAATAAAAAATATCTATTGTGTGTGTGTGCGCAGGTGTGTCAGCATTTGCCTTGGCTGCATTGCTTTTTCCTGGAGACTTTGCCACGAAACTAGAATTTGTGAAAAACCTGGAGCTTAATAGCACGTTGATCTACATGGGAAAATTTATAATTGCCTGGCCTTTTATGTACCACAGCTGGAATGGAATCAGACATCTGGTAAGTTGGCAAACTAGAGAGGTGAAATGGTTAGGCATTGTGATACCATTTCTTTTTGTTTCGAAATATTTTTCATGCAAAAAGACACTTCATAATAATAAGGTTTTTCCCCTTTTTTCTGGCAACAAAACTGAAACCTTTTTTTTACAAGGATTCATGTCTGCATTAACCACAATACTTGCAGTCAAAATGCAAACAAAAAACACACTGATAATATATGCATTGTCCTTGAAACTGATTGGTCCACACCAGAGACAGCTTTCTTTAGAGCCTAGTCTCAATGATGTAGATTCTTAACCCCCAGCCCTCATTACTTTGATAGAGTATTGTCTTTGATCTGTACGCCTTTTGGCGTCATCTGGTCTAGCACCAATTGAGACTAGGCTCTAAAGAAAGCTGTCTCTGGTGTGGACCAATCAGTTTCAAGGACAATGCATATATTATCAGTGTGTTTTTTGTTTGCATTTTAACTGCAAGTATTGTAGTTAATGCAGACATGAATCCTTGTAAAAAAGCTTTCAGTTTTGTTGCCAGAAAAAGGGGAAAACCCCTATTATATTTTGGTACTGGCAAAGGAGGTCCAATGAAAACAGACGCTTCATTGTCAGGAACAAGAACGAATCCAAATGTTTTTAATGTGTCTGGCACTGCCTTGTAAATCAACATAAGGTTTAAGCAATTGGCTTTGTTCAATGTCACTCTTTAGGTCACTCTTTGTAAAATATGAACTCATGACATGGTATTTATTTTTATTATATGCTGGTGGAATGACGCGTGGTGAGAGTTTTTATAGTAGTCATGGAACCTTGTCGTTGAACATTAATTTAAAAAAATAGATATTTTTAATAGTTGACAAGCAATATTTTTGTGATGGTTTAAATAAAATGCGCACATATATAATGTACCTTTACCAAGTATAGGTGTTGAAAAGTCACACATAGCTTGTATGATGGATACATGACTCTTAGTTTGTATTGATTATAACATTCCAGTTTTCAAGAATACATATTGTATGTGACTTTGTTTTTTAACCAGGCCTGGGATGCTGGAAAAGGATTTAAGATACCACAAGTCTCGCAGAGTGGATACTTTGTGCTGGCACTGACGTTCATCACAGCAGGAATTGTGGCTGCCTTATAAACCATGATTCACCCAAACATGTTATTAACTAAACATGTATCTTTAGAATGTTATTACATTGGTCATATTTTGTTAATTCACACAAGACAGTGGGATCCTTTTGGACACAGCACTGTAATGCATATAACAACTTGGTGATATGAAGATAAGACAAAGAAGTTTTATCTCAATTTACTTTTCTGGACTTTTTCAGGACACCTAAAATTCTCTCCAATACTTAATGTTGCCACACTTTCCGTTTAAAACTATGATCGTAGAATGGCTATTAAACAAAGTTATAAATTTAAATTAATGTATTTCAAAGTGTCAACGTGTCTTTAAAAAGGTTGTTTGAATATAGACCGAAACATGACCATTTGGGGCACGCCATCCTTTTGACAGGATGCTTCAAGGTGATTGAAATCCTCATCAATATGAATTTTTTCCCACTATTAGGCTTGCATGGTTACATGCAACCTTCGAGGGGAGGGTGGGGGGGGGACAAGGTGAACTAATACATTCTAAGCTCCATTTACAATCTGCCCCAAAGACCCACTGCATTATTTTAGGATTATAGAAGGTCAGTAAATAAAACACTTTTCTTCAAATATATCACCCTGCAAATATCTCCGCACCTCCGATTATCATGGTTGGCTACGTATGGTGCGAAAGAAGTTGAACATACACATTTGTCCCAGCAGTGCTGAAATAGTGACGGTAATTTGTACAGTGCAATAACATGGCAAGCCATCCCAAGGACGCTCCACAAACGACAGACACATTTTACATTAGTGCTCAGTCCATTGCGGTGGTAAATAGGTGTCAGTCGTGGCTACTGAAGAGGAGAGTTTTGCACGCGTTTTAGAACGCCGGCAGCGACTTGGCCGCTTGCGCGTGCAGTGCCAACGGCAAAGGGGCGGTGGCTGAACATCGTTTTCGTCGTGGGAACGCGCGGGTCACGGTGCAGAGCGGACCCCGGGGCGACGTTTGGACTCGTTGGCGGACACTGGGTACGCGGATGTCTGCTCGGTAATTGGCCTGCGGGGGTGGGTGTGGAGCTGATCCAATGCAGTGCCTTGTTGGTACACAGCCCAGGTTGGAAGTTGACACGCTGCCGGACCCGCAACCAATGGTAGCTTTGTCGTGCGGAGATCGCGTATCGTGGTCAAGCTTCTGACTGCCGTAGATCATAACGGGAGACCGAAGCGGTGGTGGAAGGTTGCCCCAGGGCAAGGAGACGGTTGTAGTGGCCAACTCCGTAGACTCCCGAAAGATTGTTTATTTCAGGCTTCACGGCTCTCGAAGCTGGTGCTTTCACAATGTTAGACATTTAGCGCCTCTAAAATATTGGCTTAAAACTTTCGTGACTGCAGGAATTAATATTCTATGGTTCTTTCGGTAAAGTCACGTAGAAAGAACCATAAAATATCCTCTCAAATACTTGCACACGTAAAAGTCGTGGAGCTAACCGGTACATGTCAGATGGTTTGACAATTTACCTTAACCAAAGTGTCAACGCAACGTTCCACAGCACACAGCGAGCTGAACGCGTTGTGTAGCTGTGATGTCAACTCACGCAGGAGTTGACACTTCTCAATAGGAATGCAGGTGATATACAGTTAACGAATAATATTGCAAAACACGAAAGCTGCGAAAATGTGTTTAAACGGCATTTTCTGGACATGTTAAAACTACTTTCCATTGATGTGACAGTAAAATTGAGCACAATACAACGTGCAGGTTTATTTCGCTTTATGAGGGTTTTTTTGCGTATATGCGGATATCCTATTTCTACCAAAAAATATGCGGTTTGAATCCACTCATGCGGTTGTGTGTACTGTCAGGGGTGGCCCGTCCATTTAGTCAAACTAGGCGGTCGCCAAGGGCGCCAAGTTAAGTGGGGCGCCAAATTCGAGGAAAAAAATACAAATAAAATAACGAAGATGCCATTCTTTCAATTTCCGTGCGCGTACAGAGGGAATATGAATTATAATTAATATCTCAACATTTCTGAGAATGTATTGGTTGGACAGACGGACGGACAGACGAAGCGAATAATTATGCCTCATTAAGAAAATACGCTTTAAAAAAACAGTACACGCAAAATCGGGGCAACATTTTCCCAGTTTACCAAAAAAAACCTTGGCCTAGATCTGCCTTTGGGGGTGGGACCCGGCTGTGTGCTGTGCTGTCTCCGTTACTTGGCAGGCAGCCGTCCCGTGCAGTTTTGCTTCGTGTGCCCCTTTTTTTATTGGAACGCATCCACCAAATAAAGCGAGGGAAAGCTTTATTTCTATACTGGACGTAAATAGAAGATACAAAAAAACGGCATTTTTTAATGTATGTTATTGCATTGCCAACGACTACCATAGGTATTTGTGCTTTAACTCCTAATCATATGTTAATGTTTAACCCAAGAGCAGAATACATATGTAGCACAACCTTGACTGCCTTATCAAAGGTGGTGTTAAAAATTAAAGATTGCAAGTTAGAAACTCGGCAGAAACGTTTTATTTTTAAGTGTCGTGCTGCATGCTCTCTCCATCATAACAGTGGTCTAACATGCATACTCTGATGTGCCAAACATTACTCTGTAATTACAGTGACGGAATAAGATTTGGCATGTCATTGCCAAATGAGTTTGAGAGGTGCAGTCCAACATCTTACGAGAGAGCACCCTCTCTAGCGGTTATATGGCCTACTATCCCGTGCTGGCCAGCATATCTTGGAATTAGTGGGGAGTAACCACACTTTGCCCCGACACACACACACACACACGTGCAGCCTGCCGATCGACTCTTGAAGAAAATCCATTACCAAGTAAGGTCTGAACATTTCCTTATCGTGCACTGCCATGAGTCCAGTCAATCACATTCGCACGCCACCAACACTGGGCTTGCAAACCTGACATCCTAAAATAATGGAAGCAAGCCAACGTCAATAAGGCTTGAAAGAATCGCCCTCCAGCTATAGGGAGAATGCCCCTCTCTCTCTCGTCCTTCGCCTCCAGGGCTCATGGTAGCTAGCCACATCTCCCAATTATTGACCATCCAAATGCTTCCCGAACAAGTCGGGACGTCGAACTGGCCGTGTCTGCTGCGAACAGAGCGTTTTGCCTTCAACCCACTCTCATAAAGAAGCTGGCTTTCCAGCGCCAACAAAACTGGAAAAGCAGACATTGACCTCTACACCCGCATCTGACACTATTGGACGTCACGGCCCGTTGCAACTTAAAGGTCGCCAAATTAGATAATGCTGTTCTACTGTAAACAATCGACGCGATGTTGAGCAACTGCACTTTTCAGGATACACCTCACTGGTAAGAAAAACAGACGCAAATATCAGGATCTCTTATTTATCCCGTACTGGAGGACGCTTATGAAGCTCTATTTTCACACGGTGTCCAGTAGGGGTGGGTCAACAAGTTACATCATCAGCAACAAGAGAATTCGGAACAATCGCCTCCCTCCTCACAGCTCGGAATTAGCACCGTCACTGATGAATGTATTCCCCGTTGTTTGACCTGCCACGCCGGGTGATAGAATCGAGCCAGCGACCTCTTGAATTGCGAGCCCAGTGTGCGAACCGTCACACCACTGCGGAATTTCCCTCCGTTTCTCATTGACAGTACGAGTTTGCATTGCGTCCGCATGCAAAGCCAAAGTGGTCACGTTAATTCTTGACCGCGTCTACATTTGTATGTACGGTTTATGGGGCCGTCCATAAATGACGTCACGCACCTAGGGGGGGGGCAGACATTTGTGACGATGTGTGACGATGGGTGGGGGGGGGTTGAGAAATGTGACGTCATATCAAATGCACTACTTTGAATAAATATAAACACGTTCTACTGAATTAAATAGACTTTTTAATAAATGTTTTCTCCTACAACATCAGAGTGCAGCGCCACATTAAATACGCACTACAATGACAATAGTTTAAAGCGATTTGAAGCATGTTTTATATTTTTTGGGGGGGCGCAGAGCTTTGTGACGTCATATTTGAGGGGGAGGTCTGACTTTTTGTGACGCCGTGTGACGAAGGGGGGGAGGGTGGTCAAAAATCGTCCAAAATCGCGTGACGTCATTTATGGACGGCCCCTTTGTTGCACTTCTTTGGCACCGTTCATAGCCAACCGCGCTAATTGGGAAGACCTGGGGAAGGACAACAAACGAAACACAAAAGGCGTTTCTGAATAAATTAGTTTTCAATCTAGATGATTTAAAAATGCACAGCTCCAGTGGTTTCATCGTATCGGAAGGAAGAGCGTTCCAGACGACCACAGAAGCGCACATTTGCTGCAAATCCGGTGGCCTGTTTGTGTCGCTCGTATTTGCAGGGGCGGCCCTAGACGAGCTGCCAGCAACTGACGCCCCAAGGCGAACCACGCAAGAGGCGCCCCCAAACTCCAAGGGAAGATCTCGGCTGAGGTTTTTTTGGGGGGGGAAACATTTTGCCCCTATTTTCCGTATAATGTTTTTTTTTTAAAGCATGTTTCTTTTAACAGAAGCATAATTATACGGTTTGTCTGTCCAACCAAAACATTTTCAGAAATGTTGAGAAATTAATTATAATTCATATTCCCTCTGTACGCGCACGGGAATTGAAGTAATGACGTCTTCGTTATTTTAATTGTATAATTCTATTTATATATTTGAAGCAATTGGCGGGACCCCGGGGTCCCATCACTGCCCCGGGGTGGGAAAAACCGCGTAGCGACACGAGTTTTGTTGCCTTTCCGACAACAAAACTAGTGTCAATCGATTGGCCTCGTTAAATTCACTGCCTGGGGGGCGGCGGGCTCGCCTTGGCAAAGAAGCTGAGGATCGACGGCTGACCGGAGGGCGTCGTCGCCGCGCGCGACTGCGGCGGACGCCCCCCGGGGCTTGCGTTTGGCCGGTGGGGTGGCGCCCATCGTGTCGATCGCCGCCGGCTGCTGGCGCTTGGTGGCGCGGTAGTCTGGGCGGGCGGCGCGTTGCTGTCGGGATCACGAGTGGGCGGGCTGAAGAAAAATAATAATAATTGACCTGATTTTTACGGGACACCAGGGTCCCGCCAAATGATTCATTTCCCCTAGCAATTCGGCACCCCACTTAACTTGGCGTCCTAGGCCTAGTTCGCCTGCACGCACGGGCTGCCTCTGCATATTTGTTAATTTGTGGTTATCGCGCGATGCAAATTACAACTGGAGGATTACGCATTTTTTACTTCCAACCCCGCTAAAATCGGTGATCGATAAGGCCGGACGCCCTTTGCCTGCCACGAGTTCAAGGATGTATCGTGGCTACACAGGGCAAATGTCAATTATGGGGTCGGGAGGTGGGTGGCTGGGGGGTTACTTGCGGGCACAGGGGAGTGATGCAGCTGATGATCAAAGAGCAGAGAGGAACAAAAAGCCATCGGGTCGGCGCTGGCCGGGACTGAGAGCTCCTGAGATCTGGGGCATCATCATCTGCAGCTGCTGCTGCTACTCCGTCACCATGTCTCCGGCGCTCATCCTCGTCGCTGCCTTGCTCCTCTCGCTTCTGTTCGTGTTTGTGAGAACGCGCAAGAGGTAATGCAAAGATGCATTTTACAGTTACTAGTAGATGTGCATTCCGTGCGTACCGTAAGTCATTCGCATGCATGGACTGTGTACTGTCATTCGCATGCATGCAGTGTGTACTGTCATTCGCATGCGTGATTGTGTACTGCGTTATTCGTGATTTCGGGGTCCCTGATCCTTTAAAATGCAGCGAGTTGGCATCGTGTGGAGCACAGGTGGTGCATCTCTCAGTCATCTCGGTCAGTCAACCCATGGCAGCTAAGACAGCGGTACAGCAAATGTGGACTCCATCCGTTCCACCTGGTATAGGGTATTGCTCTCTCGTTTGCGTGGGATTTAAACGGGCGCTTCAGTTTCGTCCCTCTGACTGCCACACGTTGAGGGGCACCGACGATTTTTCTCCGGGGTCCTCCGGGTTTTCCTCCTCCACATTTTAGAAACATGCATTTAGAGCATTATAAATGTCCACACGATCAACCACTTCGTTGAGCTATCATTTGTGGTCAGCTCTATTCTGAAAACGAGTTATATAGCTCCATGGACCTTACCTAGTTAAAAAAAATCGTTTGTAAAGAAACTTGCCAACCATCTCAATTTAGGGCCATGGAGCTTTGGAAATTGTTGGCGCCAGTTGTTCTGGCTGCCTTCCCACTTGTCCGTGGATTCCCACACATCTGAATCTCTTAAAACTGTGCGCCTTACAAATGCTGAACTTTAATTTATAGAAGAGATACTCTACATCTTTAAAAATATATATATATTTATCGCCATGTGAGCACAAATAACAATGTTGATGGTGCGATGCAATGATATGCACATTTTGCAAAAAGCGATGCCAATGAATGGAAGATTTCTTGTCCTTGTGCTCTGTGCAACAGGAAGGATGGTGAGCCGCCATTGGAGAATGGGTGGATCCCTCATCTCGGGTGTGCTTTGGATTTTGGAAGGAATCCTTTGGAGTTTTTACGACTTCGAAGGAAAAAATATGGAGATATATTCACATGCAAAATTGTAGGAGATTACTTCCACTTCATTGCAGATCCATTTTCTTATAATTCTATGACTAGAGCGGGAAGACACTTGGACTCTAAAAAGCTGCAGTATGAAACAGCTGCAAAGGTGAGTTATCATGAAATATGACCAAATATAACCATAATCTATTTTTACACGTAGGCTTTCACGATCGATATTATTATCCCGTACCTCCTCCGATTAGCCCGGCACCTCCGATTTCTCGCACCTCCGATTAGCACGGTTGGCTACGTACGGTGCGAAAGAATTTCCACATACATACATACATTATGATTCATTATTGGTCTCTTTTTGAGTTAGTTCGTGTAATAAAATGTATCGTAAACCGTCCTCCATCCGACAGTCAATTAAACGTGGCCAAATGTGTTACTGCTTCAGCAGCGCCACCTGTGTTGAAGAGGAATGTGACGACGATGTAAATGTATTGCCGATGTTACACAATCGAATCCAGCACCTTTGGGTTGCAGACATGTTAAGGGGCCGTCCATAAATGACGTCACGCACCTAGGGGGGGGGGGTCAGACATTTGTGACGATGTGTGACGAGGTGAGGGGTTTGAGAAATGTGACGTCACATCAAAATGCGCAACCTTAAATATAAACACGTTCTACTGAATTAAATACACGTTTAAAAAAATGTTTCTCCTATAGCATCAGAGTGCAGCGCCACATTAAATATGCACTATAATGACAATAGTTTAAAGCGATTTGAAGCATGTTTTATTGGGGGGGGGGGGGGGGCAGAACTTTGTGACGTCATTAGTTCCATTTCTAGTTCCATTTATTTGGTGTAGCCCTGTGAGCCATTCGGCTCTTGAGTCGGGTGCAACCGCAACAAACAAAAAACAATAAGGTCAGACCCCCCCCCCCTCATATTTGAGGAGGGGGGGGGGTCTGACTTTTTGTGACGCCGTGTGACGAGGGGGGGGGGCGTCAAAAATCGTCAAAAATCGCGTGACGTCATTTATGTACGGCCCCTAACCCCTTATCAGTGCCTCCCTTATTACAGACCAATTCAGACCTTATTGGTCACCCCGTGCCCTTGTAAATCTCAACGTTCATCCTACAAAGTCCCATCACAAGGGAGAAACACAAACAAATTCACAAAAACATTTTTTTTTGCCCCTATTGAAACGGCTGTACGCCGTATGGACCTGAAAACTCAATGTCCCTGTACAATAATACGGGGTAAACGGTATGGGTTGACAGGATATAGGTTTGTCACCAGGAGCTCGAGATCTGTTGAGTGTTTGTTTATGTTACGTATACGATGTGGCTTTTAGACCCAATATAAACATGAAAATTGTAGCACATGTCTTGGGTCGCTATAGAGCAGGACGCCAAGCACGGTGATTCGTTGTCATGGATCTCAACGGACGCAGTTCGATCCGCCAGAGAGCTATTACCTTCGTTTGCGACTGCAGGTTAAACACATTAAATACTAGCGCCATCTATTGATAGACGTTAATATTTTTTTGGTCCATAATAGATGTTTTTGGGTTAGATCGCGTAAATGTGTCGTTAAACCCGCCACCACCCGACAGCCAATTAGTAAGGATTGTCATGTAAATAAAACATGGCAATTTGTTACTAGTACAGCACTCCGGTTTGTTGGAGAGTAAACCCACAATTCTTAAGTCGGATATTTTTTTATTGCCTTTTTAGCGATAACAAAAATTGTTGTCTACGTATGTTAATGTTGAGAGTTGTGAATGGATGGAAAAGGGGATTGGCTGGACTGGCTGAATAAACGAAGACCTTTATACAGCTGCGTGGCATCCTTCACACGTGTGTTTGTGTGTGTACGGTGTAGTTGTTTTCAACTAATACTTCATTGACATTTATCTCGGCTTTTCATTTTATTTTAACAAAGACGTTCAGTTACAGCGAACACACTCCCCTTGAATATCATAGGTGGCGGTATCAGTTGTAGTTCTTTCTCTGTAATTTGTTGTTGTTACATTTGGCGTGTGGTGTTCCTGTGTAGGTTTTTGGCTATCGAAATATGGACCCCAAGTTTGGTTTCACCGGTGAAGACTTGCATCAGACATTCCATAAAACTCTCCAAGGTGACGCCCTGGATCCAGTGACTGAAAGCATGATGGAGAATCTGCGAGAAGCAATATCCAACAACGAACGCGTGAAACCGAACCTCGAGTGGAAAGAGGATGAACTGTTTTCGTTCTGTTCTAGGATAATGTTTGAAGCTGGATACCTCACTCTGTTTGGAAAGGAAGCACAGACGTGTGGTGTTAACAAAATATTAACTCTCTCAAACACATTTGAACAGTTTAAAAACTTCGACAAAATTTTCCCTACCTTGGTAGCCGGAGTCCCCATTCGTCTCTTAAGGAGAGGTTACAAAGCCAGAGAAATACTTGCCGACATTCATCGGCAAGGCAAGTTAAAAAAGAGGGAAAACATGTCCGCCTTAATTTCACTTCGAATTCTCTTGAACGACACCGTTTCCATATATGAAGAGGTGGAGAAGGCAGGAACACATGTTGCCATGTTATGGGCATCTCAAGCCAACTCACTGCCGGCTGCTTTCTGGAGCCTGTATTACGTCTTAAGGTAACCTCTAACATCAATTGGATTAATTTTACTGCACACATTCTTTGTTGAGCAAGCTTGCCCCAGATCGCCGATGAAATCTGTGTGGGGTCGATCCAATCTATGACGCGCGCTGGAATGTGAGCCGTGCGCTTCACACGGGGACATTAAAGATCCCCTGACATCATCCACAATAGTAGGCCATTGTGTGCCGGCGTCCGGGTCCAGATTTGACAAATTAGAAAATGACCCCGCGAGTTAATAATTTGGGATTAGACACATCAGCAATCATCATCGTCCCCCCCCCCCCCCTATTCGCAGACTCTAATGCCCCAGGTAACTCTTGCATATGACACTATCGTGGTCTCTTATGTTATCATCTTGTTAAACAAAGTAAACTTGAACTTCGAGATAAGTCGGTGTCCCTGTCAGATTGCGGTCGGGGAATTAAAGAATGAGTTAACGATGAACACAGATTCTCAATGCTTGCGGGCTATGGTGTGTGCCTTGTCACACACGTTTCATGTTGAACAAGGTACCCATTGTCAACAGCAATAGTAAGACAGAAAACACGCCAACTTGTGTTTGAGTTACATCGCTCGAGCACGGAAAATAGTTCGAGTTATTTAATCTCAGAATCTCCACGACGGAAGCAAAGGTGACATGCTAAGATGCACAGAGATCTTCGGGCTCGTGGTTGATGTGATTCGAAATTGGGATACTAGGAGACATGAAGGCCTTTGCTGTGATCTTTATAGTTGGTTAACTCTATATTCTGAAATGTTTTAAATTAATAATTGAACCGAAGATCAGATATCTAATGTCACCGCTCTATAGTCTGCCACATTTATAAACGAGTGTATGTGAGTCAGCCATTCAAATATAATTTCAGTACTTGTTCCATGGATAAGCATGGCAAAATCCTAGCTCGCTTAGCAAAGAATAAACTAACATATAACGGAGTAATTATAGCTAACACAATGGTTGAATATCATACAATGATTGAGTTTTATTCCTAGCCTTGGACTTTGATCTGGCAAATAATCAGTAAGAAGGTCAGGGTTCTTCCATAAGGTAACTAAATTACTATATTATTGCATAGCTTGTTGTTATCATGATACAATCTGGTATGTTGTGTGTGCTTGTAATTCAGCACTGCTCGATACATTCATAATTGTACGACATTTCTGATTTTGTCAAAGGTCTCCTGAAGCTCTGAAAGCTCTCAGGAGTGAAATTCAGAAGCTGATTCAAGACACAAAGCAGTCCACCGGCCTCAACGGGAAACTACGCTTGACTCGTGAAGAAATTGACAGTTTGCCAATCTTGAGTGAGTACGACTCTTTTTTCACTTTTGTAGCAAAATTATTTCAATTAATTTTGAAGTTTTTAATATTTCTGTTATTATGCTGATTTACACTGCAAAGCCTCATTGAGTATCTTGGCTCTTTTGTCCAGGAGGGTCCTGCCAACGTTTTTAATAATAATGGAGTTACGTGTGTTTCTTTGAAATGTACAGACAGCTCAATCAAAGAGGCCCTCAGACTGTCAAGCGCATCCCTCCACTTTAGGATTGCTAAGGAAGACTTTGATTTGGTCATGGACTCCGGGGAAGCGTACCACATTCGAAAGGGGGATGGCATCGCTGTGTACCCACCTCTGATCCACTTTGATCCAAATATTTATGAACAACCAGAGGTATGTTTGTATACGGTACATGTGATTAACAGCTCATTCCATGGAAGGTCTTTATCACAATTTATGCTGAATGGGGCAAACAATGAGATACGATACGATTTATATTTATATACCTCGAGGTGAAGGAACAATGTCGATGAATAGGGATGGAAACGAGAATGGCATGTAAGCGATCGACATAAGAGATGGAGGAATACAAATCAATACCAGCAATACAGGTAAAAATGGAGGAACGCAGAGATAGAGTACAACGAAAAGATGACAACAGCAGAAGTGACATTCAACAGCAACAAAAAAGGCTGTGAGAAGCATAAACAACATACAGGAGAGGGATAGCGACACAACAAAGACAGATGAGATAGAATAGAGGCGGAGAGGACGCAACAACATATTATAGGTATAAGTGTGAGAGACAAATTCAAATCAGAGACATAATGAGCGTGGAGAAAATGGATAATTCAGAGAGGTGAGAGTAGACAGATTTATGAATAGGCAACAGTTGGGGAAATGTAACAAAAATAATTATATAGGTGTCAGAAGACGAGAGCGACAATTGAAGGCATAATTACTGGGAGACAGGTGACATAGAAATAAAATAAAAACAGACACAGAAAGATGGGTTCGGGGGGGGAATAAGAGATAAGTTATTTTGAAAGATAGACAGGAGGCACAAGATATAAGGGAGCTAAGTTCGACTGAAGGGGCTGGAGTGAGAATACAGAGTGAGATGTTACCGTATCGTCGTGGAGGTAGAGACGGTGGTGTGGTGATCACAACGCTCTCTCCTGTTCTGTGTAGAGGGAATCATATTCCACTGGGAAGAACATTAACCCTTTAAAAACCAGACGGGTTTTTGCACCTTTGTTGTGGTTTTGGGATATAGTGTTCTGTGGAACACCCAGCAGATTGCTTAACAGACATTTCACCGACATTTGACAAAAGCGCAACGCTATATACACTGTGCAAAACAATTGTATGTCTAACCATTGCAAATAGATTGTGACCTTGTGAGCAATTATCTGATCATGACATTTTCTTTCACCTAGGAGTTCATATTTAATCGGTTCCTTGATGAAAATGGACACGAAAAAACATCCTTTTCCCTCGGAGAAAGAAAAATCAAGAACTACTGGCTACCCTTTGGTTCTGGTGTTGCCCAGTGCCCAGGTCGTTACTTTGCAGTGAATGAAGTCAAGCAGTTCATGATCGTTATGCTTACCTACTACGATTTACAACTCCTTGATCCCGAGAGCAAAGTACCACCTCCCGATAAGACACGTGCTGGTATTGGAATTATACATCCCGAATCGGAGGTCATGTTCAAATATAAACTACAGCCTTAAATAAATACATAATCTCTATAGAGCAGTGATATTCACTAATTTTCAAAGGCGGGGTGGGGGGGGGGCACTTTTGCCGATAAGACACCATCAGTGTGAGGGCCGCCACACATTTGAAATCATTGTTGAGTTTGACAGCAGCAGCACGATGATGATGGGGTGTGTCAGAGGCCGCAATTAATGCCACCAGGGACCGCCAGTGGCCCCCGGAACTTGCAATGAAGAACGCTGCTCTAGAGTAAACACAAGTCGAGTGTATCTCAAATGCTCTATGCCACAAACATTGCTAGATGTAGGGTCCGTCCATAAATGACGTCACGCACCTGGGGGGGGGGGGGGGTCAGACATTTGTGAAGATGTGTGACGATGGGGGGGGGTGAGAAATGTGACGTCACATCAAAATGCACAACTTTAAATAAATATAGAAAACACGTTCTACTTAATTAAATAGACTTTTTAATAAACAACAACAGAGTGTAGCGCCACATTAAATACGCACTACAGTGACAATAGTTTAAAGCGATTTGAAGCATCATCGGGCAATTCGCCAGAATGGTAAAGCCCTCGCTTGCTCCCGGTCTTAAATAGAGCAGCAGGGTGACGTCATCATTTAACGTATTCAGCGAAACGTCGGACTCAAATTTTAAATGATGTTGATTCACTCTTCAACACACCGGTGGGCTAAAGTAGTGAACTATTTGTCCTTTGTAAACGTGACACATTTTTTTACTGTTTGGCCGTGTCGGGTGGTGGAGGGTTACGACACATTTATAAATAACGCGATCTAACCCCAAAAACCTTTATTATGAATAATATTGGTCGCGAAAGCCTACGTATTAAACTGACCAAGTCATTCTGATGTCTCACTTTCTATCGGTACACAGGCCTGGGTCCCATCATACACGTTTTTTTGGCAGCTGACTTATCTTACTTGGGATTCCATAGCAGCCTAGCAGTTCAATCAAGCCTTCGCGCAACCCAGAGTCATAGGCTTGCTTAAAATACAAGATCATCTCCATAATCGGGCGTCTTATCGTAATGATTTTAAATCCACACCGATTGTACACTCCATCATGCAAGCCCACACACAGACCGAGCTGCAGATGGCGCTAGTGCACTGACGTCCTTAAAGGTCGGCTGCGGCAAACGTGACCCGCAGCTCAAATAAACCCAGCCACCCAGAATAACAGGAATGCTATAATTCATGCACGTGGTGAAGATACCTATGCTTTCCCCCTCGATTTTGTTTAATTTAAGTGGTATATGAGAACAACAGTAGTTAGCAGAGGTACATTCACATCATTGCAATTCTTGTTTGTGTTATTTCTCTTTGAAGCCGGTTTTTTTTAGTTATATAGATAACCGGAATTCTTGTGCTGTAAAAAGGAATTGAGCAGTGAGTATGTAGTGAAATATAACCGTTATTGCTTTTATGCAGTTGTTACCGTTTGTGTCGTTAATTGGTCTCAATGTCCATTCCGCTTGATAAAGTCAGTCTGGTTTAGTCCTAACACTGTGACCCAACATTTCGACTGATGCAGTTATGTAAGTGACACGCACGCCTTTATCGTACCGTATAGCAATGCATGATCTGCAGAATTGTTGTGTTTTGTGCCAAATGTTTCATCACCTATTTGAATGGCATGCACTGTCATTTGCAGTCGTGCATACTTCCTTCTGCATAGTCACGTCGGGAAAATCCAATTCTGCATTCAGTATTTGTGTAAAATCACGGATTGAAAGGTTTTTTTTAAAAACACATTTCAAATATTCATTTTATTAAAATCACAGTCAACTACGCAGAAGTTGTATGGTCTAAACACTAAAGTGGCCAGCAACAGAGAGAACTGGAGATGGTACGGCAGGTAGGAATGAACAGTTATGAAAAAAATGTGAATAGTTTTACCCTTTCTGGCAACAAAACAGGTGTTAAGATATATTCTTAGTTTTTTCGGTAAAGTCACGTTGAAGAGAAACAACAAAATATATATAAAACAATAAAAAATTCTCACGACGTTTCGACCATAACTCAAACGGTCATCATCAGGTGTGACACACCTGCTTTTATGTGTGTCACACCTGATGATGACCGTTTGAGTTATGGTCGAAAGTTTTTTCGGTAAAGTCACGTTGAAGAGAAACAACAAAATAACAAAATATATATAAAACAATAAAAAATTCTCACGACGTTTCGACCATAACTCAAACGGTCATCATCAGGTGTGACACACCTCTTCAACGTGACTTTACCGAAAAAACTAAGAATATGAATTACTGCAGTCACGAAAGCTTTAAATCAAAATTTAGGTGTTAAGATGTTCAAACGCCAAATAGAAACATTTTGCAATGAATGAAGTATGCATTAACCGCACGTGTACTTGTAGTGAACATGCACACGGACATGCTCTGATAACATACGCATTGTCTTTGAAACTGTCTCACCAGTGCCAGACCAGAGAACGCCAAAAAGCAAAGAGTACGCCGCACTATCAGAGCATTTTAGCTCGGGGTAAGCGTCTGCCTTTTCGCGTTCTCTTGTCTGAAACTGGTTAGACTGGGTCCTAAAGAAGACTGCCTCTGGTGTGGGCCAATCAGTTTCAAAGACAATGCGTATATGGGCATATAGCATGTTTGTTTGCATGTTCGCCACACGTACGTGTGGTTAATGCAGACTTGATTCCTTTGCAAATGTGTGTGTTTTTTTGTGGTGTTTGAACATCTTAACGCCTGTTTTATTTCCAGGAAGGTTAAAATATATTCTTGTTTTTTCATACTCTCAAACTGGCTAAAATGAATTAACAAGCTTCTGGAATTGTCACATTGATTTTTTGTTTAAATATAGAATGAGTTCCAAAGTGGGGGCAAACACAAAAACACATTGCATATGCCCCGCGGTGTAATGAGGCAGCTGCGTGCAGTTTGAGAGGAGTCAGCCAAGATCACATTTTAGAAAACGGATAGTAGCAGCAGAAGAGAGACCAGGCGATCACAATGTGCTTGATCTCTGCGATCGTTTTAACGAAGAATTTCTATTGAGATTGGAATGCTATAATGCTTATGGTGGAGATTTACCTCGCTTTATGCGGGTTCGGTTTGTGCAATTTAGCATATACGCGGCGAACCTCTTTCTACCGAAACTTCGCTGGATTACGCGGGTTGAATGCACTCATATGCAGCTGTACGGTCGGAAGTGGGACGACATTGTGTGGATAAATGTTTGCATATTCGGAGTGTGTGACTTTTGAAAATGCACTATTTTTAACAAATTTAACTACTGTGTGGATGTATTTCCAATTTTTTGTCGCATGTGCGGTACGGGTACCGTAATTTTATGCTGATCCTGGACAAAAGCAATGATCTCTAAATAAAGTGTTTTGCGGACTTATGTCCAGTCATGAATTCTATACACACTGTACTGCTGCACAACATATGCATCCATTCAAGTTTGTCTGACAGTGTTAATTGTGTTTCATCGGTTATAAAAATACTCATTAATCGTTTGTACAATGGTCACATTTATAATGCATTTAAAGGTCATTTAATTATACAGTACATGTATAGACTTAAAAGTGGACAGTTTATTGAAATCATATCAAGGTGGTCTCACTACAGAACAATTTATGAATATTCTTCGAACTTTCCTTCCTTGGCTTGTGGTGATGTAATTATGCATTTATCACATTCTTGCAGCGTCACAAATCTTATCATCACCCAATACAATCTAATTTGGATGTTTATACTGTATAGTGCATCAGTGTGACTACATCTCAAGACTGCATAGAAACAGTGGATATATTAGATTTCCAGAAAATTAGTCGATCGTAGGAAGAGAAAAACAGGTATCGAACCTGTATGTATGTTGAACTTCTTTCGCACAGTACGTAGCCAGCCGTGCTAATCGAAGGTGCGTTATAACTTGGGCACGAATAGAGGGACAGGAGGTCGACAGCACGGACTGTGGTTGGGGTGGGGAGCAGAAGCTGAGAGCAGAGACGAATGAGCGACCTCCCCGGTACTGGCGGGGTTCAACAGAATGGCCTGGGTGGGTTGTCGGCGGATAGAGTTGCTCGAAGGCGCTTCGAGTACCGTACCAATAACGCCACCTATTGCCCAGTCTCACGCAGTGACCAGGCACTCCCAGCTTGGGTCAAACTCGGACAGGTGGCAAACCAACAACACCCCCCAAAGAACGCCGCTGATGTTAGCCGTGGCCAGAAATCGAACTCGGGTCGCTGGGTACTCAACCCCACGAACCAACTCCCCCCACGAATCCAGCCCTCTTCACGAGACTATATATTGTTGTTCTCTTTTGGACCTTTGCAGACCACACTCGACTTGAATAACAAAAACAGGTCCCACTATACATGCTCGACCTGCCCACATTCGATCGCGACGATATCACAACCAGTCTACTTAACTTAAACCTGACGGTGTCAGCCTGGAGGGGGTGGGTGTTTGGGTGGTGGCTGGTTGTTTGTAACCCGCGTGTTCAAAATCCCATGGCATTCTCCTCCCCCGTCTGCCATCAGCTTCGTTGCCAATCTCCGCCACCGTTTGCTTGTTCGCGTGACCTCTAGCCTCGATATCAAGAGTTGGGTGAACGTCAAATGCGTGGAGCCAGCGGCGACGCGGTGTTGCTGCTGGTAGTAGTGGTTGTTGGTGATGTTGTTGTTGGTGGTTGTGGTGGTGGTTGTTGGCTGTTGTCTGGAAGTTCGTTCGCTGTGCTGGTTGGCTTGACCAGCAGTTACGCAGCGTTGTAGTTGATTCGGAGCTCAAAAGAAATTGTGGATAGCGACATTTAAAAATACACCTTTAACTCAAATTTATTTTTAAAAGCGCGAATAATACGGCTTAATTATATAGCTTTTCTCTCTTTTAAAAAAAAACCACGAAGGCTGAGAGTCTATTCGAGCCCCACGGTTTTTTTTTTGTCTCGATTGAAAGGGAATGCGGTTGTACCGGAAAAAACGAGTTTTAAATACACGCTTTGCGCAGAGAAACGTTGCGGCTTAGTCAAGCAGTCCAGGAAAGTGATGCTTAAGGAGAAGTCTCCTTTTGCAATTGGCGTTTTATCGTGTAAAAGATGCAATGGTTTTAACAGCGTGGTGACCGAACGCTACACAGACGACGACCTTTTTCTGTTGGAGGTGAGTGGACTTGCACACTATACGGACATCTGAATTGAACTTCTAAAAGCCAACCGGGTTTTTTTGGTTGTGTGTGTGTGTGATTGTGTGTTGTGCGTGGTTGTGTGTTGTGCGTGGTTGTGTGCGCGTGGTTGTGTGTGAGTTCAGAATGCAACACACACTTGCAACAGTGATCTCGGCAAGTTTCACAATGAGCCAATTGAACGTTGATTTATTGTTCCTCTCCCACTGTTGGTTTCCAGTTAACAAAGCGGGAGATCGAAGGCCGTTGCTGGCAGCATGTTTCAGGTCACCACGATGTCGTTGTGTGCATTTTACTCTAGGATTCATTTATATGATTCTAGATTCGAAGCTTTTATATGAATCATGTATGAATTGTATGAATCGCTTTTTTCCCCCCCGAAATCCCAACAGTCCTTAGCTGGACAAAAATAAAACGTTCCGAGCACAGCTAGTAAGTACTCTTTAAAACAAAAACAAAGCTCTTCTCGGCGAATGCGTGACGGTAGGGTGATTAGTGCAGAACTGTGTTAGCAGTGTGTGCGCGCGAGTCACGGAATGGTTCAAGTGAAGAAGATGAGAAGTGAGAAAGTACAATGAAGGGTGATTGTAGGAGCACAGTATTGCAGTGTGTATCACATGTAAACCGTGGCGCGTGGGTATTGTGCATTGCCTGTTGATTGCGTGAGTACTTTGTAGACAGGCTCGTCCGTGTGGAATGAGAGACCTGCCAAAACCTGCCTCTCTTAACACATGTAGCAGTGGAATGGACGAGCAAAGGTTTACGGTATTCATATACCGTAGATAATTTTTAAAATACTAAAGAAACTAAGGCCCACTAAGCTACATTAGCTGTTTTTTTTTTCCAGAAGCGACCTGGCCACATATGATTGCTCAACGAAGTGGCTTGTCGGGTGGAAATTTAAAGCGGCCAAATCATCTAAAGGCGCGATGTTGATTCTAAACGTGGAGGGGAAAACCCGGGAGGACCCGTAGGGAAAAAAAATATCCAGAGACACCGCACACTTCCACAAATATACAGCGGGCGGTCAGGGTCGAGGTCGAACTCACGACTTCCTGTAGACCAGGCGAGGCGGTCAACATCTCACCACGGCGGCCCTCTGAATCCCCATCTCCTGCAGCAGCATTTGTTTAAGAAAGTCGAAACCTGGACCTCCAGTTTTGATTTCACCCAGTCTCATCAGCAGGGTCGTAAGCCTGTTCAACAAATGTTACCTACTGCGTGCCCTTCACGTTTTAGTAACGTTAAAACAACGCACGAACTTTTGTAGTCTGTGTTTACCAGTCGTGATTGCAGCTTCAGCTGACTGCATTAAAACCACCAGAGATGCAACACAAGGGGCATACCAGTGGACACGATGGGAGGGGTGGTACGTTTCAAGTCACATGCCATATCAATAAAAACACACGTAATTACAACAGCTGTTTATAATATAATATTCCAGTGCCGCAACGCCCCGACTCCCTGGAATCTCGATCCACGCTTTCACAACACGGGGAGGGGGTGGGGGGGAGGTTTGGGCCCCTTGGGCATCCAGAACGTCGTTTCCTCATACCGCCGAAATGCGTTCATGATTTCAACAAACCATGTTGCCTAGTAATATTGATTACAGCAATACAATACGAGATATGCAACGCGTGCCATATGAATGTGGCTGCAAAGGCAATGGTGGCGGCGGTGGTGGCAATGCACGTTTGCGATCCCGCATTGTGGAGGCGGCGAGGGTTGATGGATCACACACAGACGTTCATGTGGGCGTCGAGGAAGTTGCAGTAACCTTGGCTCGCCAAGGGAAGGCAGTACAACAGCTTGGCTAATACGCCTATCAGCTGTTTATTATATCCGTACGGGGATAGCGTGTTGCCCCCTCGCGCAATGCGTGGGTTGTACCCTCCCGCGTGAATAACGAACACAACTCAGAATCAGTGGGCAGAAAACATCTCGAAATAAAAAAACAACCCTTCCCCTAAAAAGAGTCTTACGACTCGGTGTGACTTTCCTCGGATAAATTAGTAAATTGTTATGATTTACATGTCGTGTATATTAACCCGTCTCTTCACCGCACTCTTCCCACCACGGCAGCATCGGTCCCCATAGCCGGATTATCAGCGGGTCGGACCGAGGCGGTGAGTGCCGGGCACAACAGCACCACTGCCTCTCTCTCTCGTGTCATCTCTCAACTTCTTGTCTTCAAGTCATCACCCTGTTGTCATTCTATAGACGAACACAATAAGGACATCTGTGGGGGGGGGGGGGGGGAAGCGCTTTACGGCTCATCGGATTCCTCCAGTATAAATACATATTCTGAAAAAAATATCCTTGCACACCGAGCATGTTGTCAATACTTTATTTGCGAACACGTGCAGTGATAATTGTTGTCTGTGATGCGTAGTTGTCAACCCATACGGGTTTACCCCGTATTCTTGTACAGGGAAATTGGGTTTTCACGTCCATACGGCGTACAAACAAAAAGTGTTGTCTATTTGTTTGTGTTTCTCTTCCTTGTGATGGGACTTTGTAGGATGAGCGTTGAGATTGATAAGGGGCACGGGGTGACCAATAAGGTCTGAATTGCTCTGTAATAAGGCAGCCACTGATAAGGGGTTGACAGGTAGGATGATGATGTATTATTCGTCTCATTTTATCCACCCCGTTTTTTTTGGGGGGGGGAGGGTGGGGGTTATTAAATTTTTACATGTGCATACAATGAGCGCGTGAATTGCCTACGCTTGGGATACATTAACATCACCAAAAATAGACACCGATCACGCGGTATAGGAGTTCGATTCGCGTTCTTGTCGCTCACTTTCGTGACGCGTCCGCCCACGAACCTGGAATCCCTGTGACCACCTCGACAAACAAACAACAACAACAGGTCCCGACAGCTCCCAACAGGTTCCAAGTCTCATGGCGCCAACAGCACGGCGTGTTTATACCCAACCGTTCAACTAGAATTGCTCATCAGTGGGCGGGTGGGGGTGGGGGTGTGGGTTGGATGCACACAGGGGCCGTGGGGAAGAACGACGCCGTAGTTTCATCTCATCATCATCATCTGGGCGCCTGGGGGTCATTTGCGGTCGCGATGGATTCGTACGTTGATGAGTGAAGAGGGAGAGGAAGCGCTGTGTTGTACGTACGACGCCCTGCGTTGACGACGGTATGATGATGATGCTGCTGCTGTTATTGTTGTTGTTACATCTCTTGTAGAAGTTGTCTTGTTATCGAAATGTTAAACGTTGTTATGGAACAACAACAGCAGCAGCAGCATTAGGCGCTCAGCCTGCTGGAGACTAAAGTCGATTTCTTTTGGCTGTTTGGGAACCGTTTAAGTTGGGCGGCCGAAATTTTTTTAAAAAAAAAGTTGTTTTGGTGTTTTTCTTCGACGACCGTACACCGCTTGTGAAGGTATTTTATTCTTTATCGGTACTGTATTGTTATTATACGTGTCGTTGTACTGTAATAGTGTCAGCATTAGCAGTACTGTAAGTCATTAAAAAAGGCCGGTTGTGAAAACTGTTAAGGTCACTTCCACCGTAGTGACCCACGGCTATTAAAATTACTGGTTGTCAAGGTAATTCTTTTGTTTTCTTAAACTTGTTCTGTGCAGTCCTTCGTATTATTGGTGTGCTTCTGTATTGCATATACAAGTATTGTACAGTATCTGTCCGTTGTGGAGAATGTCATTTTCTAATTTGCTAGAACCGTGCCAACAGTTGAATTCTGTCAGCAAACCACTGTTTGACTTTACAATATCAAAGTAGAAAAAAATAGGGTTTTATCAATCTTGATTTGAAGCTTTCGTGACTGCAGGAATCCATACTCTATGGTTCTTTCGGTAAAGTCGCGTAGTAGGTAGAACAGCTCTTTGTTTCACCTGATGACGGTTGCTTGCGTTGCGATCGAAACGTCGTGATTTATTAATTTTCTATCTACGTGACTTTAGCGAAATAAACAAAGTGTCTGGAATAGGGTTGTATCCTTTCTAGCCATGATAACACGGCTGTTTAGATGTTCAAACACCAAATTGGTAACCTTTTTTCGCGAGGAATCAAGTTCGCATGTTCAAACACCAGACATAAACTTTTTTTTTGCGAGGAATCAAGTTCGCATGAACCACACACGTCACTAGTGGTGAACATGCAAACACACACGCTCTGATAATAATAATCATAAAGCGGCCTTCTTTAGGCTGTCTCTGATGTACTTTTGGCTGTACTGTGGAGGCTGTTTCTGGTGTTTACTTTAGATTGCGTACAGAATTACAAGCTAGAACTCATTCACCCACCTCCCCATTGCAACACGATGCTGTCCACTCCCTTGGGTTGCCCTCACGCCAAACCCCATGTCGACCGTTGCTGTGGGTGTTTCGGTTATTCAAAGACGACAATAACAACGAGGACGAACCACAAACACTTGTGTTTACTTGAATTCAACAATGTTGAACATCATTAGACCTCCTTTGCCAGTACCAAAATGTAATAATTGGGTATTTCCCCTTTTTTCTGGCAACAAAACTGAAACTTTTTTTTACAAGGATTCATGTCTGCCATCCCTTGGTGTGGACCAATCAGTTTCAAGGACAATGCATCATATATGATCATAGTATGTTTTTTCTTTGCATTTTGACTGCAGGTATTGTGGTTAATGCAGACATGAATCCTTGTAAAAAAAGGTTTTAGTTTTGTTGCCAGAAAAAAGGGGAAACACCCTATTATTACATTTTGGTACTGGCAAAGAAGGTCTAATGATGTAGATGCTCACCCCGAGCCCTCATTACTTTGATAGTGCATTGTCTTTGAGCTGTGTGACGCCTTTTGGCGTCATGTGGTCGAGCACCAATTGGGACGAGGCTCAAAAGAAAGCCGTCCCTTGGTGTGGACCAATCAGTTTCAAGGACAATGCATCATATATTATCATAGTATGTTTTTTCTTTGCATTTTAACTGCAGGTATTGTGGTTAATACAGACATGAATCCTTGTAAAAAGGTTTCAGTTTTATTGCCAGAAAAAAGGGGAAATACCCTATTATTAAATGTTGAACATGTGGTTGAGGGCCTTAATTATGTTGGGGGTAAAATAGGTTTCGTACAGTGTCAGGTTTTTGAGGGTACCAAGAGCACAGACTAATATATTACACCATCTCCCGTGCACATTCACATCCAGAATTTGCAAGCATATGTTAGAATCCTTGGTATTCTGCCCGTGACGACTTTACTGGCCCACATTGTAAGTGATTGGAGTGCTCCTGAACCGATGTCGAATTTGACTCTTTCCCGTGGTCTAAACTTTCAGAATTGGAAGTTAACCGATGGGGTTTTTTTTGTTTGATGCGGAAAATTGTACTTTCTGAATATTTAACTTTCCACATTGTTTACATTTACAACAACTACATAATTCACTCTCGCCGAGCACGTTTATACCGACAACAGCTCAGTTATGCCTATCTTGCATGTCACAACACGCAAACCACCTTCCTTGAAGTATACACACTTTGGGTTTATCGTGCAACCCTGTATGGCGTTTCTCTGTCAAATGTCCCACAACTATTCTTTGAAGGGCTTTTAAGCTACGCGCGTGCCGTTTGTCGCTGTGTTTGATTACTTATATATACGTGTGATTTTCCGACAATATATTTAATACACTTATATCCTCAATTCTCGACAACGTATTAAATCATTTATTTCATGTCGCCTCAGTAATCGACAACATTAAATCATCAGATGAAGCGTTATAAAGATGCTGCGTTACAATGTTTTAGATTTTCTACAGCTTGTGCCGATTGAATCTACAATGTATATAAATCTACAATATATACACCATACTTCTATTCAATATATGTTCACTTGAAAGTGTGAGTGATTAGATTGCTCGGGTCTGCCTGACACAGACGACGTGAATATCGTATGCCATTCTCGTGGCTGCTTTGTTTGATTAGTCATAATATTTGATATTTTGGCAAAATATTTAACAAACGTATGCAATATCCTCAGTTGTTGACAACATATTACGTTATTTAATATTTTCCTGATTAATAATGAGCTACTAAATAAGTTTATAAACGATATTGTTTAAAATAAAACGTATATAAAGAATAAAAAGTTTCAATTAGCATGCCATAATGTGGAATGTTGAATCCATCTCTATATTTCCATGATTTCCACCTTGTTTACAACACAAAATACGTCGTTGGCTGCTTTCTAACTTGTAGTTCGAAGGTGATGAAAGTTTTTCTGCATTGTTAACCCAATAATCTCAATCTGCCATCAGTGTTATCTGAGGTTTAAGAATTGACGGAGCGTTACTGGTGCTATCCTGCCCGTGGGGACCAACTGGTCTGGATGGTTTTGTGCAGATGCACCCAGTATTGTCCATAGTGATAGCAATGATGCATGTATTCTTTTTACCTGAAGAGAGACATGCATGTGCACTAACCGCATAGAACACATGTATGTGTATACCAAGGTCATGACTGAGCTTTTTCTTGAAGTATAATCTGGCAGGTAAGTCTCATTCACATAGAGGCAGCGACAATATTTTAACTTATTACTCTGGGAGAATATTCACTTTTACATTGATGTTACTGAAGAAAAGTTATTACAAAATATATACATTAAAGGTAAGGATTAATACACCATCGTATGTGTTTTGATCACTGTTTCCTATCGTTCCAAAATGCCAAGTGGCCAGCAACAAACGGCCTTACTGATCGTATAAAGAGATGAGAGTTGACTAATTATATGAGCTTGGCAAGGAGTGCACAATCCCCGACACTAGCAAATGCTTTAGGAATGCGAAGGGCTGTGACCATATAGGCAGTGATCATAAGCGCCAAAACGTACAAGGCTTGAGCTGCGAGCAGAGATATACATTAAAGGTAACCTGTATAACGGGCTTGGTGGAAACGATACCAGTGATCACTCGGTCACTCTTTGGGGACTGGCAGGACTCAAGGTGATATCAACGTCGTTGGTACCATGCGGGTGCTGGTTGACAGCTTGAAGAGCAAGTTGTGAAGCCACGCGTGTTGAGCACAGTGCCCGGCGTGCCATGAGGACCACAAGCCCCAGACCTATTAGGTTTGGAGAGTACTCGACGTACATAATTCATTACGAAAATCCTCATTGTTTCATCTGATTCGTATAAGGAATCACTAAATGCGGCATTTATTTTAGTCATAGATTAAAATTAGATGCAAAATAGGAGCCCAAGAGATTGGCCTTGTGTTTTGTGTCAAGGCTTACAGACTCAACTTCATCACTTGGTGATGGGAAATGAAGTTTTGCAGAGATTGTTTGAAATAGCTTTTGGAAAGCAACCAGAATAGACACGAACCAACTGAACAGGATATAAGTTTTCTGTATTTTCCTTGTAGCTTTGTATTTTACAAAAGAGGTGAAGGAAACGCAAAGAGAAGTTAGTGTTTTGTAACCTCGTAAGTTATTCACGTGAAATTTTGGTGTTGCTTGTTAAAATAACTGACACCCGTATATCCGTGTTTTTTTTTGTCAGGTTGAAAATGACAAGCGTGGGGACCCTGGTGGCTGGCAGCACAGTCTTGTGGTTGTTCATCTATTTGGTGCTGTGTCGAATATTTTCATCGCGAAGTACCGAGTGGAACTGTCGACTGATCACCCTCCTACATGGAAGCATAATAGCCATGCTCTCGGGATATGTCAGCTTCATAGCGGGGCCTTCACCATTCACACATCCAGGTATGTGGTGTCCCCCTTTCCCCCAGGTATATTCCAATTGTGCTATCGGCATCATGTGACGAGATAAAGAGACACCCATTCGCATCCCAGCAGCTAGCAGTGAATCAGTCTGTGTCAGAGAACAGCCTCGGAATAACGACTTCTGAAGTTACTTTAAGAGCCTCTTTTTATGCACATTATAGGCACACCTTTAACGTGCCCTGCGATAAGTATTTGTTGCTTGTCAATCAGCGTGAAATGTTCAAGTTGCACAGCTTAAACTTAGCCAAATTAAGATCTCAACGTTGCTGCCTCAACGCACTGACCTTTGAAACGGCGACCTCGGTAGATCGAATTCTAAAATAACACACAGACGGAAAAATGTTTGACTTGCATATCATGCTCTTTAAAGATATTGTTTGAAAAGACACATTGCCTTTTAGGTTTTATATACTGTCCTACATTTAAAAATCTTTACATTTCTAGACAAGTATTAACTCTTAACATTTTATAGGCAAGACTTTCATCAATACTTTTATACAAATACAAACATAGTATATGCAAGATGGATGGTGGCCAAAACAAATAAGAATACATTGTAGAGAAGTAATCTGATTTTTCACTTAAGAATGTTTCACTTATGGTGGTGCCCTCTCATTCAACAACTGATACTCCTGGAGATAAGTGAGCAGGTCAGTCAGCTCCTTTCGCTCCTGGTTACAGTATGTACAACATGAATACCTTATCAGTGTTATGGCACTATCCCACCCATGATCAACAGTAACCCTGCTAAACAAACCTTTCCAGGAGGGTTCTGTAAAAAAAAAAATTCCAGTTACCTGCTTCCTCATTTCATGAAAATGGATTGTAAATTATACATAACTTCCTCCACCTACTGCCCCATCATCAACCGCATAATTTTCATTTCTCAACTCTCATCATCTTCACTTGAACCATTCCGTGACTGCGTTCACACGTTTATTTGCTCACGCATGTACCACTACCACTACGACGACTAACAGTACACAATTCACTCTACCCTCTCTCAGTTAATTCTGCTTCCTCTAAGCTCACAGACGTTCTATTGAGCCATCTTTTACCTGTCCCGGCCATCATACCCATTCCACACAATTCTACTCCTCAAAAAACATGAATTCCCCCTTGCTGCGACTCAACTCTGTGCTTGAAACTTTGTCCTGGGCTGGGCACGAGGTACGAAGTCCGGCAACCCATAACTTTGTAATCAGGAGGGTAGGGGGGTTGAGGGCAAGGAGGCAGTTATCTGTGTCTCTCTGCCCCTTTCTCTACGTGCCTCTGTGTCTGTCTCCGTGTCTCTGTCTCTGAGTGCCTCAATTTGTGTGCTTGTCTCCAAGCCTATGTCTGAATGTCGTTTTTCTCTGTGCCTCCAATGTCTCTTTATTTTTCTGATTTTCTGTGCCTCCCATGTTGTACTCTCTCTCACTCTCAGTGTCTCACATTTTCTGTCTCGCTCGGGGTCTCTCTGCAACCTTCACTGTGTCTTCATCCCCTTTTCCATATGTACGTATTTATCTGTCTATCTGACTTTCCTTGGGTCTGCATCTTCATGTATCTGCCTCTCTGTGCCTCTGCCTTGCGTGTGGGGTCATGCGCAGATTCGTCTCTAATCCCAGGGGCTGCACACACCGTTCTTGCATTAGCCCTGTTATTAACCCTCTGTAACCTTTCAAACATATCCCTCTCTACATTTATGTGTGTGATGGAGTCCATTTATAGGTGTAATGGAATCCTTTCTCTTTCTAGAGTTCCCTTTCCTAAATGACACTCGTTATAGTATTGTAGTAAGATTCAAATGAATGCCTAAAATTCCTGTATCACTGGGTACAAAATGATCATTCGTTTTTCCAGACCCTGGAGGGAGGCTGTAGAGGATGGGCAGGAGTCAGAGAGACAAGAATATGGTGAGGGGATGGGTTCATGCACTATTGCTTTCCCCATAGTCGTTGTTAGTCTGAAGGCTCCCGTGTGGATTTTGCTGTGTGTGGTGGCTCACTGCAAGCAATCTGTAGGCAGGATTAGTGAGTCGCAGCAAGGGCTGTAGTTTCCCGGCAGGTTATCTGGAATTTCAGTGTTCTCCCATATGCGTGGATGTTATTCATGCACTCCAGCTTTCACTCACGCACACATGAAAAAAAACATGAAATTGCTGTATCGTTATGATTATTGTAAAAACGTCTCGGCAATTTTTATGTTGAACTTGTTATTCGTGTAACTAGGGAAACCCATCAATAGATTAATGTGTGTTTTCTTCACTTGTGATTTTAATAGAGGCTAAATTCAATCCATAGTTAAAAATATATATAATGATTGACACTTCAATAATGTTTAAATAATGTATTTTAAATTAAAATATTGGTGATGATACATTTTCAGGAATACATTTTGTGTGTTAACCCTGCATATTGTACTGACGGTAATATTCTATGGGGAAGAGTGGTGTTGCTGTTCTTAGCCTTTTGCACCATGAAGCCGCAAACATGGTTCGATTCCTGGCCACAGGTAACATCAGTGATGACTGTTGAACCGGTCTTGACTTGTCTACCCCTTTACCAATCCGACTGACCAGTGTGGTGAGGTATGGCTCCCATAGAGTCCTTCATCAAGCAGCGCATATGACAGTGCTGTGAACTTTTTTTTATCTTTACAGGTGGACCTAATACAGAGCTACAAGTCTCTACGTTGTCTCTGTGCCTAGGGTATTTTCTATTTGACATCGTCTGGTGCTTATTATATAGCATTCAGAGTCGCGTCATCATTGCTCACCACATAATAAGCATTTGTGGACTGACAATATCCCTCGCTCTGGGAGTGTGCGCAACTGAGACAAATATAGTTGTATTTGCGACCGAGATCACCAACCCTATCCTGCAGTTGCGCTGGTTTCTACGGCAAGAAGGAAGGTACGTTCGTGATACGCTATCAAATCCACAGAAAGTTTACCTAATTATCACGAGGTGGGGCTAATCAAACAGGCTTGATAAGGGGGTCGCTAACCTCGTTGTCGGCGTGGCAATCTTGAGCTGCAGGCCACTTCAGCCAACTGCAAATTGTTTGGTTTGCATCCTTCAGAACTGTGTAAAAAATAATGTTATCCAGAGCCTGAGCAGCTAGCAGAGAGTCGGCAGCATGCGCCTCATAAAGAGCCGCATGCGGCTCTTTATGAGGCCTGCTTCGTGACGCTATCTATTAAGGGCCAACGTTCCCGCATTAGCATGCTTAGCAGTTCTTGAAATATTGAGGGGTTTATTTTTCCTTAATGAAAAACAAAAACTGTTCTTGTTATTTTGGTTTTGCCGACCCCCTGAACTAGCATAATGTGATATAAACGCACGCACAGTCTGATAGAGGCTACACCGGGGGTGGGGTGTCCCCCCTTGTCTTTGCACAGGTACGACGGAGCGACCCTTGGCGTCCTCCTGGACATGGTGTTTGTGCTGTTGTTTATCTGCATGCGCATCGGACTGGGCACCATGCTGATTTTCAGCATAATTCCTTCCCGTCGGTCTTTGCTGCTCGTTAAGATCGGCGGAGTGGGCATCTACCTAATCTCTTGGCTTTTCCTCATTGATATTTTGAAGTTTGTCTTCAGAAAATACGTAAAAAAACAAACCTTGACGGAATAATAGTGATGCCTCTAGAATGCAGTGGGGCCTTTTTGTATTTTGGTGAAGGTAATTAAATGCATTTTGGATATTTTTTTTACTGTATTATTTGAAAGGTAAAAGTGTTTGCATTTTCTTATTTTTAAAAAAATCATTAATTGATTGTCCGATACACAAATACAGATGAAATGTTGCTGCCTGCGTGTGACGTTTGCAATATGTATTGGTACTACCGCCGTTTGCACCATAAACTTGTGTAACCAGCGTTTCCTAATGTTGCGTTCAGAGCATATATACAGGGGGGCCCAAAAGGTAGTCTACCAAGCTATACACATTACATATTACTCTTGACATTTTTACTACTGTTTGGTCAAAAATGTTCACGCAGAAGTCATGAACATCAACCGCATTCGCCCATGTCGAAGCACAAGTTCCTCGTATCAATAGTTGCAGTAAAATCTCTCGAAACCAGACTTAATTGGGGTACAATCTTTCCGATTCTGGGGAAATTTTCCGGCGCGTAAAATAAAATGGGAAAAAATGGTGCGCGCGCATTTTAACTACACTCGCATTTAATCACAAGTCATAATTTAATGAACGGTTACTAACCCTTCACTACATATTTTCGATGGAATAACACGAATACACTTTTACTATTTCGAGTCGCTTACCATCACCACAAAGCGGACGTGGATGGACAAGGCTCGGTGGATGTGGAAGGCGGCAGAGTTAATTGAGACAAACGTTTGAAACATTTATTTCGTTCATTTGTAAGATAAATGTTAAATAAATGTTTGTGCACAGGCTCGCCTAATTCCGCACAACGGATGAGTCCGGCACGTGCCACACGCATGACGTCTCCTGTCGCACGCGGCTTGATGAGCGCTCCAGCAGTGTTGGGTTTTTGTTATTTATATATTTATCATTATTTATTTACTTCAGGCAGCCTCGACTTAACGATGGTGTCCTTTCTGCAACAATGCGAGCACAATTTTGACGCATCCCCAGACAGGCACATCTGGCACTTTGAGCTCCTGATAAAACATGGTGGGGATTTGGATCACACCAATAACATACCAAAAATTACTTTACAAAGTGTCCATAAAATGCCGTAACAAGTTCCACTTTTATCTTGGTAAACTAGTTCTTGGGCTACTCTGTATTTTAAACCGTTTCGATGGCATTGAAAAGCGTGTTGATGGAGAGGCTAGAGTTGGGCTTGACTGTAAACAAAATCAATGTACTTCATTACGATGAGTAGTGCTCCGGGCTGCATGACTCCAACCCTGGAGCGACTCCGGTCGCCTGACTGTAGCTCTGGCCTGGCCCCAGCTCCAGCTTGGCACCAGCTCTAGCCTGGCTCCAGCTTGGCACCAGCTTGGCTCCAGCTCTAGCCTGGCTCCAGCTCTGGCCTCGTTCCAGCTCTGGGTTGGCTCCAGCTTTGGCCTGCATCCAGCTTTGGCCTGACTGCAGCTCCAGACTAGCTCCAGCCTAGCTCCAGCTCTCATAGCTTGGTTCCAGCTCCAGCCTGGATCCAGCTTTGGCCTGACAGCAGCTCCGGGTTGGCTCCAGCTCCGGCCTGGATCCAGCTCCGGGTTGGCTCCAGCTCCAGCCTGGATCCAGCTTTGGCCTGGCGCCAGCTCCGGCAGCTTGGCTCCAGCTCCAGCCTGGATTCAGCTCCGGCCTGACTCCAGCTCTGGCCTGGCTCCAGCTCCGGCCTGACTCCAGCTCTGGCCTGACTCCAGCTCTGGCCTGGATCCAGCTCCAGCCTGGATCCAGCTCCGGCCTGACTCCAGCTCTGGCCTGGCCCCAGCTCCGGCAGCTTGGCTGCAGCTCCGGGCTGGCTCCAGAGCTAAAGGAGACCCCCAGCTGTAGCTGCCCCCACTCCAGCAGCCTCGCTCCCCCAGCGCCAGAGCAGCTCTGCGCTACTGCTCCAGTGCCAGATACTCTCACCGGACCCCAGATACGATGCGACAAAAACCCCAATAAACAGTCGTATGTGTGTTTTTTTTCTTGACAGGAACAGCATCATCATGTTTTTTTTTTATTACAAAATATAGTCCAATCAGGTGAATGCGCGTTTTAAATTAAAAAAAAGGAGAATATAACATCTGGTTTTAAAATTACAACCAAGAATGTATGGGTGCAATGATTGATATATTGATTACTATTAATTCCTGGTGCTGCAAATACATGCATTGAATCACATATTTGATAAATTAATATTTTCATGTACAGTATACATATGAAATGCTCCTGTCACTATTCAGCGAACACGCAAAACAGTTATACAAACAAGACGAGCAAAATGTGTGCCATATCACTGTTCTCTGTGTACGCTGACATCGCACTATATTCTTACGTGGCATGAAAGCGTGTTCTGAAACTTCACAGCCTTCTCCGTGACGTCGGTGTGCTCCGTTCTGACGTGGCAGTGTTGAGCGTGTCGCACGGCGTGTTCTGTGCACTGTGATTATCACAGCATGCTCTGATCTCACGGCAATCGCAGCCTCTGATCTTCGACGTCACAGCTCGCTGTGCTCATTTTACGTCACAACGCGCGCTGTGACATCGCAGGCTGCTCTGCTGCGACACCAAAGCATGCGCTCTTATCTTTGACATCGGCACGCTCTGTGCATTGTGGCATTTGTGATACCCCAACCAGTCCAGCTTGGTGAAGTACGGCCAAAACACCTCTCGTGACCGACGTGGCATGGGGGAGGCCTTCATCCAACAGTGGAGTGACAAAGAGGCTCTTCCACAGGCAGTTATCCATCGCTGCTCTTTTTTTCTTTTACGATGTAGTCCCTGAAGTATGTACACAATGTCACGTTACCTTGCGACTCTGACCCCCGCATTACTCCGCCGTTCCTCTCATGTCTGGAGTGTGTCGATTCACCTCCGTGGCCATCCAAGAAATTGTGGCAATTCAAGTTGAAGTGCTATGAATTTATAAAGATTTTTTTATATCGTGTTGAATGTAATTTTCATCCAAAGTTGTCACCATCTTGCACGGTCCTGCGACTTGACATTGGTGAATGTAGCGGCCTTTATTTACATAGAGCATACACAAATAGAACAAAAAACAACCTTTATTGATGACTGGCCGGAATCAAAATGATGACACGTCAGATGGGAGTGGGTATGTTTTTTTAAAAACTGAACTTGATCAATTAAAAGCATCGTAACAATTTACCCAAAAAAATACTATTTTCATCAGTTTGTAATAACTGCTGTGCCATGTATTAGAAATGAACGTTAACAAAGAAAATGGAACAACACAAAAAAGCGTGATAGAAAATATACAGAAAAGCGTGCTGGGAATTACGCAAGAGACAGAAGAACACGTGGAATCTAAAAAATACACAGTGACATTGATTTAAGAAAAGCACGTGGGCTTGGGCAAAAACTACGTCGTGAGCAGGAACGATGGCTGCTGGTGGAGAATCAACACCGAGTTGCAGTCAAAGGAGGAACTTCCGCGAGAGTCCGTTCAGCAAGGAGATATCGCGATGAAATAAGTTTACGTGTAGGTGCATTGTTACACAGCAGGATAATGTATGTTGAACTTCTTTTTCACCGTACGTAAGCCGACCATCCCAAATCGGAGATGCAGGGGAAGGACAACAAACAAAATACGAAGCAGTTTGAGGCATTCATCCAGCAGTGGATTGATCATGCTGATGAAGACTGATGAAAATATCTTAACAATAAAAAATAAGTTCCAGCGCTCTTGTGTCTATTGGGTAGCGCGTGGTAACCGATGAGCCCTGTTCAGTTTGAATTTTCCCACGTGCCAATCTTGTCCGGTCATTGCTAAAATTTCATTTGGTTTGATTATCGATTCAGAACGGAGCGACATTTGCTAAATAAAGGGTGCAATGACAAATGTAAGTTCGCAATAAAGTCCGAACCCGATTATCAATATATCGATAATAGTTAAACAATACTCATGGTGAGCTCGAAGAATCGCTATGAATGAGTGCAACGTAATAACAGTGGTTTCAGGAAAACCCTGGATTGTCATTCTCTTTCGGCGACATAAACACATTTTCTTTGCTTGTTTGTTGAATGGGAATTTTTCTTGCCACTCCAATTTGCAATTGTTTCACACACGAGGGTGTTAAAATATACAAAATGTATTTTAAAAAGCAAAACGATACAGTGAATGGTTTACATTCATAATGTGTGCAGTGCGAACGTTTTACAGTTTGAAGTCGATTTTAAACGTGAACAATCGGCGGCATTCGCAGCCTCACGTTTGTGTGCACTAAACATTCCAGCCGTTTTCACATGCAAATGCAAAATATAACATTGCAGAATAAAGGGAGCCATCCAAGGCTTTTAATTTGCCACATTGGTGGGATACCTGTGCTCTGGTAACACTTGAGCCTCACAGCAAGAAAGTCCTCTGCTCAATCCCCAGCTCGGGCAAATCAAGTACTTTTTTTATGTTTGGTTAAACACGTGGCGCTTTTCTGGCACAAATCTGACAGCCAAAGCTCCATCACATTAATACTGTACTCATCAACATGAGGATAGAACATTCCGGTACAATGCGAAAAATGTGCTATCTACAGTTTAAAATATTTAAAAACCGCATGTCGTGGCTGCAGTGTGGAGTTTGTTCTGGATGGGTTTCCTCTGATAAAAAAAAAAACTTATACAACGGGTACAGTATTGGCCAAACATTACATTGCTGAAAAATGATTTGTCATTCAATTCACATTACATTGAGCAACATCACCTCATGAGTGTCGGTGAGGCTTTTCTGAGGAAACAAGTGAAATAATAAAAAAATACGTGCTGTTAGTTAGTACTCTGAATTCTAGATTTAAAGCTTTCGTGACTGCTAGGATCCATACTCTTTGGTTCTATTGGGTAAAGTCACGTAGGTGGAAATAAAATAACAAAAAATCACGACGTTTCGGCCACAACACAAGCGGCCTTCATCAGGTGAAGGGACGAGACTGTCTGGCGCTGTCCTCCAGACAGTCTCGTCCCTTCACCTAATGAAGGCCGCTTGTGTTGTGGCCGAAACGTCGTGATTTTTTGTATTTTATTTCCACCTACGTGACTTTACCCAATAGAACCAAAGAGTATAGTACTCTGAACTTTGTGAAAATAAAAGTGAAAATTATACGAGCAGCCTTTTTACGAAGTAAGTATTTAATTCACATAGCATTTTTCCGAGAAACAATTTATTATTCAGTATGTTCAATGTTAAAGGAATGGTATATGATTATACTTGTGCGGTACATTTATGTCCTCAAACTTGTGATTTTAAATAAAAACAAATTGCGGTGTTTAAAATTGTCTCCGTTATTGCTATAGTTTTATGGATTTGGTTGTGTATGAACTTTCACGTGATACTTCACCTGTGCAGTATGACATGCTGTAGTCATTGTTGTGTCATCACCCATTGTCTACCGAACTGCCGGCTGAAGGCAGTCCATACCATCTCTCGTGGTCCTGCTAATTAATCTCCGTACTGTGCATCCATCTCCGCGGCGGTGGTCTTCCGTTCACGTGACATCTTAACGCGTTAAAGACATGAGTATTCTTTACGCTCACTTCAAACTTAATTCGTTTAATAAAAATAAACAAACATACTGAAATGGGTTACATACTGTTCACACCTGGGATCTTTCTTTAAAGTCAATGATAGTGACTTTCATTCTGCCATTTTCATTGTAGACAAACTGGCACCAATCTTGATTTGAAGCTTTCGTGACTGCAGGAATCCATACTCTTTGGTTCTTTCGGTAAAGTCACGTAGGTATAAAATAAAATAAATCACGACGTTTCGATTGCAACACAAGCGGTCGTCCTCAGGTGGAAAAAAATATAATCTAGCAGTGGAACTGCTGAACTAGCGAGAGAGCAGCTACAACAAGGAGGTTATATATGTGGCGATGGGCAATCAAGCGGGATCTGAGCTCGAAAGGAATTCCACCCCCGGACGCAAGCACCTCGGTTGTGTCAACGAGGGATTAGGGAGAGAGGGAGATTAGCATGAATGAGCTTCCGTCGCCGCATAAGAGTATCATGCCCGCATATGCGCACAACAGCAGTGTTAAGGAGAGATTAGCATCATGAGAGTGCAATCCAAAGGGCATGTGAGCGTGAGAGTGCAATCCAAAGGACATGTGAGCTTGAGAGTGTAATCCACCAGAGGAATGTGGAATTTCTCGCACTGGTTCAGGGCCAGCATTGGAGAAAAGTGCTATGTCAATTTTTCGTTTGAGCAATTGAGATCCTTGCACTTTTGTCGTGGTTTTTGGAATGGCTGATAGCCACAGTAATTATAATTATACAGAACAGTCTTTCATTCCAGAATTTTGAGCTCCATATTATATGGATTATTTAGTGCATGGAGTAAAGCAGGTTTTTAAAAAAATATTTAATATAAATAACAGTTGCATTTCATCACACCTGCTATATTCCTCAGAAATGTGTGCAATATATGTTGCTCTATATATACACAGGTATGTTTTTTTTCTAAAAATGTCTCGTAAAACACCTCTGTGCATTAGCAAGAGCAACAGACTGACCCCAAAAACCAGCGCTGAATTTTATTGCATCCTGCCACTTACCTTCCTCAGTTGTTGAGGTTATACTACGAATACATCGAAGTAGACTTTAGTTATTTTCTCTCATTTCTTATGGGCAAACGTTTTCTCTAATGGATGCCGCGGTGGCGAGATGATAACTACCTCGCCGGATATACAGGAGGTTGTGGGTTCGATCGCGACTCGGATGCCAGTATATTTGGAGTTTGCATGGTCTCCCCGTGATCGCGTGAATTTTTCTACGGGTCCTCCGGTTTTTCCCTTCACATTTAGAATCAACGTGTTTAGAGTATTTGGATGCTATACATTTCTACATGATAAGCCACTTCGTTGAGCTATAATTTGTGATAGCCAGGTCGTTTCTGAAAAATAGCTATGTAACTCAGTGGGCCTTACCTAAAATAAAAATAGGGTTTAATTGATTTATAGGTTCTATTTGGCCATGAATGTGTTTACATTTCCCCCACCCGTCACTTTAAAAGTTTGTTTTCTCATGTCCCCAGCATATCCTTGATAGGATTTGTTCTCTGTCTTTTTTATTTCACCAGGTGACAACGCAGAAGAGACCAGGATCGTCTCATTCGCAGGTTGCGAGCTTGGCACACACGCAGTGATCATACGTGAGCGGTTGCATCATTGAATATACCGTGGCATTAAATGCACCTTATGCCCCCAGGAGACTGCTCTGTAATATGCCACCCATTTTGACCGCAGCTCATTAACAAGCTTCATGTTCATACATCCACGCTTGGTGGTCACACAGGGCGGAGCTTCGAGCCCACAAGCCCTGGCCACTGGGCACGGCCAAAATCTCGCGAAGCAATAAGAGCTCACTCTTAGCGTAACATTGTGTCGGGTGCCGCGTAGACGAATAAATATGGGGTTTTTTAATGTTTTACTATTAGCGCACGTCTTGGTATACTTCTGCTCTGGACAGCCACCTCTGGTGAGTGTTCTTTCTATAATGACTTTAATATTTTATTGCGTTTATAGAACTATCATATTTTGCATTCAGCTATCATTTGGTACAAATGTGTTAACATACATTCGAGTACAATTTTATTTTTAACATATAGCTTAATGAGCTAAGTTTTAGTATTCCTTCAATGCCATTTTCAACCTTGGCTGTATTCATTCACAATTCTCTATCAATACATTTACGACAATTCTGAGCATTTAACGGTCAATGTTTAAAAAAATAACCTCTACTTTCTTGCAAATGGAAGGATTGTACTTGTTGCGCTTAATATTTTTTATCGAGTGAGAAAAAAAGGCGTGCACAGATTCACATTTGCGTTTGCTTATGAAGGAAAATTTATTGTACCGTGGGATTAAAATCGAAAAATTAGTTGTAGAAAATGGGCCTTTAGACCCCTGCCACACAAGAGGACACTGCGTGGCTTTCACGAGCTCTGCGGGCAGGCGGGGAGAGTGGGTGGGTGGGGGGGGACTAAACCAATATTTGACTTCTTCTTTGACTTGCAGGCACGGACACCGAGCCCAGGCCAGGGTCCTGTGGGCACCCGGGGGCCTGCAGGGTCCCCGGGATCTCCTGGCCGTGATGGAAACGATGTAAGTTGTTGCTTTTCGATGAATTATTCGTAGCTCTTAGCCTCGGTAAATGTCGCCCAAACGTATCGTTAAGCCACAGAAATTTGCCTCTTGCTTAAAAATGCTATGATGGCATGAATGAGTTTTCGTGGAAAGGTTCACTGAAGAGTAGTTGCTAGAGTTCACTCAGCGAGTTCTCCGTGTAATTTTCACTTAAGTTGATATTAAATAGGATATTCATTAAATATGTTAACTCGTTGTAGTAATTATCTGAAACAGCAACTGGATACCGCTTAAATATATGTTGAAATATCTACTTTTGTTCATTGTATTCATTGTGCTGTAACCGAGCCTACATTTTCGGCATAGAGTGACATTTGTATGTCACGAGTCCATGAAATATAGTAGAGATGTATGGATTTTTTGCTACTGCATCTGACTTTTAAGTGTACATCTGTGACTGAGTTTGCAGACCAATCCGTTAAGTTAATAATGCTGTGTTTCATTTACGATTACAGAGAAATACGCAGTGTTAATAAAGATATCATCACGATTAGAATTAGATAGCAGTTTAAGCCAGGTTCATAAAACCACACACACAGTGGCATTAATATTTTAGTCGTACAAGTCTCATCCCATTAATCTTCAGCGTGTCTGCCATGCCGACACATCTCGTTTTGAGATTTAAGAGAGCCAAAGGTGCTATTAGGTATCATTATTATTCTGTCCAGGTGAAGATAATTTAAACTTCTCTATTTTAAAACTTATGCATGCAAGGAAAATGTTGCCAAAGATTCAAAAATAGTTCTAATGTTGTGCACTTATACACATTGAATCATAGTTGATCACACCGAAATTACAGCTTTACAAAAAACATAGACGTTAAATAGTTCACCTGGTATGTAGAAGGACGTGGGTGCGATCCCGACCCTGATGCATGTATATTGGAAGTATGCATGTTCTCTCAATGGTCGCAGTTTTCCCCTCCATATTTATAAACATGCGTTTAAAGTATTTGGCTGCTATAAATTCCCACATGACAAGCCACTTCGTTGAGCGACCATTTGTGGCCAGGTCGCTTCTGAAAAAGAACTGTGTAACTCAGTGGGGGCCCTTACCTGGTGAAATAAAAAAAATAGGTGAACATAGTTTTGCCTTACATGATGAACACTATCCAACAAAATTCTATACAATAACTGGAATAAATTTCGAAAGATGGTGAGTGAAATGACAATTTTGGCCCCAGTTTGGCCCAACAGCCTTGGGTGTTTCCATCGAAGTGTGGGTATCCTAAAAACGTGTTGAACAAATCAATGGCTGTTAGCCACACAGGTCGTGAAGGTTATATTTTTTTTTACTTTGAAATTTGGATTTTTAAAATGTGTTCATAATAGAATTCGTTTTATGCTGATTGGCTGCTGCTGTGCCCTGTACAGCGCTTTGATATCCCTGATGAAAAAGCCGCTATTTAAATTGAATTATTAGCACTGGACTTTCGTGCTCATGCTTACAGGTCACGAGCGGAGTGATACCGAGCACAATACGAGAGCACAAATTCATAGCCACCAAGAGAAGTGATGACACAAAATTAGAATGGATTTAATTTGTCTGCATTCCACTTCCCGTGGCTGGCCACACTGCCAGTTCCCTGTCCCTGTTGATTCCATGCAGAATCTTTTTTTTCCTTTACCTGTGGCTCATATTAAAGGTGTTTTTTTGGGTTAGATCGCATAAGTATAAACGTGTCGTTAACCGGCCACCACCCGACACAGCCAACCAGTAAGGTTTATCACGTAAACAAAACGTGCCAATTAGTTACATTTACAATTTGAGCACTGTGACATTTCGCTGGTAGTTACATTTAGCATCATCGGGCGATTTTGCCACAATTGTGGCTGACCGTGTCTTTGTTCGCACGTTAGCCAAGGCTTTGTATTATGATGCAGGATGTGCATCATGAATCTTGGCCGTCTTTCTCCGTGAAGAATCTTCATTTTAAACCTTTACAATACTGTGGTCCCTTTTCTTTCTGCGGCTTTAAAAAATACTGAAAAAAAATCTGCTTCAAATTATCATTGCTGTGCATGGTCCCCTCATTTGTACAGCATCTTGAGATGCAGGGACATTTAGATCCTTTGTAAGTCCAAATTATTCTGCAATGTACAGGGTGTTTCAGAAAATGGATCCAATTCAAAGCAGTATATTTCACGATGGCAACATGTTACAATTACACAAAAAGTTACAAACGGTTTAATGAGTTATCAAGTTTTACTAACCATTTTATAAATGCTCTCTGTGCCCTCCACCTGCTGTACGGACAACATCGAGACGATAGTTGAATTCGTCCCAAACGCCTCTCAAAGTGTCTTCTTACACTGAAGTCACTGCTGCCGTGATTCGCTTTTTGAGGTCATCCACATTAGTCGCTAATGGTGGCACAAAAACACCACGGGTCTTTGACGTATCCCCACAAGAAAAAGTCGAACAGGGTGTGGTGATGTCTAGGGGGGATCTTGGGGGCCAAGAGTGTAGCGCAAAGTCTTGGGGTCCCGTGCGACCTATCCAGCGTTGAGGCAGTGCGTCATTTAGAAAACGTCGCACCTGCAGGTGCCAATGTGGCGGTGCTCCGTCTTGTTGAAAAATGAAGTCATCGGAATCTTCATCAAGTTGTGGAAAGAGCCATTTCTGCAGAATTTCGAGATACGCTTGCCCCGTGATTGTGTTTCCCTCGAAAAAGAAAGGGCCATAAACCTTTCTTTGAGAAACAGCACAAAACGCGTTCACTTTCGGGGAATTACGCTCACGCTCTGCAGTTTCGTGTGGATTCTCTAATCCCCATATGCGCACATTGTGACGGTTAACTTTACCGCTGAGATGAAACGTTGCTTCATCACTGAAAATCAAACGCGGTAAGACGCTGTCGCCCTCCATGTTCTGTAACATCGCATCACAAAATTCTTCACGATTTCCTTTGTCACCTGCACGAAGAGCCTGTGCCGAACCGGCATGGCCTCATGATTAAACATCGCCTTAACACGCGCCAGACAGTCGAATGAAGGATCGCAAGTTCTCGGCTGGCGCGACGAGTGGACTTGCGCGGGCTACGCAGAAAACTCTCTTGAATTCTTCTCACGTTTTCCTCTGAGGTGCGTGGTCGCCCTTGTGCTCTTGCCCTTACATAAACAGCAGCCTGTTTCCTTAAATTGTCGGTACCAACGACGAATGCTCTTTGAACTGAAGAACGCAAAACGCCCCTTGTGTTGTGGGGTCATCTTGCGAATGACTGAGGCTAGGGGCTGTATCTGCGCTGTGAGAGACATCTTAGCGGTAATCATTTGAAACTCTATGCCCCGCCCTTTCAAGTGGTAAGAGTTTCATTGATGGGCGGTTCGTGGTTGCAGAGATATAGCAATTTCAAATCGGTTCCATCTTTTTGAAACAACCTGTATAATTGTACTGAAGTGTTTGTACTTTCAACAGCTTTCCGTGCAATGCAATGGGTTTAGTGGTCCGTGGGAATGTGCACTTCATCGTGAACTCTAAACCCAGAGCAGTCTCGCATTAAAAAAAAAAACAATAAAGGGACAGCTCAAGTCACCTCGTCTCTGAAAAGGGGAGCGAGGCCATGCGCTTTGAATAAAAGCCATTTTCCCGAAATGTTCAGCATTATATATATATTTATTTATTATATCGACGAACATTTGGAGGCTTTTCTTGTTAATTGTGCCTGTGCACCACTGTCAACACAGCATCTCCTAATAATTTGTTGAATACGTGTGTTTATTATTGCCACTGATTACGGGAAAGAGGTATGGTGCTTGCTTTTTGCAAGCGAAAACTGCTTTCTGCCTTTCCGAGTGGGACATGGATGGACCACAGGGTGGCCGAGTAGGAGAAGTATAAGCAAAAAGTAGTTAATTAGCAAATAACCTGCCGTTAAACAGACAGATACACTATGCTGTTTCCCAAAAAAAAAACACGAATGAGAAAAAAAATAACACTTGACAAACTTGTCAGTGAAAAGAAATATAAATATATAGACATGCGGTTTGAATACATACTCTTTGGTTCTTTTGGTAAAGTCACGTAGGTGAAACATTTTAATAAAAATAAATAAATAAAATCACGACGTTTCGGGCGCAGCACAAGCGCCCGTCATCAGGTGGGACAACCACAGCAAAAAAAACAATTTCTGAAATGGTCAAGAAAGAAAGAACCAAAGAGTATGGATTCTTGCAGTGACGAAAACTTCAAATCTAGAATGAGTTTGAATACATTTTAATTCAAGATTAAATAATAATAGCTGACAGCCTTTGGCAATGCCCTTTTTTGCAGCAAGAAATCTTTTTTAAACGTAAAAATCCTGCAGTGTGGCATGTGGAAATGAGGAATGATGATGGTGGTTAACATTTTTTTTAATGTTAACACCACAGATTCTACCATAGCCTAACTGAAACCCAAGGCCTTGTTTTCATGACCAGTGTTAAGCCGGCATATCCCATGATACGAGATCCCTGTATTTTCAACATCTCTAAACCTGCGCCTGTGCTATCATAAGCAGACTGCGCTGAAACCCACACATCCATTATATTTTTTATATTGAACCAATATCAACGATCACATCAGAGTGCACATACAAACACGAATAACATCAGTATGTGCCTTCTGGGTAGGCTTTCCTCTCTGAATAAGAGTAGGTTAAATAAGGTGTGCCAGGTTAATTTTCTAACCCAGGCAAAATTTAGGGAGCGAGGGAGAGAAGGGGGTGGGGGTGGAGGAAAAAGGTGGATACTCAGCCATTCTTTAAAAGGGAGTTGGATCACTTTTCAGATTGTTAACATATTCGTCAGGTAAAATTACACAACGCACAATGCTACTCAATGTCCCAGTTTCACCGTGGCAGTCTCGATAAAAAAGTCTGTCATTTCCCCGAAGCGCCTCTGAAAATATGGATTTTGTCCCAGTTTTAGATTGTATGGCTTCATGATACGCTTAAACAAGATGGAAACGTGCATTGTGTGTCCAAAGAGCTTTCAGATTATACATATGTAACAACACCAGTTCCTGAATAAAAGTATTGCGGTCATCTTGTCTTAAGTCACCATCTATTATAAATTGAGAAAATACGACCAACCAACGGGCAGCAGTGAGACAAAGAGACAACTCTAGACCGGTTTTGACCTTTAGGAACTGGGGTTGTTTGTAAAATCATTTAGGCTGACAGTTATTTGTGCACACAGTTCACGGTTGCAAACCTTGGCTTTTCCCATCCTGCACTGTTTCTCTTTTGATGGCTTTTATCATCGTCTACAGATTTGAATTCATGCACGACTCACGATAAGAGCAAAGGGACAGTTCCCAGCTGGGTTGGTGGGCCCGGTTGGCTGCAGAGCAAGTGGGGCCTGTGGGCAAGTGGGCAGGGTCAGTGGCAGAGAGAGCAAAGGGGAGGCCACCTCATTGTGTAGGGGTGGAGCTAGTTGTCGAGTGGGCGTGGTTATGTAAAAGTGGGCGGGGTTGATGGGGGTGGGGGGTTATCAGCTCCAACCCTAAAAAAGTGGTAGCCTCAACAAAACATATCTGTGAAAAATAATACGATTATAACCTTCCCTAACAACATACCTTTGTTAAAGTAATATACTTTAAAACACTGCGTGAAACTGTATTCTGTAATCACAACCCCGCAGACCTTACTTTTACATTCCTGCCCAGTGGAAGTCCAACCTCCCTATGTCAAAGTCACTGAGCAGCAGAGGAAGGTGAGATAGATAGGGAAGGGCAGTGTGAGCAGAACGTGAAGGGATGAAGCCACATATATATGTATGTTGAACTTCTTTAGCACCGTACGCTTCCAACTACCTCTTTTCCACTGGGACATCGGAGTCGGTGCTGAGCTAGAGGCCATCCCGGGTCAGGGAAGTCAGGAGCTGCAGGTGGTTTTTCCACTGCAAAAGCCAAGCCGTGCCGCTGATGTCGCATGCAATGTGCGACGTTGAGTCTCTCGCAGAGGACGAGGAGACACTGTGTTTGAGTTGACTCACACACAGATATACACATTCCCAGATCATAATCAGAATATTTATTATAAGAATAGGTTTTCCCATTTTTTCTGGCTACAAAACAATTGTGTTAAGATGTTAAAACAACAAACTGAAACCTTTTGCAAGGAATCATGTCTGCATTAAGGGGCCGTCCATAAATGACGTCACGCGATTTTGGCCGGTTTTTGATCCCCCCCCCTCCCCCCTCGTCACACGGCGTCACAAAAAGTCAGACCCCCCTCAAATATGACGTCACAAAAATCGCCCCCCCCCCCCCCCAAAACCATATTTCCATTTTGAAAATAAAACATGCTTCAAATCGCTTTAAACTATCATCATTGTAGTGCGTATTTAATGTGGCGCTACACTCTGATGTTGTAGGAGAAAACACGTATTAAGAAGATGGCGTTGGAAATCTGAAATTTAGCATAAAATTCACTTGAAAATATTCAACGTCTAACTAAAACTGCAGATTTTCAGAATATTATATTTAAATGATCTTATAATTATAAAATATTACAAGTAATAAAAAAAATACTTGAAGCTTTGTAGTAGAAAGAAGCAAAATGGAGAGTACAATTATAACAATCACATATTCATTCCACAGAATGAAAAGCCCTGGTAGAATCATTAGAATCAAAATGTTTAATAACAATAATTCAAAAAATTACAAAATTTATGCTTCTCCATTCTCCCATGGAGAAGCACAATGCTGCTTCATGGAATAAATAAAAGGTGACCTTGATAAATTTAAATAATCAAATAGTTAATCATGAAAATTAATCAAAATTAGTGTTGTTATAACAATTCTATTTAATGAAGTAGAACGTGTTGTTTATGTTTATTTAAAGTTGCGCATTTTGATGTGACGTCACATTTCTCAAACACCCCCCTCCCCCCCTCGTCACACATCGTCACAAATGTCTGACCTCCCCCCCCCCAGGTGCGTGACGTCATATATGATTGACGGCCCCGAACCACATATATTTGTGGTGAAGATACAAACAAAGAACATGCTCTGACAGTCTTGATTTGAAGCTTTCGTGACTGCAGGAATCCATACTCTTTTGTTCTTTCCCACCTTGATGGCGGACGCTTGTGTTGCCCCCGAAACGTCGTGATTTATTTTATTTTATACCTACGTGACTTTACCAAAATAACCAAAGAGTATGCTCTGACAGTATGTGCATTGTCTTTGAAACGGATTGGTCCACACCAGAGACATCTTTCTTTAGAGCCTAGTCTCAATCAGTGATAGACCAGAGGACGCCAAAAGGCTAACATCTATTCTTATATTTTAATACTGGCAAAGGAGGTCCCATAATGAAGAATATTTATTATTTCATATCTATGCACACACACTCACAACGTGATATATATATACACACAGAGGATGCAATATTGTTCATACTCCTTATTAGTCCTGCCCCTGGTCCTACTTGGCCCCGAGCCAGATCCAGATGTCTTGTGAAGCCATTGCATCACGATGTGGTATCGAAGTGCCATCACATTGTTTAAAAAAAATCACACCTGGCCTTTGGAATAAAAGGGTGACGTCATTCACACGCACGTGCGTGAAAATGACGTCACTGTGATTGCGTCTTCGTATTCACGGCCCATGACAGCGGTGAGAGAGGCAGCGGCAGTGGTGGGTCTCGTGAGCACGTGCTGCCTTAGACCGGTCTCGTGAATTCCACCACGAGCAATTACCATACTGGGATGCTTGGTGAGCAATCTGTCAGGGGTAGCCGCCTGAATGGTGTTACTCAGCAGTGAAAGTTGGCTTCGTCGAAGCTGGTGGGTTAGATATATATATTTTTTAAAATTAAGTTTCCTTTTTTTTACAATTTACAGGGTTTAGCTGTTGAAGTTTGTCTTGACAAAATTTACCCTCACTACCCTGATGCCTTGCCACTGGTTATGCTACTGCAGAAGAAGCCAAATTCAAGGTCCTGTGGATTACAACGGTGCAATGCACCTATAATGTATACAAATTCATGGTTATCTCAGGTCACGGAGCAAAAGATCATGAAATCACGAATGCCCTTGTAGTAAGGATTTCACTTGTTGTTAATGTGTTTATTGTAGTCTCTGTGTACTGTGTGTACATTAACATCATCAAGCGTTTTACAATGTGTTATTCATGCTTACATCTGTTTCTTTAGGGTCTGAGAGGACTTCCTGGGGCACCTGGACAAACTGTAAGATCGATCCCGGTTTCATTTTTTTCAGCACCCAGCCTCCCGTAGACGCTTTTTTTACGGCGTACCATAATCGTCCCTCGATATACACAACACATTGCGTGCGTCCTGATGGTGATGGTGAGGCAATGCGCGTTCTGTTTTTGTGTGTGTGTGTTTGTCGTGGCACCAGGGAGAGAAAGGAAACCCTGGCCCCTCGGGAGTCGTGGGAAAATCTGGGCCACCTGGCATTCCCGGTAGCGACGTGAGTGCCGCTGCTGCTCCTCCCGACATGCAACACAACTTGGGATTTTGTCGTGTAAAACATTTTGTCAGATGGTGTTTTTGTTGTTGTGACCCGACTTGCACCACTACCACCACCAAAAGTGTCCTCTCAGCTCAGCCTCCGCGGCGTTGTGAGAAGAGGAATCCACTCGGGATGCAATGCGCGCCGCGTGTCAGAGAATAACTCCAGAGAAGTTGCCTTGTTATCCTTTACACAGGAGGGGGTGCACTATACCCACGCATTCTACGATAAGATTGTCACAGGCCCGCTAACGCGGCCTGCTGATATTTGTCCGATTTTCTCAATTGAAATTCAGCCAAACAAAGCGCCGGATCAAATTCGGCACGGCGGGTCGGTCTCGTTTTGTGCAGTCAAGGATGACCAAGCTGAGACTCTGAACTTGAACAGTGGCAGCTCAGAGGATTTATTTACAGAGAACGTTCATGACGTCAACATTGTCTGTCACGAGAGCTCGAGACTCACAGCTAAAATGTTCCCAAGTCTTTGTTGGGAGTCAGCTCAGCCAATTCAACGATATCAAGTTGATAAAAAACGAGTGCCGCTTTGTGGGAAATCAATCATCATCTCATGGAGAGATTGACCCCGCTTCTCGGAATGTGGAGATTCCTCCACTCGGCTCAGGGCTTCTGGCGCAGAGGAGCGCTGCCCCATTGTTAGTTTGCATCGTTTTTCTTTAATTCCTCATTGTGTACAACACTTGCAACGTTAACCGTGATGTTGAAGTCAGTTAACTGCGAACGGATGAATGAACGAACCTTGATGAAATAATTGTGGGCACGCTTAAACGTTCACGTTCATTTCAGGTTGCATTGTTCTCGTCGTACCGTATTTGTGCTAATTTGCAAGTACGAGCCTTTGTTTTTAAATGGTAGAGAACGATGTACGTTTATTCATTTAGCGTGTTTTCCTGTGTGTGTGTAGGGAATTGTAGGTCCTTCTGGTGACATTGGACCTTCAGGGAGCCTGGGACAAAAGGTACTGTGATCCTGATTTAGAAAAATCTCATTCTTGAAATATGGAATTTTGTGTGTGTGTGTGTCTGTATAGGGCGCGGTCCATAACACTTTCGACTGCATCACTTCCACACTGCCACTGAATGCAAGCACACACAGCGCCAAACCTCACCTCCTTGTACCTCGGTCAGCACGCAGCGGGCCCAGGCAACTAGCCACTTGCCCCACCACCTGGTGCTTACACTTTCAAGTAGGCACTAGAAGTGTAACGATGCATCGAATCATCAGTTACAATCAAACGGAGTTACGTTGACGCTGATGGAAGAGAAAAATCTGTAGGAATGAGACGGAAAAAACCCCACATCAATTCACAGAAGGAGGGGTTCAGATATCACTCTCCGCTGTCGTTTGCCACGACCACTGCACCACCACTCCACCCTAACACATCATCACAACAGCAAATTGCTGTGCTTTAAAGGCAGTTTTTGAATGTATGGCCTCTGATTATTGGCTTATTTTACCTGCAGGGAAACCAAGGACCGCCGGGTCCCCCTGGGTCATCGGTGAGTAGAGGAATTGATAAATTGATACATTGATACCATTGAAGCTCTGTCGTCCCGACAGGTCTGTACCTTTCACCTGAAGACGGCCGCTTGCGTTGTGGCCGAAACGTCGTGAGAATTTTATTGTGTTATTTTATTCTCATTCTACGTGACTTTACCGAAAGAACCAAAGAAGATGAATCCTTGCAGTCACGAAAGCTTTAAATCGAAATTGATACATTCTAGTTTTTCAGCCGTACGGGCACTTGTGCTAATGCAGTTATGTAAATAATTATACATGCCATTATATATGCAGTGTGATGCGCATATACATTTGTGCGTTGTCATCAAGGCACGGGTCCTTATTAACTCTTGTGATTTTGTTGTTTTAATCCAGGGACAACTACTGGGCGGTCCCCCGGTATGTACCATCATCGTCTTCTCTCCATGACATTGTTGCATTGTTTGGTTTAATGAAGTGTATATACTCGGATGCATACCGCTAGTTGAGTCAAACAATATAGGTTAATCTCAAAAAGTAAAATTGGTTCAGCAGTCCCTTGTTTAACATAAACGCTGATCAACATACTAATCCATTTAATTAATCACAGTTTAGTTATTTGTCAATCCACGGGCATTACCATGTTGAGTCAGTGGTGGAGGTTGTTTGACCGGACAATCACCACGTTGCCCAGTGTGGGTTGGTGAAGAAGGGAGGCCCAGAATCGGTTCAGATATCACTCACCACTGATATCAGCCAAGGCCAGCAATTGGACAATTGGACTGAGGTCACTGGGTTCATAGCGCAGTGCATTAACCTATCTCCCACCTCTCCCCTCTAGACATATTGAATACCTTTGTCAAAATTTAACTGCACATGCTTGTAAAGGGAAAGGGCTCTGTACAGTGGAAACCAGGTCATTTCCACAACTGCATAGAGGTTTTAGCCTTAGTCGAGATCATCAGCACAGCATACTGTCATGTTTTGTTTCATCTCCACAGTGCATCTATTTCCTGCATTATATGAGTCAGCTTGCAATCGTTTTGTTGTGGTCTCTGTAATTACACAGGAATCCAGTACACCCAGCAAATGCAAGGCTTATGTAATGGTGATATAATGCTCCCACCTATACAACCCGTTCTGCCAGAGCAAAATCTAAATAAACTAAACAAATCTAAATCTTTATTGCAACCTGGTACAAAGGTGTGCAATGCACGCTTTATCTCATAAATAGAAGGTAAAGTGTTGGCACGCAAGAGCTTTAAGGAAATTCAAGGCGTAGGGAAGTTTGACCAGTTTCTCAGCGAGTGTTGTTACCTGTGGAACTAAACCAGGATTACAGAACAAAACCTACACTTCCGTGGCAAATCACACTCAAAGCTGCTCACGAGACCCAGAAGGAAAAAAACTGGTCCAAGAGTTTGTTGATGAAACAAATGCTGCTGGTTACGTAATGTTGGCCTAGAAATCCGATTGGCTGATGGACACGTACTGTACATTTTTACATCTACAGTGAGGGAACAAAGTATTTGATCCCCTGCTGATTTTGTACGTTTGCCCACTGACAAAGAAATGATCAGTCTATAATTTTAATGGTAGGTTTATTTGAACAGTGAGAGACAGAATAACAACAAAAAAATCCAGAAAAACGCATGTCAGGAATGTTATAAATTGATTTGCATTTTAATGAGGGAAACAAGTATTTGACCCCTCTGCAAAACATGACTTAGTACTTGGTGGCAAAACCCTTGTTGGGAATCACAGAGGTCAGACGTTTCTTGTAGTTGGCCACCAGGTTTGCACACATCTCAGGAGGGATTTTGTCCCACTCCTCTTTGCAGATCTTCTCCAAGTCATTAAGGTTTCGAGGCTGACGTTTGGCAAGTCGAACCTTCAGCTCCCTCCACAGATTTTCTATGGGATTAAGGTCTGGAGACTGGCTAGGCCACTCCAGGACCTTAATGTGCTTCTTATTGAGCCACTCCTTTGTTGCCTTGGCCGTGTGTTTTGGGTCATTGTCATGCTGGAATACCCATCCACGACCCATTTTCAAAGCCCTGGCTGAGGGAAGGAGGTTCTCACCCAATATTTGACGGTACATGGCCCCGTCCATCGTCCCTTTGATGCGGTGAAGTTGTCCTGTCCCCTTAGCAGAAAAACACCCCCAAAGCATAATGTTTCCACCTCCATGTTTGACGGTGGGGATGGTGTTCTTGGGGTCATAGGTAGCATTCCTCCTCCTCCAAACATGGCGAGTTTAGTTGATGCCAAAGAGCTCCATTTTGGTCTCATCTGACCACAACACTTTCACCCAGTTGTCCTCTGAATCATTCAGATGTTCATTGGCAAACTTCAGACGGGCATGTATATGTGTTTTCTTGAGCAGGGGGGCCTTGCGGGCACTGCAGGATTTCAGTCCTTCACGGCGTAGTGTGTTACCAATTGTTTTCTTGGTGACTATGGTCCCAGCTGCCTTGAGATCATTGACAAGATCCTCCCGTGTAGTTCTGGGCTGATTCCTCACCGTTCTCATGATCATTGCAACTCCACGAGGTGAGATCTTGCATGGAGCCCCAGGCCGAAGGAGATTGACAGTTATTTTGTGTTTCTTCCATTTGCAAATAATCGCACAAACTGTTGTCACCTTCTCACCAAGCTGCTTGGCAATAGTCTTGTAGCCCATTCCAGCCTTGTGTAGGTCTACAATCTTGTCCCTGACATTCTTGGAGAGCTCTTTGGTCTTGGCCATGGTGGAGAGTTTGGAATCTGATTGATTGATTGCTTCTGTGGACAGGTGTCTTTTATACAGGTAACAAGCTGAGATTAGGAGCACTCCCTCCCTTTAACGAGTGTGCTCCTGATCTCAGCTCGTTACCTGTATAAAAGGCACCTGGGAGCCAGAAATCTTTCTGATTGAGAGGGGGTCAAATACTTATTTCCCTCATTAAAATGCAAATCAATTTATTACATTTTTGACATGCGTTTTTCTGGATTTTTTTGTTGTTTTTCTGTCTCTCACTGTTCAAATAAACCTACCATTAAAATGATAGACTGATCATTTCTTTGTCAGTGAGCAAACGTACAAAATCAGCAGGGGATCAAATACTTTTTTCCCTCACTGTATGTGGAGGCAGAAAAGAGAGTTATACTTATCATGTATAGTATAATAATGTAAGGTCAAGCTCCATCACCTATTATATACCATATATACAGGAGATCCGTCTACTTACGAACATTCGACTTGCGAACTTTCAGAGATACGAACAAACCTGTCCGTATGTCCAGTTGCCTGTTCGGACCAAGAGTCGTAAGATCAACCGCCGCGCAATAGATGACGGTAGTGGCATCTACATCTGCCGAATATGAAGAACCAGTGGCATCGACATCTACGGGAGATGATACAACTTTTAAAGCCATCCCCTATGTTTAGTGTAAATGCCGTACAACACGTTTGGAATCGACAGGAGTAAAGTTGGACTTTTCGAACAAATCGACTTACGAACAGACCTCTGGAACCCTAACTCGTTCGTAAGTCGAGGAGTCCCTGTTTATATTTTCCTTTTAAGGCACTGTTCCTGACATGTGTGTTGAGTTGTCCGTACAGATGGGTAAATTTGCCGTGCTGCCCTGGTCTGGCTGTCTCCTGGCTCAGCCAGGCTGGGAGTATGACATCACTTGATAAAATATAAAAAGAACCACCGGCCTCTGCCTTCCAAGCCGCGTGACTTTCGTTCCGTACAGTAGCCTGCTTTTACGTATCATACATGCGTCCAAGTTGAACATTTTGACTTAAACGACGAGCGGCACAATCAGAATCGGAACGTTTACTTATGAAACTGGAGGAATCCGATGAGCTGTAAAGCTCTTTTTTCCAGTTTGGGCGGGTCAAAAAGTTACAAGAACAAAAAATACATAAACACGATGGGAGTGCAACGTATGGGGAAGGTTAGCAAATCAATACCACCACGGCTAGAATTAAATCACCATTAGCTACGCCTGCTCATCAGTGAGGCTTTTAATTGAGTTCCATCTGTGACTGTTGCAGGGCATCCCAGGGAAAAAAGGACCCTCAGGAGGAGTTGGTCTTCTTGGAGCTCCCGTAAGTGGATTGTGGGGAATGCCATCCCCTATCACTGTGACACTCATTACACACACAAAGCGCTTGCCGCAAATGAACCACCACAACACCTCACTGATCTCGTCGACGAGCATAAACCAAGAGCCGCTCGCAGCAGCGGCTCTTGGTTAGCCATCGAACAAAGACGCTTACCGCCGCATTGCACTCTTTCAGATGCGCCCCTGCGGCCATCTGGAACGCTCTTCCGATATTAGGAGGCCACTGGAGCTATGCACTTTTAAATCTAAGTTGAAAACTGATTTCTTTAGAGCTGCCTTTTGTGTCCAGTTTGTCGTCCTTCCTCCGCACCTCCGACTAGCACGGTTGGCTGCGTACGGTGCGAAAGAAGTTGACCATGCACACGTACACGCAGTCATGTGGGATGCGAGCGCCCATACGTAGACTCGAGGCATCGGCGTAACTATTGAGTGTGTAGGCGGTGGGGGTGGGGGGCATTTAACTCCTTGCACCCGGAGCCCAAGGCGACCACGCTACCCACGCCACTAACTCGAGGAACACAAACGTGGCGTTAAGTAATTCGTTTTGTTGCAGCTTTTTAGAACGTGAACTCTAATTTATTTGACCTTTAGAGAGGTATAAACATTGCAATGATGTTACGCAACAATTTCTGAAAACTCCAGAACAGAGCAGAACCTGTTTTGACGGTTTTGGTAAGTTTTTTGAATATGCACGCTGCAGCGGAACAAGTTAATGTGGTGGTCATCAGGTAAGTTACAGGCCTCTATGGAGCATGATGCAGGTGATGCCAAACCTCTTATCAGTCGGTCCAAACGTTGAGATATTTAGTCGTAAGCAGCTTAATTACTAAGATTAAGTGGAGCCATCAGAAACGTGTACCAGATCATGGCTGTAAAACGATTGCCACCCGGTGTGATTCTAATAACAAACGAAAATAAAGTTGTTATCTAAGATCTAACTAGATGATGGAAATTCCTCAAACATAACATGAATTCAGAGGTGAACATTAACGCAATTTTCCAGTGGTTGTCATTCTAACATTGGAATGTCTTCAAATGCAGGGGAACAGTGGGCCTCAAGGCCTGCCCGGACCACCAGGGCCACCTGGCCTGGAGGTGAGATTACACACATTTTTCCAAGTCTCTCATAAAACAACAATAAAGGCAAATTACAAACTTGTTCACGCGTAAAACATCTACGAACGCCGAACGGTGCACGCCAACGGACACGTGGTTTTATGACCACGCGGGATAGTGGCTCACGAAAAAATATATAGATGTACGAAGCAAATAAATTAATGTATTGGCGGTTATTGGGCAATGATGTTGGGTTTCCCTGAAACTTTAAAGCAAATTATAGAAATAGGCTTTACCCTTTTAACTGGCACAAAAACTGACACCTTTATTCAAGGCATCATGTTTGCAATAACCACAACACAAGCAGTCAAAATGCAAACAAAAGAGACAACTCTGATAATAATATGCACTGTCCTTGAATTTGATTGGTCCACACCCGAGACAGCTTTTCTTAGAGCCTAGTCTCCACTGGTGTTGGACCAGAAGACGCCAAAAGGCGTACAACCTATTTCTATATCTTGTTAGTGGCAAAGGTCTCATAATTTAAAGCAAATTACTCGGTGTTCCCACGAGGTGGCGTTGATCCCATTAGAGCGTGGGGCTGTCGAAGTCCGTGATTTAAAATACAATCTCTTTATTTCTTTGCTCTTATACATGCAGAATATAGTCACTCTCTTAGGGTGTGGGTTTATCTATTGATTAGTGGTAAAGATTAAAACCGTATTTTATAAAACACTTTAATTCATAACGTAGTAATCTTTGGACAGTTCCAAAATGCATATCAACAATCATGTTTGGCACCAGACAAATATTTAGCGTACTCTTGTGAAGTATTGTTGTTGATCTTTCACATCTCTCTGGTTTGTAACTAATAAATACGGATGGGCTTTAATTTATTTACTTTGAAAGGCTAATATGAGAAGTTGTAAATATAGTTTGACAAATTTGATCACATTTGTCCTCATTTTCATTAACATTTAAACGTGTTTTCCCTCAAAACACTCATTACTTGGCCAATAAACACCTTTCACATACAGAGGACCACAGAGCTTGGGAGGGGGATTTTGCGCCCAGCTTTTTCCGTTCGTCTGTGGTTCCTCCTCACACCGCTCAGTTGATCTCTGTCTGTGAGAGTGAGCGATGACTGTGCAGCACATTGGAAGTGGACACTATTATTCAAAATTGCACGTTTATTCACACCTACATTCGAAAATATAAAATATTGTTTCGTGATGTTTTGAGGTCTTGGAAATGGTAATGGGGCAATATCTTAAAAAAAAAAATTCTCATTTCAAAATATTGTTGAGTGGTGTCACATTTCTAACGAGCGATATTGGAAATGGTCATCAATATTTAATGCCGGTCTCGATCTCAAATATTAATATCGGCTGTCCTCCCTGGATTGAATTCTGAAATGTTTATGCTCCCAGATAAAAAAAAAGAAGGCACAGCTTTGAGCATCGCCATATTGCAATTGTCAGCGTTGTGCTCCAGTCTTATCAGCTAAGCCTCCACGCACTGAAATGCCTGTTTGCGTACAAATGCGTTCTGAAATGTTAGCCAACAAACCTTCGGACGACTGTTTTGGGCCCGGAGAGCCATGCGGCACAACCACGAAAACCTTGCAGGAGTAACTTCACCTCCTCACCAATACGGTCACCTTCCCGTTATTTACAAAGGGAGCCTCTGGCATTGTAGTGAATTAACAAAGTGTGTGTGAGTAAAAGTGACATGTTGGTGGCCGGCACTTAAGCACATGTGCGCTGTATGTTGTTTTTGTTGTCTTACCCCGCGGTTTCGATAGGGTCTTCCTGGAATCATGAGTGCAGATGGCAATGCAGAGATTGAGGTGAGATCATTGTCATACAAGGGTGCTATATATGATTTATTTTAGTTGCTACGTGAATTAATTTGTTATTTTAATTACTGAATAAGCCATATGATCTCATGCTCATTGTTTACAGTTTAAGCATTTTTGCTATCCCTGTTGAATTGACGCAGGCAGAATTTTTCTGATTTACGCTCACTGCTCGGAAAGTTGCACACCCGGTAGACAAGGAGAGTGGTGGGTAACTGGCTTCATGAATCCAGCCATCCAGAAACTGCCTTACCCATGCAAGTCAATGAAGCCTTCTTCACTGGGGCACTGCAGTGCAAATGGCCCAGCTGCTCACCCACTCTGCCTGTGGTCTGCACAGAGTGTACAACTTTTACGAATGCAGGATTAAATAACGGCTCGCCACATACATTTGTAATCACGGCTGTTTTTAGCGACATTAATATCAACCCACATACTTGAAAAGGATTTATTTTTTCAATGAGAAACATACGTACATACTTATCCCCAGTAAACATGCCAACGTTGGGTCAACGATGGCACGTGGTTGGAACCATTGAACCAACGTTGGCCTGACGTTCGTGCCTGAAGACTATCACATGGAAGCAAGCCGTTCTCCATATGATGATGAACACACAAAAGTGACGGAATGGCCGAGCACTTATTGTAGATTCCACAAGAATGAATGTAGTATTAATATGAATATGTATTATCCGTGATATGATTCTGTTTCTGCTTTGTTTTGTAATTTTTGCTAATGTTGATCATTCTCCCCCAAGTGCGTAGCTTCGTGTCACCCTTCACTTCCGGGTCCAAGTGGCGTCATGGGTCCCAAGGTAAAGCAACCAAAACTATTCCGTGCACAACAGCGACAACATATATTGGTTTTATTTGGTTATTTCGGTGAAGTCACATAGATAGAAAACATGATAATAATAAAAAGAAAGTGAATACAAATAAAAATGATTTAAAAAATAATAAAAAAACACTCATGTAGACTGTAGCCTGGTTCTAAATCGGAGTGAGTGTACTGGCAGTCTATAATGTGGACTGTAACAATGGTTATTAAGCTGGGTGAGTAAACTGGCAGTCTATAATGTAGACTGTAGTCTGGTTTTTAAACTCGGTGAGCGTACTGGCAGTCTATAATGTAGACTGTAGCCTAGTTCTTAACCTCGGTGAGTGTACTGGCAGTCTATAATGTAGACTGTAGCCTGGTTTTTAAGCTGGTGAGTGTATTGGCAGATTATGATGTAGACTGTTGCCTGGTTCTAACCTGAATAAAATAAAAATCAAATGAAAACAAAAACCACGACGTTTCGCTCACAACACAAACGGTCTTCATCAGGAAAAAGGGGGGTTAGCCTCTAAAGGAAAACTGTTTATAAAGGTTTAGAGATGGGCGTAGCCCAAGTGTGTCAGCAGCATGGGCGGGGCAGTTAATGTTAATGTGGGAAACAACTAAGCAGTTAGTGGGTCTCCATCAAAAGGGCCTCCAGGAAATCATTGCACCTTGCTCCACACACCCACACTGCTGACGGTGGAGGTTGACAAAACACAAATCAAGTCATAACCCAAAGTGGTTGATGACATCTTTCCAATGATTGCTGAGTTTATAACCATCCTCTCGGTTGAAATTGTGTCTGTGTCTGCATATATGGATTGCTTCATGAACGAATCTTTGTTGATAGCCAGTAGGCTTGCAAAGTACCATCGTCTTAGAGAAATCAATTTAGTGTGAGCCAGCCGCATTAATATAATGATCAGCCACGGCAGAAGTATTGGTTCTACCGTGTTCCAAATCTGCCTTATGCTCACGAACATGGTCCGAGACATGTCGTTTAGTTTCCCCAATGTAACTGCTGCCGCAGATACAGCTTAGTTTGTAGACGCCGGGATATTGCATGTCAGGAATCTTGTCCTTCACAGATGAGATCAGATCACGAATTTTACGTACTGTGTTAAATCGAACGTGATTTTGGAAATATTTTTGGTTACCCCTGCTATGTATGGCAAGGTGATGGTTTTTATTGGATCCTCAGATAACTCCTTCCTCACGGTTGGGGTGATGGCTTTGCGGATTATGCAGTCAGAATATCCATTCGCCTTGAGAGCTTGGTGTACGTGTTTGAGTCCACTGGTTAGGTGTTCATGGTCGGAGATACATTGAGCTCTATGGTGTAGCGTTTTGATGAGGGAATTCTTCTGGGATGGATGGTGGTGGGAATCAGGTTTCAGGTATATGTCAGTATCGGTTACTTTCCTGTAGACAGGATGGCTCATTGAGCCATCTGGTCTCTTTTCAATTAAAACATCCAAGAATGGTAACTTTCCATTCTTTTCCACCTCCATGGTGAATTTGATGGCTGGGTGTATGGAATTGATGTGGTTGAGGAATTGGTTCGGAGCCGGTCGGCCATGTGGCCAGATGACAAACGTGACATCCACATACCTCTTCCACAAGGACGGGCGTAGAGTGGATGCCTGGATGGCATCCGTCTCAAATTTTTCCATGAAAATATGGGCTACAACCGGAGATAAGGGAGAACCCATTGGGATACCTTCAACTTGTTTGTAGAATGTTCCATTCCAGGTGAAGTATGTATTGGTGAGGCAGTGTCTCATCAGGGCCGGTACCTCAGCATTCAATCCTTGTTGGACCAAATCTTCAATGATTGCAATGGTGTCGGGCACAGGAACTTTGGTGAACAAAGAAACTACATCGAAACTAATGAGCAAATCACCTGGGAACAGTGAGATGTCTTTAATTGACGATACCAGGTGAGCTGAGTTAAGTACAGAAGAGGTGGTCTTACCAGTGAATGGCTGCTAGGCATCAGACAGATATCGGGCCAGTTTTTAGGTGGGTGAGCCAATGGTGGAGACGATGGGACGAAGGGGTGTACCTTGTTTATGTATGTTTGGTAAGTCACATCATCTGGGTGGTCTAGCAGCAGACTGTTTTAAGGAAAACCTTTTGGTCTGTTCAATTAATGAAGCTGAATCAGTGATGATTCTGTTTTTGTAACGAGGCTGTTGGTGGGATCTCTTTTAATTGTTGTGTAGCTACCATCTTTAAGTAGGTCCTGAATTTTGTCATTGTACACGGTTTTGTCCATGATGACTGTGGCATTGCCCTTGTCTGCTGAGAGGACGACGATATCATCCCTCTTTTTCAATTGAGATAACTCAAAACACTCATCCTTACTGATATTGCTGACTGGTACAGTGAGGGAAAAAAGTATTTGATCCTCTGCTGATTTTGTATGTTTGCCCACTAATAAAGAAATGATCAGTCTATAATTTAATGGTAGGTTTATTTGAACAGTGAGAGACAGAATAACAACAAGAAAATCCAGAAAGACGCATGTCAAAAATGTTATAAATTGATTTGCATTTTAATGAGGGAAATAAGTATTTGACCCCCTCTCAATCAGAAAGATTTCTGGCTCCCAAGGTGTCTTTTATACAGGTAACGAGCTGAGATTAGGAGCACAACTCAACTCGCCGTGTTTGGAGGAGGAAGGAATGCTGCCTATGACCCCAAGAACACCATCCCCACCGTCAAACATGGAGGTGGAAACATTATGCTTTGGGGGTGTTTTTCTGCTAAGGGTACAGGACAACTTTACCGCATCAAAGGGACGATGGACGGGGCCATGTACCATCAAATCTTGGGCGAGAACCTCCTTCCCTCAGCCAGGACATTGAAAATGGGTCGTGGATGGGTATTCCAGCATAACAATGACCCAAAACACACGGCCAAGGCAACAAAGGAGTGGCTCAAGAAGAAGCACATTAAGGTCCTGGAGTGGCCTAGCCAGTCTCCAGACCTTAATCCCATGGAAAATCTGTGGAGGGAGCTGAAGGTTCGAGTTGCCAAACGTCAGCCTCGAAACCTTAATGACTTGGAGAAGATCTGCAAAGAGGAGTGGGACAAAATCCCTCCTGAGATGTGTGCAAACCTGGTGGCCAACTACAAGAAACGTCTGACCTCTGAGATTGCCAACAAGGGTTTTGCCACCAAGTACTAAGTCATGTTTTGCAGAGGGGTCAAATACTTATTTCCCTCATTTAAATGCAAATCAATTTATAACATTTTTGACATGCGTTTTTCGGGATTTTTTGTTGTTATTCTGTCTCTCACTGTTCAAATAAACCTACCATTAAAATTATAGACTGATAATTTCTTTGTCAGTGGGCAAACGTACAAAATCAGCAGGGGATCAAATACTTTTTTCCCTCACTGTATCTTAGCGCTTTTGAGGGTTGCAGCGATTTCAGATCTTGTCACGTCTGCAGCGATGTGTCCCAAACCCTTAAGAGCTACATCGACCTGGCTAATAATGTCATCCACTGGTATGTGTTTTGGGGTGACTGCGAAGTTCATCCCTTTAGCCAAAACCGACTTTAGGCCATCTCTAAACCTTTATAAACAGTTTACCTTAAGAGGCTAACCCCCCTTTTTCCTGATGACGACCGTTTGTGTTGGAGTCGAAACATCGTGACCCACCTGTTGTCATGCGCAGAAGAAACAAAACTTTGATCACCGCATCGTGTAGAGCTCGTCGAGAGGAATAGATTGCCGTATTGTTCACCTTGAACAGACATAAAATTACATCGCAACGCAGTTTATGCGAGAGCCGGGGGCTTATGGGACCCCGGGGTCCCGCCATAAGGTTCAATTACCCAAGCTTTGTAGTCCTCTATAGTTTAGGATATTTTCAGCCGATTAGTGAGTGTTCATACATGTGGGTGTAAACCCAGAGAAAACCCACGCATGCGACGAGGGCGACGTTCTATCCCATCGTCCGCACTCTGCTGCACCACCTTTTCCTCGAAGCCCACCGGAAAGGCGTTTCGCGACATTTGTGCGAGCCAACAACTCTCGCTGCCTCCACAGTGCTGGATTACAGGGCGCGTGCGTAGCCACCACCGCCCGCCTGTAGACGACAGAGTCACGGAGTCTGCCGCACGCTATCACGATCCCCGCGGTCTCACGCAGCCACTGGGCCAGCGTTCTTCACTCATTTTCAGAGGCGGGTGGCCACTTTCGCAGAAAATACTTCATCAGCGTGAGGGCCGCCACACATCTGAAACCATTGGGGGTTTGACAGCAGCAGCAGCAGCAGCACGATGCGGTGTTGTCAAATTAGTGAATTGTCGGGAACCGCACGTCAGGGGCTGCACTAAAGGCCACCAGGGGCTGCCAGTGGCCCGTGGGCCTCGCAATGAAGAACACTAGACCAGGCAATCTCACCTTGAAGAACGGCAAAGAATACTGACAGTCACATTCAGCATCTGCTTCGCCTCAATGGTGAAGCTTCTGCCGCTGCTGCTTACGTCTCCGTTTATTTTGTGTGTTCTTGCCAAGGGTCAAAAAGGTGAAAGGGGAGAGTTGGGCGTGCCAGGCAAGCAAGGTCACAAGGTGAGGTTCGCAAGGTCACGAGGTGAGGTTACAAGGTGAGAGGTGAGGTTACAAGGTGAGAGGTTCGCAATATCCCGTGCAGCTGTCCAGCTTCACGCTGTGCTTACAGTGGGAAAGTGGTGAAAGGTCACATGGCTCCATAACGCGTGCAGCCTGCTATTATATGAAAAAGACGCTGCTTTTGTTTTTAAAAAAGCAGAGGTACCACATTCAGCTTGGTCAACCAGAGTATGTCTGTTGGCGTTGAACGTTAAAAGCTCTGCCTCTATATTTATCATTAGTATATTGTACAATACGGATTGCGTATTTTAGAGAGAGCTTGGGCAGGTGAACGACGTCGTTTAAACTACGAAGGGAAGTTAAGTTGGCTTGGTGCAGGACGCGTCCAAGAGGGCGCCCGCCGAAAAGATGGAGTGAGGAAATCAGTTTGGTGTCCAGATACCGAGTGGAATCGTTACATCGCAGGATCGTGAGAGACGGCGGGAGTGGATTGAGGAGGCCTTCATCCAGCAGTGAAATGGGCATGGCTGAAGATGACGAGGATACAGTCTTGATTTTATATAACAAACACAAAGCGTGTACCTCTAGACTCGACGGTCGTGATTGGATATTGCATAACGAGGGTGAGGGTTTTAAACATTTACATATTATATGCATTCAAATAAGAATATATATTTTAAGTGTATTTGCAGACACTGATAGACTAAACTATAGGGAAAGGCAACAAGGAGACAACTTTCCATCACACGGATCATCACCATCGTTTATCATTTATGCTGTGGCTCCCATCTCTAAACCTCCCACAATAAAGGGAGCGTTAAGAGATATGACGGTGCTTTTTTCGAGATGGTAGCCAGGAAAGTATGTGAAGGTCATATAACATATTTAAAGATGATGGTTCATAATAAAGTCCGATATATAGTAATTAAAACATACACCGGTTCAGGGTCTGTGCAGACAGGGTATTCTGTCCCGGGGAATTTAACTCTTGACACATGTACAATACTTTTGGGGGCCCGTACTGTGATGAATGTACAAACCAGAATCTGAATATTTATTACTGGAGGAATCCGATGAGCTATAAAGCTCTTTTTCACAGATGTCCAGTAGGGGTGGGTCAGAACATTACAACAACAAACAGTACAACGACACAGTGAAGAGTGCAGCAAAGTAGGGGTAAGGTAAACACATCCCCGAAAAAAATACAAACAAAACTAAACTATTGTATTTTACCAGGTAAAGCCCACTGAGCTATGAGCTTTTTTGCAGAGGCGACCTGGCCACAAATGATAGCCCGACGAAGTGGCTTATCGCGTGGAAATGTATAGCAGCCAAATAATCTAAACTCGTGTGTGGGCTCCTATAAAGAGGTGAGCTCCCTACGGAGGTGGGCATGGTGAACGCGTGTCAACACGACACTGTGACGACGGATGGTCAAGGAAGGGCATTCGAACGAACATGTGCGGTGCACGTGACTCTTCGTACTTTAACCAATCTTTGCACAGGGAGAAGAAGGACTGCAGGGAGAAACGGGCCCACCTGGGGACTCGGGCAGCCAGGTTGGTTCATGAATAAAGATTCGCGTATCTATTGGTGCGACAATGTGAAATAAACTGCAGCGATTAAAATACTTTCTCACCCGCATGTAAATTATTTGACTCGACACAGATTATTAAAATCTGATGATGTAATGGAAGTCACTCACTGTAAGACATTCAAAGAGTTGTGAGTGCAGGAATGTCCATTTTTATTCCACCCTTCTTGGTCATGGAATTTAGCCACACTTTGTAATCTGAGGAACAGACAGTTTGGAGGAACGTTTAAAATACCCCGTGACATTTGCAAGAGCTGACTATGACAAGTCGTTGCTTGCTATTGTCATGGCGAAATCCAAAATAATGTAATTCATTAATAATTATTTGGCTTTTGCTTTTTTGAACATTTGCATAGGTTGGTTATACACCTTTGTACGGTATTAGATTGTTATCACTCTGGGTCGAACTCACACAAGAGTATCTTTTCTCACAAAGACATGGTGATGTATGCTAATAATACACACTTTTCTGTACAAAATGTGATTAAGTAAAACCCTTTGCATATATATTATTTAAGTGACCATTGTAAATTGTGGCATCATTTTATTGTAAATATATTCATGTCTCTTTCAATTAAAGGGGCTTCCTGGCCTTCAAGGAGTGACTGGTATGGTGGGCGCTAAAGGCGACACAGTAAGCACCCAGCACATTCCTCCACACACGCAGATTAGCGATGTTAAACAATATTAATGGTGTTCGCCCAAGATCCGTGGTAGCGAGATGTTAACTACCTCGCCTGGTATACAGGAGGTCGTGGGTTTGACCCCGGCCCTGACACCTGTTGTATATTTGGATTTCGCATGTTCTCCCTGTGGTCGCATGGATTTTTCTCCGGTTTTTCCTTATACATTTATAGACACGCATTTTGAGGATTTGGCTGCTATACATTTTTACACGATACGCCACTTCGTTGAGATATCATTTGTGGCTGGGTCGCTTCTGAAAAAGAGCTATATATCTCAGTGGGCCTTACCTGGTAAAATAAAAAAAATAGTTGAGCAGGTGGCGGTGGTTATATCTTCCTTCCCTGCTGGGGATGAAACAGAGCTTCATGAAAATCTTGGCCAAACATTGGAGAATAACATAATTGAAAAACATTTCAAAGGTCTTCAAGTACTTTGGCTCCCTCTCTTCAACACTTAAAACCATCTGGGCTTCGATCCCCATATTTTACCGTGAACTCCTCACTTGGCTGGCATTTGACCCAGAGACACGGGAACTCCTTACTCCACAATTTCTCAAGTTTACCATCGCCCACCACCCCCTCCTCACTGGCAGCTGACAGTCCCAAACAACCAGTTGAAACAAAATAAAACTGAACTTCTATTATAAAAGCCCGGCGTTTCGTTTGTCCGTCAACTAAATTATGAGAGCCTTTCAAATGGCCTGAATCAAACACTTACAGAAAGTGGATCCCTCCCCCAGATGTGGGGGTAAAAAGTTGATCCAACAGGTTTCCAAACATTGTCGACCCTCGCCCCCAAAAAATGTCACCCCCCCCCATACATGCCTACACACCCTACATACAATAGAGTCAGTAGTACCTTGCACACATTGTGGGGGGGGGGTGGGGGGTGGTGCGAAGCTTGAACAAGCCCTCCGCAGGTGAGTTAAACAAAGTCTACTGACTTCAAAGTTCCCACCTCACAAACATTGCCTTCCCCATGCAAGTCAACGAAGCCTTCTTCACTGGGGGCACTGCGGCGCAAATTCCCCGGCTGCTCCCCACCCTGCCTGGGGTCTGGATCCCGTGTGCGGCTTTACGAATGGACGTTCAACAAACAACTATGTACAATTGTATCACGGGCTGTTTTCTTTATAGTGGTGTCAACCCATATACGGTACTTAAAAAATGTTTATGTGAAATGGAAACACGTGCAAATAAATATATCATTGTGTCCTTAGGGTCTTCGAGGAAAGGATGGAAAACAAGGTGTCGTGGGCATCGCTGGACCTTCGGTAAATCCTCTTGAAAATTCTCAGCCTCCAAATGTATGTCCACCTCCTTTAATGATGACATACAGGTCCCGATCCCCCTTCTGGGATCGTGCCGCCGTCACCATCCGCGAATCTGACAACTGAGATCCGGAAGAAACGCCACCGTGCCGACAGTGGAACAACGCGGACGTTCAGAATAAACACCTTGTTCGGGACACAAGCGTTGCGCAGCTGGCATTGACATTCCTGGAAGACACCGGTGTGCTATTTACAGCACATCTCCTTTTTAATGGGTAAATTAAAGACTCAAGCCACAGCGTGACTATGGCCACGCAACCAGAACTATGGACCCTGTAGGAAACGACCGTAGTCTCTGCTCTCCTTCATTGGAGGAGGAACGGCAAAACCACACGAAGCCATCACGTGGCTCGCAGACCTCGGCGTTGGCATTTAGTTCCTGAACGTATTGTCGAGTACATTAGAATGACATATACATACATCTTCCTTGTTCAAGACGAGATATGATTCTGTTAAAAAAAGGTTTACCAGTCAGCCGCTAGTGGTACTTTTAACTGTGGTAGTCGGAATATTTTTTCCGAGCCGCATTAGCAATCCAGAGATGCGATACTTTCCATTTGTTGACGTCAGTAAAATTGCATTATCTTACTGCTCAAAAGTCAATGAGGCGGCGCTCATTTCCTGAACCTGTGGTGTAAATTCCACGTTCCCATGGCGGAGGCCACAGGATGACCACTGTTACCTTTGCTCAAAGTGGTAAGAGTCCTCATTTTATCAGCTGCGGAGGGATGATTAGCTGAGCCGACCCACCATAGGAATTTGACTTCACAATCCATCGTATGCGTGTTATCCCTTTACAAACTTCAACTGCATGTAATGTGCTACTTTATGATATGCTCGTACATTTCACTCTTTTGTTTACAAACTTCAGGGCGATGAAGGGCCCAGGGGTATTACTGGAAAGCCTGGAATTAAAGGAGACACGGTGAGTACACTCGAGTTTGGTTTCCATTTCATATCATCTTGCTGTTTCTGTAGAACACAATTTTCATAGCGATGCTACCATGAGCTGAATTAATGCGCAGGCTTTCGCAACCTATGTTGTGCTTCGTAATTTATTTTTTTGGGGTCAGATCGCGTGGATAAAAATGTGTGTCGTAAACCGTCTTTCACCTGACACAGCCAGCTAATAACATTTCCACGTGAACAAAAGTTCAAAATTGTTACTGCTCCAGCAGCACTACTGGTAATGTTGAAAGGTGATATCACAACATTTAACAATAGGGTAGCACAACGTTTCACTGATGGCTACAACCAGCATCGCTACTGCCTGATGATCCTGGTTCCGCACCTCCTATTTGGATGGTTGGCTACGCACGGTGCGAAAGAAGTTCAACATACATACACAACTACCAAAATGATGCAAAATGTTAACTTTTCATGAAGCTTTGCTTATTAGAAATGCAAATACTCCACACACACATATGGGATTTATGTTATCACTTCCCATAATACCGTGCTTTGGTTTAAAATGTGCCTCTGTCCTTAATATTAGTGTTCAAACAATGGCTACGTTGCGATTCTTGTACACGTGTGTATCCATCTGTAAGTTTTGCCGGTCGTTTAGAGATGCGTCCTGTGTTTGTTGTTGTTTACCAGGGTCTACCCGGTCCTCGGGGAAAGATTGGGTATCCAGGACCAAAAGGAGACCTGGTGAGTAAATATCGTTCATTCGTTCGAGCCTATATTTAGAAGTGGGCAAAAGACTCTTCCAAATGTATTGTAAATACCAAATACAAAAAATGTATACTTCAGAAAATACATTTGTGGCCTTAAAAGGAAAATATACAATAGGTGCCTTTTTGGGCAATGCCCCCCCCCTCATAGCGCATAATTATAGAGGCTAATGAGATAGGGTGGCCTCACTATGTGCTATGAAGGAGGTCCATTGCCTGAAACGTTGCCTATTGTATGTTTCCTCAAAGATAGTGTTGTTTAATGGTTAAGCATTCTAAATAGTATTGTTAAATTCGGGATGCACCCACCATGCCTCGTTGTTCATGGTGGTTGTGTGACCTACACACTTCACTACGTTGGTCGTGGTGGTTGTTTGACCTACACACTTCACCACGTTGTTCATGGTGGTTGTTTGACCTACACACTTCACCACGTTGGTAATGGCGGTTGTTTGACCTACACACTTCACCACGTTGGTAATGGTGGTTGTTTGACCTACACACTTCACCACGTTGGTAATGGTGGTTGTTTGACCTACACACTTCACCACGTTGGTAATGGTGGTTGTTTGACCTACACACTTCACCACGTTGGCAATGGTGGTTGTTTGACTGTACACACTTCACCACGTTGGTCATGGTGGTTGTTTGACTGTACACACTTCACCACGTTGGCAATGGTGGTTGTTTGACCTACACACTTCACCACGTTGGTCATGGTGGTTGTTTGACTGTACATACGTCACCACGTTGTTCATGGTGGTTGTTTGACCTACACACTTCACCACGTTGGTCATGGTGGTTGTTTGACCTACACACTTCACCACGTTGGTCATGGTGGTTGTTTAACCTACACACTTCACGTTGGCAATGGTGGTTGTTTGACTGTACACACTTCACCACGTTGGTAATGGTGGTTGTTTGACCGTACACACTTCACCACGTTGGTCATGGTGGTTGTTTGACTGTACACACTTCACCACGTTGGTCATGGTGGTTGTTTGACTGTACACACTTCACCACGTTGGTCATGGTGGTTGTTTGACCTACACACTTCACCACGTTGTTCATGGTGGTTGTTTGACCTACACACTTCACCACGTTGGTCATGGTGGTTGTTTGACCTACACACTTCACCACGTTGGTCATGGTGGTTGTTTGACCTACACACTTCACCACGTTGTTCATGGTGGTTGTTTGACTGTTCACACTTCACCACGTTGGCAATGGTGGTTGTTTGACCTACACACTTCACCACGTTGGTCATGGTGGTTGTTTGACTGTACACACTTCACCACGTTGGTCATGATGGTTGTTTGACCTACACACTTCACCACGTTGGTCATGGTGGTTGTTTGACCTACACACTTCACCACGTTGGTAATGGTGGTTGTTTGACTGTACACACTTCACCACGTTGGTAATGGTGGTTGTTTGACTGTACACCCTTCACCACGTTGGTCATGGTGGTTGTTTGACTGTACACACTTCACCACGTTGGCAATGGTGGTTGTTTGACCTACACACTTCACCACGTTGGTCATGGTGGTTGTTTGACCTACACACTTCACCACGTTGGTCATGGTGGTTGTTTCACTGTACACACTTCACCACGTTGGTCATGGTGGTTGTTTGACCTACACACTTCACCACGTTGGTAATGGTGGTTGTTTGACCGTACACACTTCACCACGTTGGCAATGGTGGTTGTTTGACCTACACACTTCACCACGTTGGTAATGGTGGTTGTTTGACCTACATACTTCACCACGTTGGTCATGGTGGTTGTTTGACTGTACACACTTCACCACGTTGTTCATGGTGGTTGTTTGACTGTACACACTTCACCACGTTGGTCATGGTAGTTGTTTGACTGTACATACTTCACCACGTTGGTCATGATGGTTGTTTGACTGTACACACTTCACCACGTTGGTCATGGTAGTTGTTTGACTGTATATACTTCACCACGTTGTTCATGGTGGTTGTTTGACTGTACATACTTCACCACGTTGGTCATGGTGGTTGTTTGACCTACACACTTCACCACGTTGGTCATGGTGGTTGTTTGACCTACACACTTCACCACATTGGTCATGGTGGTTGTTTGACTGTACACACTTCACCACGTTGGTCATGGTAGTTGTTTGACTGTACATACTTCACCACGTTGGTCATGGTGGTTGTTTGACCTACACACTTCACCACGTTGGTCATGGTGGTTGTTTGACCTACACACTTCACCACGTTGGTCATGGTGGTTGTTTGGCCTACACACTTCACCACGTTGATCATGGTGGTTGTTTGACTGTACACACTTTACCACGTTGGTCATGGTGGTTGTTTGACCTACACACTTCACCACGTTGGTAATGGTGGTTGTTTGACTGTACACACTTCACCACGTTGGTCATGGTGGTTGTTTGACCTACACACTTTACCACATTGGTCAGTCGGGATTGGTGAAGATGGCCTTTGGTGGGAATGAGGGTATGGGCGTAATAGATTCAGCTGCTGATGTTAGCCATAGCCGGGAATCAAACTTAGGTTGCCAGGTTTATTGTGCAGTGCGCTAACCAACTCTGCCAACACCAATTCCCCCATTTTTCATATTCGCGGCTTAAAAAAAGTGTATTGTTGTCGGATTTAAATATTGCGACCAAATGCCATGAACTTGCATTCTTTTTCAGGGCCTTGGAGGGGTCAATGGCCGTGATGGGATTACAGGACTCCCCGGCAAAAAGGTAATAAACCAGGAGCTCTGTCGTACCACTCTTTTAAACATAAAAAAAACTCCTCCAGTGAAATAACATAAACTATTGAAACCTCTGCAAATTCTAATGTCACTAGTGAATCCAGGAAAACGTCACCGAGTCTCAAGACTGTTTTCCTGCGTTGGGATGTTTGGCCAATGCCACGGAGTTGAGTGTTTTGCTGGTCGCGTGAAGCAGCGCTCAAAGGGAACACTCTGCAAAAGTTGGACTCGTGCAGCGACTTGCTGTGCCGCCAACTCATGGCCAACTCGTGGCAAGCGCAGACGTTTGGGAGCTTTGCAACCACGCACACGCTCCATCTAACCTTTCACCGTGCTGGTCAATGCTGGTTGGAGATTGAGGGGGCCCAGATGGGGTTCACACATCATCACTCGCTGCTGATATCACCACCTCCATTAGTGTTTAATTGAAAAATAAAAGATTTTTACGAGGAATCATGTCTGCGTTAACCACAACGCTTGTGGTCAGAATATTATCAGAGTATGTTTTTTGTTTGCATTCTGAACACAAGCATTGTGGTTAATGCAGACATGATTCCTTGTAAAAGGTTTCAGTTTGGTGTTTTAACATCTTAACACCGGTTTTGTTGCCAGAAAAAAGGGGACAAACCTATTATCATAGTTTGGTACTGGCAAAGGAGGCCCCATGATGAAAAATAAAAGCTTTACAATTGGACTGAACCAAATTCTTTGGGTCTTTTGGTGAAGTCACGTAGATAGATAGATTCAAAGAAAATAACAAAAAAAACTACGACGAAGCGGCCGTCACCCCCGCCCCCCTTTTCCTGATGACGACTGCTCGTGTTGCGATCGAAACGTCGTCGTTTTTTGTTCTTTTCTTTGAACCTATCTACGTGACTTCACCGAAAGACCCAAAGAATTTGAATTCCTGCGGTCACGAAAGCTTTAAGCCAAGACTGAAACATTTTTGTTCACTTACATAAAAAAAAGAGATGCTCGTGACGACAGAAGAGTCTGTAACTTTACAAACCTATTGTCGATGCATTCCCCATGTCCAGGGTGACCCAGGCAAGCCAGGAAGCGTTGGAGAGGTTGGGATCCCGGGCGTTCCGGTGAGCATTCGTTGTGATCACCTGCTCTGCAAGTGTGTGTGTGTGTGAAATATAATAGACACACATATGTGTCAATCCACTGTTCGATGAAGACTTGCCTACATCTTATGGTTATATATTCACTCTTCACGATGCTGGTCAGTTTCAGTTTTTCAGTTTTATTCATTTGGTATAGCCCTGTGAGCCATTCTGGCTCTTGAATTGCGTGCAATCGCAACAAACAAAAAAACACGAACAAAGAAAACATCTTAAAATGTCTACGCGCAAACAGAAAAATCCAGGAAAAAAACAGCAAAAATCTTCCAGAAAAAGCACCGTACACCAAACGCCTCATCAGCTTGTGTGTTTCTGTCTGTGTGTCTATGTTGTGTGTCTCTCTCTGTGTGTGTCTCTCTCTGCTTGTGTGTCTGTCTGTGTGTCTATGTTGTGTGTCTCTCTCTGTGTGTCTCTGTGTGTCTCTCTCTGCTTGTGTGTCTGTCTGTGTGTCTATGTTGTGTGTCTCTCTCTGTGTGTTTCTGTGTGTGTCTCTCTCTGCTTGTGTGTCTGTCTGTGTGTCTATGTTGTGTGTCTCTCTCTGTGTGTCTCTGTGTGTCTCTCTCTGCTTGTGTGTCTGTCTGTGTGTCTATGTTGTGTGTCTCTCTCTGTGTGTTTCTGTGTGTGTCTCTCTCTGCTTGTGTGTCTGTCTGTGTGTCTATGTTGTGTCTCTCTCTCTGTGTGTGTTTCTGTGTGTCTCTCTCTCTGCTTGTGTGTCTGTCTGTGTGTCTATGTTGTGTGTCTCTCTCTGTGTGTCTCTGTGTGTCTCTCTCTGCTTGTGTGTCTGTCTGTGTGTCTATGTTGTGTGTCTCTCTCTGTGTGTCTCTGTGTGTTTCTCTCTGCTTGTGTGTCTGTCTGTGTGTCTATGTTGTGTGTCTCTCTCTGTGTGTCTCTGTGTGTGTCTCTCTCTGCTTTGTGTGTCTGTCTGTGTGTCTATGTTGTGTGTCTCTCTCTGCTTGTGTGTATGTCTGTGTGTCTATGTTGTGTGTCTCTCTCTGTGTGTCTCTCTCTGCTTGTGTGTCTGTCTGTGTGTCTATGTTGTGTGTCTCTCTGTGTGTGTCTCTGTGTGTGTCTCTCTCTGCTGTCTGTGTGTCAGTGTGGTCTGGTGATTAGCGGTACCTAGGACCAGTCTAGGTGACATTAACCACCGGTGTTTGCCATGGCAGGGGATCGAACTCAGGTGATGAGGTTCGAAGTACAGTGCACTTATATCTGTGGCACTGTGAATGATTACTCTCAGTTTTACAGCTTTGCTTATTTACGACATCTAAAAGCAATATCCTTATATCGCAGATACATTAAGGAGGTAATCAGTGTCTCGTCCTCATTAGGATTCATGTTTAGACTGGCGCCGGCATGCCACTGCAAAGGCAATTGTTTGTCAGACTATTCCAGGCATAGAGAAAATGTACAATGGACGTGGAGGAAATATATAATTGACATTGTAATTTCTCTGATTGGAGGTCCTAGTCAGACCTCTGGCAGGGGGTTTAAGAAATATCCACAAATTACAATTTGTTCATTCATGTTCACAGAATAATAATATTTTCGCTAAAAAACCCTCTATTTTTTTACTTTCAGGGCTCACCCGGCTCTTCTGGAGCAAAAGGGGAACAAGGCGGAAAGGTAATTATATATTTTTTTGTCATCAACAATAAAAGCAGTAGGAATATTAATGTTGATGTTGCCTGCCAGCCGAGTCGCCTCTGAAAAATCGCTTCTTAGCTCATTGGGCTCTCCTTACTCAGTGGGAAATAAAACTTCTGATTCTTCTGACACGTGAATACACACACACAGTCCAAATGTGTGCACTTGTAGACGCCACGCAGACAAACATTTGAGCACAGAGCCGGTGTCCTTCCCTCGCACCTCCCAACTACCACGGTTGGCTACGCACGGTGCGAAAGAAGTTCAAAATACCAACATACAAAACACTTGCCCAACCAAGATGTTGCTGCCTGGATTTTATTGAACTCGGACGATGATCATAGCACTGACGCTGGGGTGGAAACACAATTATTTTGCGCATTTTCACATGAAGCGTAATGCAGTTAGCGATGCAAAGAAAGAGGTTCCATGCAGTTTGCTCACGGATCGTAGCAAATTGTTGCCCGCGACCACTGGCAAGTTTCACAAACGTTTGTCCTCTCTTACTAAATTCAGTCGTCTTAGATAAAGTGAGTGCATTCATCTCTAACAAGCTGCAGGGATGTACCCCGAATTAAACAAAGGTATAATGAACCCGTTAGTGTTGCGTGACATACATATTCATAATAATTCCCATGATTTACCCATGAAAGCCACACTACGTCTTCATATTATTTTTAAGGAGCATCAAGAAGCGTCCTGTGTTGGGATGTTTCGCTTTTACCATTACTGATCTTTTGGCTTTTGGGAGGAAACTGGAGAAAACCCCACGCACCCACTCACAGCCCTGCCCTGAGACAACCACTTAAGCAGACAAACTCGATGATACGGGGAGTGGACTGCACCAACCACTGCTGTACTGCCATCTCCTGGCACCTCGCAGCCCTTGCAACCCCACGCCTCCTACAACACCTGCAACGGACCGGTGGCCACCCTGCCCAGAAACCAACCAGGCCCGAGCCTCCTTAGCTGCGGAGATCAGACGAGACTACTGGGCGCAGTCAGGATGGTTTAACCGCGGTCGCGTTGTAACTCTTTGCTGTTGTTCCGTGCTGCATTTGTTCCTGCTTGTCTGTTGCCCGTTCTCAAACAGGGCGAACAAGGAATATCAGGAGCTGTGGGGCCAGCTGGCCCACAAGGGAAATCGGTAATGATCCCGCTCATCTGTTTGCCACCTATTTGTCACGCCTCGTCCAGAGTGGATATTTGTTTTGCCCAAGCCACGTGCTGCCACTTCATGATAATGTTCTGTTACGCGATAAAACAAATGGAATGTTGAAGTCGTTATGAACCGAAAATGTTATTGCCATGTGGTGTTTGGTGAATTACTCTGCGGATAGTGTCACATATATGTAGTTTAATTTTGCAGATTTAAAAAGTACAATCATCTTCAAGTCTTAAGAAATAGACCATCACATGTCACTTCAAATATGAAGGAGTGCGGGTAGACGGTGCTCCGGTAGATTAAGGGTGGAAGAGGAGTGGTGATAAGGCCCATACACTCGCCCTCAAGTGGGTGACCCACACGCTCCAGTGATCAATGTGTAAAACCATATTTAGTCGAGGTGGTGGATTATGGCCTCAACTGCCTGTGTAGAAATCTGGTAGATGAATGGTCCAGATTTATAATAGAACTAGACTTGAATGTCTACTCTGCCTTGACAATTGTGGGCATCTACACTGTATATCTCTGCCCACCAGAGGGAATTTACTCTAAGATTTACACCCTTAGCAAAGGGGACAGGTGATACATCGGCAGCATGCACGGAGGACCGCGCTCCTTCTAAATCGTCGCCACTGTGACTAGTGTCAGAGTTTGTGAATTGTGGGGTTTTTATACTTGAGTAATGAGTCCACCGGATGAAGGTTGAGACGCCACTCTTTATTTTAAACTTGAGTAATGAGTCCACCAGATGAAGGTTGAGACGACGCCACTCTTTATTTTATTTTATACTTGAGTAATGAGTCCACCGGATGAAGGTTGAGACGACGCCACTCTTTATTTTATTTTATACTTGAGTAATGAGTCCACCAGATGAAGGTTGAGACGACGCCACTCTTTATTTTATTTTATACTTGAGTAATGAGTCCACCGGATGAAGGTTGAGACGACGCCACTCTTTATTTTATTTTATAATTGAGTAATGAGTCCACCAGATGAAGGTTGAGACGACGCCACTCTTTATTTTATTTTATACTTGAGTAATGAGTCCACCAGATGAAGGTTGAGACGACGCCACTCTTTATTTTCCCACACGAGCTCATGCCCCATGTGACCACTCCACTCCAAATCCCAGCAGGAAGCGCCCCGATCGCCCCGCCTCCTTCTGTGACGTCACCACCCCCTCCCCTCCTGGGTGTTCCCTCTCTCTCTGACGCCCCGCCTTCTCTTTCCTTTAGTCCGTGACGTAATCTTTAACACTAACCTGGGATCCCTCGGGTATTTCTACCCCCGGATCGCGTTCGTATTAACACTGCAATGATAAGGTTTGATGGGTGGTGATTTAATAAAAAATGACCCCCCCCCTCCACCTCAACTTTTCTGCCTGTTGATTGACCAATTGCATTGCTCTTTCAAAGTTCACTCAAAGAGCCCAAAGGTCAGACCCATTCCCCTATTTGCGGTGGATACTTGTGAGCAGAGAGAACATTTTTTGTAAGTTTGTACTTGTTCAAATCTCCATTGCCGCACGAGACACGGTGGACGTGAGACGTCGCCTGCTCTGTTAACGCGGGCTGGGTGCGATGAGTGGGATGACATTGACGGGTGCCATGTCGTTCGTCAGGGTGACAAAGGACCTCCCGGAAAAGGTGGACTCATGGGATCAGATGGACCACCGGTACGTTTGAACATTTAATATTTCTTTTTTTTATATATATATATAAAAGTGCAGTTTATAATGCGTCCATGATTACAGTACTAATGAGTGTGGTCATGGACATGTGAGTTAAGTGAAGAAGTGGGTGAGTCAGAGAGCGAGTAAATGCACCGAGTCTGGAAACGTGTTAATGGGCTGAACAAGCGAGCACCCGAGTGTGCCAGTTGAATGAGCCAGCTGAGCCCATGAGCTGTGGATGAGTGAGGAATCTGTAAGCGTGAGTGATTTTGCTTGTAGACTTTTCTTCATTATTAAGTTGCTTTATGATTTATTATGGTTTGGTACAACATAATATTAAGCTGCACTTAATTCGAGTTATTTGTTTCTGTACTTCATAACATTACAAAGTGGGATATTCAGAATTCCATCTTGTAAGTAACACATTGCAGTAATTGTGAACTGGATTTTGTCTGGAATGAAGGGTTTGGTTGTACCATCGATAGCAGTGAAATGTAATGCATTTCCACTCGTTCAGCTACCATGCATGAACCCCGGTGTGATGTTGTCAAACCAATCATCTGTCCAGGAACCCAATCACCTTTATCCACAACCTAATCCAAAGTCAGGGTTCAACGCTCCAGCATGAATAGGCACACCAAATGTGCATATACTGTACTGTAGTTGTGTGTGCACGGTTGTATTTGTTGTGGCATCGCCATAGTTGTGGTGTTAATGCCGTTGTGTTTGCTTTAAAAGGGTGTTGCAGGGAAGCGTGGTATGAGAGGTCATGTCGGAGTACATGGAATCGTGGTGAGTACAAAGTGTTTTACTGATAAGTAGAGTTTACATTTGGAAAATTGAGTTTGCTGTTCACACGTAAGAATATGTTCATGCATGGTATATTTTAAACCTGATTTTACGGTATTTTAGCCATTTCCGGTAAAGACGCTTGATTTTCTGTCCTCAATGTGTACTACGTAAATGGTAATGCGGGGATGAAGTCCAGCACGTTTGAGTTTGCAGAGCAACAGTATTCAACACTGCAATATTAGACATGTTCAACAGTTCCCCAATGGGTGCTTGTTGACTGTTAACCCCTTGCAGAAAATTGTGATCTTTGGAATGTTTCTGGAATCCACTGAAAGTAGTCCCAGAGGCGGAGGTGTGGAAAGTGGAGTTGAGAAGGGACACAACCCCGATGCCATCATATATGATGATGATGATTAGAGTAATTCTGGCCGTGATCCCTCTGATGTGGCACCTAATTTCCAACAAATCATTTTAAAACGAATCAATAGTTCAAATATTAAGAGTGATGCCGGTGTGTGCCACTTTCATTTTCATTGGTTCAAATATTAATAATCATGACGATGTGCACTCGGAAGGTCGCTCCTTCCTTCTGCTGGCCCCACAGTCTGGAATTCCCTCTCTGACGCAACCCGCACTGCTGATTCCTTCCTCTGTTTAAGTCCAGGCTTGAGATTGTCCTCTTTTCTTCTGCCTATTGCTGACTGCCTCTCTCTGCTCACTCTCTGTGAGTTGTGCCTTCCCATACTGTCAGCTTCTTTGCCTCTCTGCCTTGTAGCATTCTTAGTCTGCTAAACTGACTTCTGGAAGAGGAGGCCCCCAACATACCCTCTAGAAGAGGGTCTCTCTAGAGCTTCCTCCCACTCTCTTGGCCCTTCTCAAAGAAGTGACATGAACAAGACATTGCAGGGCTGCACCTTTGCCTTTTTTTTCATTCTTCTTTATTTTTTTAGGGTTCAAAAGGTAATCCCGGCTTCCAAGGTCTTCCCGGGACATCAGGACTGCCTGGAATTAAAGGAGAAAAGGTGGGGAAAAAAACAGCTTGCGACACGGGAGTTCGTTGTCCAAAAAGATTGTGATAGCTCCTTTAACGAGAGGCAATGTATGACAACAGGAGGGGAGACCCAAGACAATCTGTGTTGACACGTCACAATGCATCAATTTATCGCTGCAATACGATGCTGTGCAATATTTTTTTTGCATGCATGTTCCATATTGAATAATGCACTGCAGAATAATACAGGGAACAAAGTGCGCTCCATTATCTAGAGAATTCGGAATATATAACTCCCACCCACAACTTCTAATTTGAGGTAGTTTACTGGATCATGTTACTGCCTTAACACCTCCGGTTAGGACGGTTGGCTACATACGGTGGGAAAGAAGTTCAAAATACGTACATATCAATATGATTCATGTTCTTGATAAAGTAGTTACAAACCAGCCTGAATTACACCTGTATTCATGAACATGTATCAATATACAACATTGCAAAAGCTTCTGCTTCAACATATTTAAGACAATAATAATGCTGTTTGTTCATGTGCTAGTTTATATGGCCTTGGCTATATCGGATACTTCGTGTTTTACCGTCAGGGATTCATTCACACGTTTAAACCATGATGAGTAACATAATTCAACTTTTTAAAGGGTCACATTTTCCACATATTAATGATTGTATTGTTTTTATTTTTACAGGGCTTAACGGGAATAGTTGGAGAAAAGGGAGCCGCTGTAAGTGCATTGTTTTGTTTTTATATATATAAAGCATGTTTATAATATCCCATGAAAGCGTACACATGTCACAGGATATTTGACTGCAGGGCCGGTGTGAGGCGGTTGATGGACTGGGCCCTGCACCACCGCCCAGGTTCAGAATCAGAATATTTATAACGGAGGAGAAATCCGATGAGCTATAACGCTCCTTTTTACAGATGTCCAACAGGGGCGGATCAGAACGTTACAATATCAAACAGTACCAACAAAAAACACTATAGGAGTGCAAAGCATTGGAAAGGAAAACAAATCACTTGTCCTCCTCAAGGGTGAATCCACTACCTCCCCATCCGAGTGGAGCGGCCCTGAATCATTGTCTTTGGTTCATTCGCTTGTCATTTTTAATCTTTAAGGGGGTTCACTTCACTTTCACACAGTCGGTGGTTTTTGTTTGACAAGAATAATAATTATTGATGCTTGTCCCTGAATGTGAAGAGTCAACACATTCTACAGCAATAAAGACCACATTAATGTGATGCCAAGAGCATGAATTTAATATTATTGCGTCATTACTCCCCTCTGATAACATATTTTAGTTTTCAAAGTTATAAAAAATATTGAATGTGTATGAGAATTAAATGATGTATCCCTGGGTAAGACAATGATGAACTGACAATGATGACAATGGTGACCTTTTACGAGTGTGTATAACAGATTAACCTCATGGCGGTACCATAGTACTCCGGCTCTCGCATAATGTCCGTGATGCAGTCATTTATAGTCTGTTGATGGTCGGCGATGCGGCAATCGACTCATCTCAACGAGCTGTACACGATGCACTGTTCAAAGTTGATTTTACCGATAACGGATTTTTTGTATGATAATGATTGGCGTTTTGACATCGCGGAGTGTGGCACTGATTTCGGATTGATTGGTTACTCCAGTCACGGAGTTGAAGTACAGCCCTGGAAACAAAAATAGTGTCCCAGAAATAAAACATTTAATTGCCTCGGCCCATTTTGTATTATTTGGTACCCCGGGGTAGGGGGGCCATCCATTCAGGAGGTACGCAAAAATCTGTCAAAACTTGACCCCTCCCCCGCTCCCTGTAGGCACGCGGACTTTTTACACCCCCCCTCCCCCCACCTGCGTACATACGCTTGACGCACCCCCCCTGAATCCTATAGAATGGCGGATATTTAATCCACGCATAAACGACCAAGGATTCATTGTATTATTCACGTGTTTAAGCAAACAGATAGTCCACCGCCAGACTATCTAACTCATTTGAAGGCCAATGTAGACAAATTATTATCGAGGCTTCACCCCCCCCCCCCCCCGTTTCCTATGCGTACGTACATTGTCAGTAGACCCCCCCCCCCCATACGCAAGCGTATGCATTTGGGTTAACACCCCCTCCCCCCTCCATGCGTACGTACTAAATGTATGGCCCCGTACCGCCATAAGGATCAGATAGCCCTCTTAAATCAGGGGCGCTAACAACATACAGTGTATATACCTTCTGACTCTTGATGGGGAAAATGTACACAATATGCAGCATCATTTATGCAACGTAAGATATTTAAAATGTTAATTGTGCATTATAATTGAGAGGTACATGTTTAATGACTATTACCTGCAATATCCTACTATTCACTGGAAATGTCTTTTTTTCTCTCTAGGGTATTCCAGGGATTGATGGTTATGAAGGAATCATCGGTGATGTGGTAAGATACCTTTTTCATGCAACAGTTCAAATGCTCCGTACGGCATAACAGTTGCCCTTGGCGAAACGTACATTTTCTCGTACGACGCATTAAACTGAACGTATACGTGCAACATCAATCAACAAGTTAATTGTTGTCAGAGCAAAACGCAAACAGGCGCAACAACAAAATGTCGTACTGTGCCGCGCTCCCCAGGTGGGTTGGTCATAGATCTTCCACTCTCAGTTGCTCCATCACCATACCAGCGGCGATAGAATCAGTGCCACTCTGGGGGAAATCGAGAGTTGCCCGTTCCTCACACTGGGGGAAGTCGAGAGTTGCCCGTTCCACGCGGAGACTGGGCCCCGCGGTGGGAATTTGGAATTTACATGAGCGGCTCCGGGACACCGGTTGTACATTGGGACACTTTGGGCGCGAGTCGCGTGCTGGGTGGAGGAAGCGCTTTGTGCTCTTTTGCTCTCGGTCCGAACAGGACTGGGCACTGGGTGTCAGGCTACGATTGTCTCTCTGCTCACGCGTGAATTGTACCCTCCGATCTGTGCCCTTACGTTATTTTAGAATTTTATTCATATCACTTCACGAATTTTGATTTGTATTCTTTTTATTCCTGCATATTTAAACGTGTGTTATTTTGTTCTCGCCCAGGGGCCTCAAGGTGAATCAGGCCCCAAAGGAGATGTGAGTTATTGATGATTGCATCTCATGCATGTAAAAATTGTAGTTACAATCATGCCACTGTCATATTTCATCATCAGACTGCAGGTTTTAGGAAAGGTGTCTCCACCATTGATCACGTAGATACTTTCTGCATGAGTTGGTGAAAGACAAATGAATATTAATTACAATGCCAAGGCATTGTTGACTATGAATAAGCATTTGGGGCCATGGAAATGATTGTGGTCATCCAAACTCATTGTGAATGATAAACTGTCTTCATACGTTGAGGAATATGAAGTGAGCAAGCCACCATGCCTTATATATTTTTGGCCATAAAATTCCTTGCCACATAAGCAATGCAGTGCTGTATATGGACCATTCATTTACATGATCCTTTTGGAATTCTTTGTATTTGCATATGTCGTTACATGTGACGTTATTCGTCTTTTGGCGATGACGGATAACGGGGCACCAACCATGCAACAGAAATATTTTCACCCCAAAGTAAACGTGCCCGTCTTCATGTCAAGCATTAACCCTAACGCATAACGCGCAATGTGTCTTCATTTTTTTTCATCTCGGTGAACGTTTTTAACGGCACGTTTGTCCCCCCCCACCCGCCTCGAATTAAAACAGCCCTTGCAAAAAAAACACACAACAAAACAATAATCGCCGACGCATCATTTGTGCTTGGACAGACGGGACCTGCGGGAAAAACTGGGCACCGCGGCGGCGAGGGCCCCCGTGGAGAAGTGGGCAAGGAGGGGGCCCTCGGGCTGCCGGGCCCGCTGGGCCAGCAGGGCGAGACGGGGCTGCCAGGGAGCACCGGGAAGGAGGGCGAGCCTGTAAGAGCATCGAGCGCCACTCACCGCACTTCCCATCGCTCCCGCAACGATGTCTACGACTTGTTTATTACGGTCGCTCTGCGCACTGCGCGGGGAGAAACTCACCCTCGCTCTTTCTATCGCAGGGAAAGGAGGCAACAAATGAACACATACAGGACGTGTGCATGAGGGTGATGCAAGGTTGGTGTACGTGCCTCTATAGAGTACAATATGAATCCGGTGAAATGAAGCGGCCACCAGTTACAGATACAAACTCTGAAAAATGTAAAGTCCCACTTCTCTTTAATGATGTATACAAATTTAATCACTTTTTATTTGTATTTCATGTCCATTTTTTAGGTAGTCTCCAAAGCACCATTCAGTCAGATAATTTGAACCACGCGTAACTACAACATGGGGCGGAGTGGCGGCGCAGTGATTGGTACAATACGCACGTACAATAAAGCTGGTCACCTGAGTTCAATTCCCAGCTGCAGCCCACATTAGTGGGGAGTGATATCTGAACCAGCCCTGAGCACCCCCGAAGCCTTCACCAACCCTCACTGGCCGGCCTGATGAAAAGTTGTCAAACAACCCCTTGACAAATATATCATGGAATTAGTTTACAAATGTCTACAATCCCTGATTGAAGTACATGGCAATACAACTTACATTTATAAAAGGTCCAAGTAGAAATGTATCCTAAGATGTGGTGCACACAGGAATACATTCGTATCATTAGATCAATCGGAAAAGGAGTGATTTAAATCGTAAGATAAAAGAGGGCATTTATGGACAAGAGACTGGAAAAGAGGATTTTCTTGGCTGCCATTTGGTTACTATCCTTGACCATCTGCCATCATCTATTTTAGTGACGTGTCCTGCGCAAGCACAAATATATATATACATAGAAGGAAACAGTCAAAGGTGGAGATTAAAAAAAGGACTTCAGAATCAGAATATGTATTTTTACTGGAGGGATCCGATGAGCTATAAAGTTATTTCTGCACAGATGTCTAGTAGGGGCACGGGGTCAGAACATTACAGCAACAAAACTATTTAAAAAAAAACACGATAGGAGTGCAAAATATAGGAAGGGTAATCAAATCACTTGTAAAAATATATATTTAAAAAATAAAAATAAACTATTTTGAAACGTGTATCTTTCAGAACAACTTGCCCAGCTGGCTTCTGGCATACCTCGCCGAGATCCCGGAGCCATGGGGGTTATGGGCCCTCCTGGGCTACCGGGGCCCCAAGGACTACCAGGCCCCAACGGAGTCATGGGCCACGAAGGTCTCCGTGGCCTGCCTGGCCTTGAGGGCTCTCAGGGCCCCATTGGAAACAAAGGAGCCAGAGGTTTGTTCTTTGTTATATATAATGCATTTCTTTTTTAAATCCTCTTACGATGTATTGCATTTAAGAAATGACTTGTACATACGCAGAGAATCCAAAATTGGTCATCTGTAAGTCATGCAGAAAAATGTACAATATTCAGCTGTAAAGATTTACTAAATGGCAGCATGCAGGATGAACCTTGCCACTGGATACTGTGAGCTAGGCCTCCGAGGTATCTCATGGCAACCACCAATCAACCCCGGTTAGACTGCGGCGACACTTGTCGAGGTTATACGAAGTTACCAGTCTGTCTACGTTTTTATTTTCCGTCTTATTGCATGTGTATAACCAGATTGCCCGTTTTGGTATACAGTAAAACCTTGGATTGCAAGTAACTTGGTCTGCGAGTGTTTTGCAAGACGAGCGAAATTTTAAAATAAATATGAATTTGATAAACGAGCGAGGTCTTGCAATACGAGTAGTACGTATACGCTTTGTACTGCCGAGCGTCACGTGATCACAACTGATATACGAGTGCTTTGGATTACAAACACGTTTTCGGAACGAATTATGCTCGCAATCCAAGGTTTTACTGTAGTTGGAATCGGAAGCTTATTTGTGTCCTGTTTGTGGTGCTAACCACATCATCGAGGTTGTTAGACATTCTGATCCTACCACTACCGAGCAGGATAAGATGTTTTCATAAGACAATAATTAAAGTGTTCTCTCATTCTTAAAGGCACAAATACATTATCTAATCTCTTCGAAAGCATGTTATGTTTATTGATGCCAACTTGTATCTTTATGTAAGGGTAATGTATCTCATCATACTCTACCATAGCTGTTCATGCCAGGATTAATCAGTTATATCTATGGGACCCTTTTGGCAATATCAAGATATTGAACATCTTAATGTCTGTATTGATGCCAGAAAGGGTAAAGCCTTTTTTTAAACATTAAACATGTTCATTACAGCCTCACACATTCCCAATGTCAGCATTTGCGAGTTGTCCCAGCAGGTTTACAAGATGCGATGTTATTTCACTCGCACACCTGGAAAAAAAATATTTTGGGGGTTTTGGTTAAACGTGTGATGAGACATCTGCTGTTTGCTGCTGCTGCAGGAATTCATGGAGAAAAGGGAGACCAAGGTGATGCAGGTTATGGGCCTAAAGGTCTCCTTGGCAATATAGGACTAACAGGTACGGACGCTACACAGAAACCTCCTCCTCTTTTTCTAAGACAAAAAAACCTCAGGATTTAATCGAGTTGGCTGCTCAGATTATCTCTCCATGAGCTGCTACTCTGCCTTTTTAATTGTACCAAGGGTGGCGACCGTAGCATGTTCACCTCTCGTTGCATAGGTTCACGGTTCAAATTCACTGGCCGCCCTGATGAATAATGTGGTTATTTTAGTAACCCACAAAATGCACGCCATCTGATTTACTGTGGACATTACAGATACTGTGACGTCACTCACAAGAATAGGCCATTGTGTGTTAGCGTTACGGTCCTAATTTGCCAAACGTAAAAATAATCCTGAAAATTACTCAATTGGAATCATACACATAAATTACCCCCCCCCCCCCCCAACTGTGAAAACTGGGCAAGACCCTCCTGAAAAGAGTCATGAGACTAGAGCTCTCCCAAATGAAGGGCCAGCAGTGCCTTGAGGGAGAACTTGCAGGGCTGCACCTTTATATACACAGTACCATACTTGATCCCTACACAACAATGTTCTTTTCAGTTTGTTGATTACCACATCCTCTCTCCATCATCCCATCGCGTGTTGCAGGCAGAGAAGGCTCTCCCAGCTATGGCCGCGATGGTTTGGATGGCCCCAAGGGCCTCCCTGGACCCTCTGGCCGACAGGGACGACCTGGTTCTCCAGGGCCTCCAGGATCTCCAGGCTACTGTGACCCAGCCTGCCATGGACCCATTGCTTTCCAAGGGCCGGCTTCTGATGTAAAAGGACCATGAGTAAAACAAATAATAATAATGATACAATCTTTGACAGCAGTTATACATCGTTTAAATGATCAACATAATGTGGTACTTAAATTTCTACATTTGTGGAACATTTTTTGTGAGTAAATGAAAGCCAGAAAATAGTTGTTGTAACTTTGCTCCTAAAGTGACAATTCAAAAACAACTGTGTATTATTTTGTTTGTATTGTATGTCGTTAGAATGCCCATTCTTGCTCTGTGGCATGAAAATAAATCAATTTTCTGGAATAAAAGCGGCGATATTGCAACTGCCCATACTACTTGAAGGTGCATGATAAAAGTGGAAATGGAGCAAGTGCTGGTATTTCGTTCAGGGTGTCTATAATTTTGTTTTAAGTTTGGAAGGATCCCTTAATTTGCAGGAGAGTAGAATAATAGCAAGGCCAAGTTTGTAACCATATTGAAAATGTGACTTTTTATCATTTACATAAACCAATAACGCCACCTGTGTGAGGTCCTGGCAAGTTAATGATGGTGGCATCCACAAGCCTTGGGATTCCACTTTGAAAGTGCACTTTTCTCAATCATACTTCAAACCTGTTGTTTGGGCTAGAAGGCCCAATGCATGCAACCTCGGTGCCTGTACAGCTTATGGTGTGGAGCAGTCAATAGCAAAACAAGGAAAATGACTTTTAATAAATGAATCATCATACAGAAGACTACTCTGAAAAGCAAGTCATGTTTTCGTATTTTGTGATGGGTTTATTTTGACTTCTCTGTTAAATCACGACACCAAATGTTTTTTTGTAAATGACTTTCAAGATGTGATGCTATAAATTGTATTTTCACCTGGATTACCTTCTGTTTTTCTTTTTGTCAACAGCTTCTCAGTGTTAACTGAATTACCTTGGCTGTTTTCTCCCATGTTATAAATCTTAAGGCTAACATTATCCGGACACCCTGCATCTGTTAAACTATACCACAGATTGAGCAATTCACCATTTTAAATTGTCACCTTACGTGCATTCACGCATTGAAGACTCACATTCACTCATAATCACCCTCGTTTGAAAACTTTGCAAGCATTTACAATCATTAAATGACAATTAATACCTTCAGGAAAACAAAACAATGTTAAATTCAGTACAAAACAGTGTTGTGTCTGTTGTATTGACAACCATCGCAGAACATGGCTTTAATACCACTATCTTTTGGGAAAATTCCAGAACTGGTCACTCATTTATATTGTAACTGCTAAATGCTATGAAAGATCAAAAGAGAATAATTGTCTTTAGATGGTGTATTTCTGTATGTAAAAAATACAGTAAACAACACGACACTTTACCATCCACTGTAATTATAATATTGTACAAAGAGCTTAATGTTGTTATCAGCTGACTTGAAGCATATTGTGTTATTTTGAAGCTTTTTTTAATCATTACTATCTTAGGCATTGCATTTCCTGTTCCGGATATCATTCGTTCTGATGAATGCTTGATGAAGTTTATGCCTCATGTAATTGCACCAAGTCGTAACAACATGAATACTGATTGGCTGTTCTAGCAAGAATATAACAAGTTGGCAATAAACAATACAGAATTACGTTATAAATAATGTCTGCAAAACTAAACTTGATTTGTTGAGCCGAGTTTTATTTTGACATAGGGTACACTTTGGTTGATACGTTTTTTTTGGCAATGTAAAATAAGTTTCATTTAATCTGATTTTACACGTCTAAAAAATAAATGCATTGTAGTTTTATGAAAACAATAATGATCGTTGTCTGCATTGTGTGCATGATTTTCATGGCTGGATACAAACACCATGCAAAAATATAGCATTCGTTTATGGCATTATCTATGAATGCACAATGTTTGCAAAAATGTAAAGTAAACAAACGCATTGCTTTTGAAATTAATCTCTACTTTGATTTTTTAGTGCAGCAATAATTTCCATTGCTCTTCACTTTGTCTCATTTATGGAGGGTTAGCTATTATAATTCGTTGAGAACCCAATGAAATAATTGCTCGAGCGTTAAACATTTCTGGCCTTGTGCACGTGATTGATCTGTGTGTGACAGGCCCTGAATTGCATTACATTTAACAATTTATGGGTAAAATGTATGCATTACGCTCTTCACTGTTTTGTTCATATCTTGGAGGGCGTGCAGTGGATTTATATTAAAGATATTGAAGCGTCACATCTCATTGATTCACCTGTGAACTGCAGCAAGGCCTCAGTGTGATGTCGCATTACTGCAGGTGTTAAACCTGATTCACTATAAGGTAAATATCGATACGATTGCGCTAATACATACATTATTTTGTGATACTCCAAGCACAAATATTTTTAGAAGCTACAGTCTGCTGATGAGACAGAAGGTGAAACCGACCGAGAGTTTCCACGCTTAAACAAACCCTGCCCGATACCATTCGTCTGGAAAGCCAATAGGCAGATGGACTCAACAAATACGCTGTATTTACATGTGGAGATGGAACGGAGTAACCATATTATGTCCTACAGTATATATTACTCACCCCACTCGGGGAACTGCGGTAGTGTAATGGTTGTGTCTGGGTTAGATCGCGTAAACATAAATGTGTCGTTCACCCACCACCACTCGACACAGCCAATCAGTACGGTTTGTCACGTGAACAAAACATGTCAATTCGCCATCTATTTAGGATGTATATATAGCCCTTTCCATATTGGTCGCGAAAGCCAGTGTGTTTAATTGGTTGCATCGGTGTAAATAGAAGGGTGCCTTTCTCAAATCGCCCCAATGTGTCCACTCAGCAGTCGAAATGGGTACACCACGACAGAAGGACCACAAGGGTAAGGCGATGGGCAGCTCGGGTATAGTGTGGGGTATCCTACACATCATTTTTCCAATGTATTTGTTAACTCCCGTCTTGCCGCTGGTGTCCACTGGGGTGAATTCGCGGTACGCTACCCCACCAGTAAGATGCGCTTGTGTCACGTTCTCTCCCAGCCACGACGGCCAAGGATCCCCACGGCTCTAGGGATGGCCCCCCGTGCATTACATTATTGTGTTCTGACTTACGAACAGGGCTTGGGAATGGAACCCGTTCGTAAGTAGAGGGCTGCCCGTACAGGGGTTGGTTGCACGATTAAAGCGACACGACTGTATTTTCTTTACTCCGTAATTGTATTTCACATTACATTATTTACGTCGTCATTGTGATTTGATGTACAATACAAATGTAGATTGATTAAAATATATAAAGCTGCAGTTCACTTAACAACATCCTGCCATTTGTATCTCATACATGTGCAGTGACTGACTCAGAGACACTAAGAGTAGGAGGCACTCTGTTTATGAACACGGCCCGACAGTAACATTTAGTAACTACGGTTCCCAGTCAGGACGGCTGGCAGACTGCCTGGCTGGCGACGCCGAGACGGTGAAGACGGAGACGACAATGAAGACTCCAGCAGCAGCACGACGGAGATGGGCCCCCCACTCCACACTACAGCCCCGAGGTCCCCTCCCGGGGCTCCTCTTATATACTGCCAGCGCGGCCTGGCTCCGCCCCCGGCCACGCCCCCTTCTGGAACCTACCAGCGGGTTCTCGATGTGCCCCTTCCGTAACCTCGATCCCTCTCTGGTCTATCACGTGACCTGCTGTCAGTCAGGGCTGCTGTAAGCTGCAGATGCCCCCTTCCCTGCCAGCAAACAGCGCTTTGATGCTACGTGACCGATTCTATGTCACTACACTTGTTTCACAATGGATGCGATCTAGAACGCTTAACTGTCGCACTTAATTTGAAGGGCCACTGTTCGACACATCGCTTATATATTTGTTTTATTTTCAAGACCACAATGTGATTGACTAATGTATCGAGATTTTTCTAGTTACAAGTTACTTTGTTAGAGTCACCGCTTCACTGAAAGCTCCTTCAGTAAAAAAAAATAGCTTGCAACTTTCTGCATTGGAATCCTGCACACGCAACAGCTAAAATGAATAAACTGCGTTCTGTGAAAGTGCTCTTACATTTAGATTTAAAGCTTTCGTGACTGCAGGGATTCATCTTCTTGGTTCTTTCGGTAAAGTCACGTAGAAGGGAAATAATAAAATAATAAATATAAAACGTTATACAATATTTTATTGTTTTATTTTTATTATTTTATTTAAAACAATAAAATATTTTATGTTTTATTTTTATTATGTCCCTTCAACGTGACTTTACCGAAAGAACCAAGGAGAATGCTCTTACACTTCAGCAATTGCGGATTATTATTATTTGAAGTAAGCCGGACACTTTCATCGCCGCGCCAATTCGCTGGCTTCAAAAGGGGGGTTACATCAAATCGATTCCTTCGACACTCCGCACAGAAATCGAACCGTCGATTCCTTTTTTCCCCCCACGATTCATTCATTTGCTCAAACGTGGTAATCGAGCCGTGGAATCGCGTGCGTGGCCGGATCTTGTCGGGGTCGATTCCTAGATCGCGCTTTGAGTGTGTGGATGCTGGGCCTCGTTAGAGCGCGGGTCGCGCCGCCGTCGCCGCTGCTGCTGCTGGTCCGCGAAGTAGGTCGCGAAGTAGGACGAGGAGGAGGCCACGGCCGCTGCTGGGCGCGCTGCCTCATGGCCTCACGGGCGGGCAGGGCGCCGGGGCACGTGCCGGCGGGCGGGCTGGAGCGCGGCGTCAAGCGGGCGCTGTGCGTGGCCGAGAAGAACGACGCGGCGAAAGGCATCGCCAACATCATGTCTCGCGGCGGGTTCACGCGGGTGGGTGAACTTTCTTGTCTCTGCGGCGTCGCGCTAAACAAACTCGAGAGGCGAGATCGACCAAGCGCACCACAACAACAACAGCAGGAGCGCACACCCGGCCGAAGCTGCTTCTACGCTTTGCGTGCTGGGCTCACACCGCGGCCTGCAAAGTAACTTGAAATGTCCCTGTGTTCGTGGGTGGCTGCGTGCCAAGAAAGTTCTTTAGCCCGTGGTAGGGAAAACCTTGCACACCCTTGGTCTGACATAGCCTACTGACTGGACTCTACCGGCAATCTTGGCGTTGGTAAGAGTCGCCTACAACTTCAGGGTTAAAAGCGAAAATACTGCCCCCTTCCGTGGGGGATGTGAAATTGTTTTTCAATTAGTTTTTTTTTCCCCTCGCCAATGGGATGGGTACCTGTTTGGTGAAATAAAGTTGACTCAATATTTACACAGATTCTACGACTCTCTTCCTTTCAGAGGGAAGGCCTGTCGAAGTTCAACAAGATATATGAGTACAACTACTCCTTTAGTGGACAGGTAAGTGTTTATATATTAATAAAAGTGCCACTACCCAGAGACATTGCAAATGTCAAATTATGGTGCGATTTTTCAATGATAAGTAATAATATACTATATAACAAGGCGGGCCAAACCGTGGGGCAGTCCAAGTGATGCTCCTTAATGGCTCGATAATACTTCACTTTTCAATACAACTTTATTTGAAGTGTAAAATATACATACCTGTCAACCCCTTATCAGTACCTACCTTATTACAGATCAATTCAGACATTATTGGTCACCCCGTGCCCCCTTATCAATCTCAACGTTCATCCTACAAAGTTCCATCACAAGGAAGAGAAACACAAACAAATAGACGCATTTATTTTGCCCGTATTGAAATGGCTGTACGCCGTATGGACCTGAAAACTCAATTTCCTTGGACAAAAATACGGCTAAACCGTATGGGTTTGACAGGTATGAAATATATTAATTAAAAACTCCTCGGCCCTGAGCGAACCTGCCTCTCGGTGGTTAGCCGTTTATGTAGGTTAGTGGTTAAATTAATCAGACGCGAATTATCGTATGGTATGGCCTTGTAGAAGGGAAACAATAAAATAATACAAATATAAAACAAAATTCTCACGACGATGATGATTGCTTGTGTTGCAGTCGAAACGTGAGAATTGTATTGTTTTATATTTATAATTTTATTTTTTCCCCTCTACGTGACTTTACCGAAAGAACCAAGAATATGAATCCCTGCAGTCACGAAAGCTTTAAATCATTGTAATTATCTTTATAATAACTAAAATAAAACTATACATCATGTATTTTTTTTACATAATATGAGTTTACAATCTCAAACAATGCACAGTTTTAAATACAAATGTTACATTTTTTTGTGAGTGATTTCTGTCATTGTGCTTCACAGCAGAATGTCAATGTTGTAATGACCTCGGTGTCTGGACATTTATTGGGGTTGGAATTCATTGCAGGTTTCAAAAACTGGTGAGTCCAATGTTGTACATTTTTATCATCTATAATTAACCAAACAATCAAGTCTTACGGCTTGTTTTTACATTTTTTACCATTCGTCGTTGCATATATTTTTGGTTCAAATTTGCAAACCATTTCGATTGTTTCATTCGTAATATTTGAAAGCAAAAAAACAATCACCAGTTATATTTTTACTTTTCGTCACATTACGTTTCATATTAGTTTGGGTTATTGTAAATCTGCACTTGATTGAAAAAACAAACGAATCCACCGTGTAATATAGTTCAATTGCAATGAGCGTTTAACTTGGACCTAACATACTGTGTCACTTAACAGGCGAGGCTGCCACCCGGTGGATCTCTTTGATGCCGAAATCGAAAAAATTTGTCTCAACGACTTGGTTGCCATCAAGGTTTGTCTTGAATGTTCTTTTTTCCTGTGGTGTAAATTTAAAACCAAGCCCGTGGTACATACAAAGTGTGAACGCACTTGCTCGCCACGTGTTGTCTCTGCGCTGAGAGAGGAAGTGTCCCATCCTCTGTGCGCGTTTTTTTATTTGGGCTTGTAGGCTGAGAGACTGATGGTTGCACCACATCACTAAACACGTGTAAGACCAGTACTGTATTGTATAAGATCATTATTATAATAATCCAAAGACATATTTTCCCTTATCTGCAATTTGTATTACTGATTGGGATTCCTAAATGCTTTTTGACAATTTGGTCAATTGTGGCACCTGTTGAAATCTTTGCATACAGTTATTTCTGATTTGCTGAAATAATTCTATTTTTTCCTGCAATATCATTTGTTAAGCACATTTTAGTATTTTGTTACTTTGCACTGTTGCATTTTAATGTACTGTATATTGAAGCACACTTTGTCTACTACATACATTTATTTGTTACATCCACAGAATTGTTTTAAATATTTGTTGTCTTGTAATTTACCATAGGTCTTCATTAAATTAGACTTTTTCCTACGTCCTGTATTCTGGTTGTAAATACATTTTACTGAATTGTTACTACCTGTAAGCAAAAGCAATGTTGCTGGTGTGTGTGTATATATTTATGCCTTGATCTTCCATTAGAGAACATTGGAAAGAGAAGTGAGGCAATGCCAAGCTTTGATTATTTGGACGGATTGTGACAGAGAGGGAGAGAACATTGGTTTTGAAATAATCGATGTCTGCAAAGCAGGTATGTATATCGCAGCACAAATCTGAAGACAAATGACTGGATTAGAAAATGCTTTGATGTTGTAATTGATGTAAGAACACTCAGCTTACCCTCATCAAACCGACTATAATCACCCAGGAATGTCTGTCCTGAACGCTTGTGACGTCACTCCACATCGACCAGCCCCCCTCATTAATAATCATGAGCGGGTGACGTCACTCAATATGGAGTACCCCCCCCACTAATAATCATGCTCAAGTGACGTCACTCCACGTCGAACGGCCCCCTTCATTAATAATCATTAGCAGGTTACGTCCTCCACATGGACCCTCCCCCAATTAATAATCATGAGCAGGTGACATCACTCCACATGGAGCACCCACCCCCCTCATTAATAATCATGAGCAGGTGACTTTACTCCACATCGAACAGCCCCCCTCATTAATGATCATAAGCTGACGTCCTCCAAATGGACACTCCCCCCACCCCATTCATAATAATTAGCGGCTGATGTCACTCCACATGGGGGGGGCCAAGGTGCCTCCTCCCCCCTCCTCGGCGTCAACTTACAACCGTCACTACAAAGGCAGAACCCTCACGGCATCACGTGATCTCCGTAACGCTGTTGTTGAGACATCAAAGTAAAAAGGACGTCATGATGAACAAGGGATTATATCCTTAAAATGAAATAGGTCTGTGGCACCGCGCCCTTACAAATTGCACACGCATTGATGCAATGAATATCACGTCGCGGTCTGCTTTTCGCTCGCAAGTTTCAGATTTACTGCAATACACCCGTCCTTGGACGGGCAAAAGGCGAGTTGATATTAAAGGTCCTAGTTTGTCTATTTTCACAGTCATTGCATTCGAGTAGTGGCTAATCTGAGTCACTTTGCATGAACAACTTAAACTTAACTCCCCACTCAAATGCATTATCAGTTGAAGGCTTATGGTAGACTTTTTAACTGCTTATTTGAAACCTGTGTTCACAAATAGTGGCACACCTCAGAAACAATGGTACAAGAGAAGAAGATCAACACATCAACCGGTGGCAGTTAAAACTTTGACTGCCTCTTGAACAGCTGAGAGTCGTGATTACCAGTGGGAAAATCTTGTTACGTCCTGCTGGGCCAATGAACAGATACCACTGCGACCACTCGTCGTACTCCTCTTCCTCATTCTGCTCGTTCTTTGCCTAGCGTGAGACAAGTAACAGGGTTGCGTTTAGGTTTAGTCTTTGCATTCAAGTACTAATTGACGAATTGAACACATTATTTGGACATTATCAAAATACGTTATCTGTTGTATAGCCGAATTACCCTTTGCATCATTTGTAAGACAGTTCGATTCTTTTGTGTGCCAAAATTCACATTCAGTAGAATGACACATGGCGCATAGTAGTTGGCACCCGTTGTCACTAACGATGACACACCTCACCTTCATGGATGTGCGTCTTGAGAAAAAGCCAATGTGGAAGGTCAAACACAAATTTTGGTGAATGGTAAAGCACAAGACCAATTATAAAATGTTCGTCATCATTAACCTTGGAAAATCTGTTGTCTTCTTTTCAGTGAAGCCAAACTTGCAAGTTTTCCGAGCAAGATTTTCTGAGATTACTCAACAGTCTATTCACAACGCATGTAGAAACCTGACACTGCCCGACGAGAACACGAGCAAAGCTGTGGACGTTCGTCAGGAGCTGGATCTGCGTATAGGTAAAGTAACGTTGACATTATTATCACATGGTCATTTGAAACTACTATATTGTATGTATGTTGAACTTCTTTCGCATCGTACGTAGCCAACCATGATAATTGTTGCTGTAGGGGTATTTAAGATGTTATCGAAACATTAATAATAATATGCAGGATAATATTGAAGTGTCATGATGGGCTAAATTTGGTCTTCATGGAAATAACAGGGTTCAGAAAACTGCTATATTGTGGTGCCCCAACTCTGAAGTAGCTTAGTATTTTGAGATATATAAGAATATTCCATTTGTTCTTAGCATTGATACATTTTTAAGACGCTGACACTTGACATTTACATTTTGTATTGTTTTAATGATTAAACATTTAAATTTGTGTTTTTGGTAAGCATTTGTATTGTTTTTATCTCTTAGGTGCAGCGTTCACTAGATTTCAGACGCTACGGTTACAAAAGATTTTTCCAGCATCTCTTGCTCACCAACTGGTCAGCTATGGAAGTTGCCAGTTTCCAACACTTGGTTTTGTCGTAGAAAGATTCAAAGCAATTCAAGCATTCATTCCAGAAGCCTTCCATCAGATTAAGGGTAAGAAATGATTTGTTTTTTGCAGGGTTGAACACGGGAATGGTTTACAGAGTTCCTTTCTTTCACCTTCATTCATCACTGAAAACAGTGTTAGACCTTCAAGGGAATAGTCTTATAGTGGTAAAGCAGTGTGCTCTACTTCTCTTTATCTCTGGTCAAATGCTGGATTTACAGATTGGTGATAATTGGCATCTGAACATAGCCTGGGCCACCCCAACTTGGGTACCTAAAAATGTGATTTGGAGATCTGTCTGAATCTCTTCACTGAGGTGGAGGTAGCCACACCTGGTACTGGCTGCAACCACTCCTATTTTGTGAAGACTTACTGTATTATAAGGCACTACTTCCCCTTTATTTAAAAGCACAAGTTCGGATGTATCTTTTAATCCAACAGGTTGTGTGTGTATCAGATTTGAATACTTTTTTGATATTGAGGTGGAACATTTTACCGAGTGGCTTGTAACCTGGAGAATATGGTATTAATACTCTTTGGTTCTTTCGGTAAAGTCACGTGACTTTCCCGAAATAACCAAAGAGTATGGATTCCTGCAGTCACGAAAGCTTCAAATCAAGAACATGGTATTAACTTGAGATCATTGATGGTATAACCACGTTTTTCTCCAACATGGTGTGATATGCTATTTTATCCTCAAGGAGTTTCCTAAATATGTTTTGATTGTAAAGTTATGGCTAGGTTTTGATTATAAAGTTATGGCTACCTTACAAAGGTCTTAATCACACTATAAGTATTCATATTTTTGTGTTTTCAATAGTGAGAATGCAGTGCAGAGAATTCCCTATATTTATATCATATCCTCTTTCTGAATATAATTTATACCAGACCTGGGGTTAATCATAATTATATCTACAACAGTATTGTTAGCTGCAATGAAAATTACACTGATTGCAATCCATTACGAATGACACGATTACAATTGCTATTGACCCCGACTTTTAATTTATACACAACTTAATTAAGACTTCGAGAACTTGTGACTCTTTAAATATAAAAAAGCATACAATACTTGGCCAGGATAGTTGTCACTTTTGTAGAACATAAGTGTATATCCAGAGCAAACCAATAATCTTTTATAAATGTAATTGTAAATTCTGCCTTGTTAATATGTTGTGAATTTCCCATTTAGTTACACACCAGAATGAGGATGGACTGGTGGAGTTTCATTGGAAGAGAAACCGACTGTTTAACCACACTGCTTGTCTCATTCTCTACCAGTTGTGTATTGAGGTGAGAGTTTATACCTTTTAATTAAAAACAACAAAAATATTTAAATCCATTTGCCGCTGTCTAACACATTGTAACTTACATTTTAGAATCCCACTGCTGAAGTTTTAGAAGTGACGTGCAAGCCAAAGAGCAAGTGGAGGCCACAGCCTTTGGACACAGTGGTACGTATTGCAACCTGAGCACATGCAGTATATGAATGAAATACAATTAAAACAATGTTCGTTACATGAATATAGGTGATACAGGAGAACCGCTTTCAGCCAACACAGACTTTTCCTTTGGTGTACAGCTGTATTATGAATGATAGCATCCCCACCAGAGGATGAGAATCCCCATGAACTTAAAAAAGAACACGTGTTTTAATTGGTCTTGTTGAAGTGTGAAATGTAATATATTTTGTGATGTTATCTGATACTCAATTACAACACACTTTTGGAAAACATTACCACCCAGCCTTTGGCTGAAGAATTGCTATAGATATGAGACATCTTCATTACCTCGGTTTAATTGAGGTGATGAGAAAAGATGATTGAGACTGCAGAAAAAAATCACTAGATGAGAATTAGCATAATATTCATAACATCAACAGTCCTAGGTTGAAATGAGAGAAATGGTTAGGGAGGAAATACATTTTTAAGTCATATTAGAATCCAAAAAGTTATCATAAAATCTGATCGTGAAGAGAAAATTCCTGAGAGTAGTATATCCATTAATATAACAAAATAGCGCAATTATTAATACTATATATATTTGTAATAAAATACAATTGTGAGAAATGAACGTGTCTTTGTATATTGTCATTTTATTCAGGAAATGGAGAAACTGGCATCTCGAAAGCTGAAAATCAATGCGAAAGAAACTATGAAGATTGCTGAAAAGCTTTACACCAAAGGGTAAATTATTTTTGTATTTTGACGATGGTTATCCAATTAGTGTTCATAGACTATAGTTAATTTAATACATATAGATAATTGTGAATGAGTGACTGATGTAAATTTGAATTATGTTCTGGAACAGCTAGTCTTCTGGGGGGGGGGGGGACAGGTTGCACAGTGGTATGTGTACCGTGCTGATGAATCTCGAGACCTAAGTTTGACTCTGGCCATGGTTAACATCTTGTGGAGGTCCTTTTGCCAGCAGTGGAATGAGAAGTAACTGCAACTAGAGAAAGCATGTTTTGTTTTAAATGGATGTAATTTCAATTATAGTCTGCATATTGTCACTCACTGTATATTTTTTTTACTGCAGGTTCATTAGCTACCCGCGAACAGAAACCAACGTTTTCCCAAAAGGCATGAACCTTGCCGAATTAGTTGACATGCAAACACAAGATCGAAACTGGGGTGCATTTGCCCAAAGGCTCCTTGAAGCTGGGCCAAATCCAAGAAATGGCACAAAGTCTGATCAAGCCCATCCTCCAATCCACCCAACTAAATACACTGCAGACCTGAATGTAAGTACGTGATGTGCCTGTCAGTGCATATAATTGTCAAAGGACATCAGGGTCCAATCTTTGCCAATGTTGAAAAAAATCCTGCAAATTACTGAATCGTGATTAATAAACAGCAATAATCGCCCTCTACTGACAGACTTAGTCTCCCAGGTCACTCTTGCAAATGTGACTCATCCTGGTATCTTGAGTTCTCTCTTGGTTAAACAAAATAAACTTGAAACTACTTGAAACATAAATTTCTGTCTCTGAATCAAATAGCCCTGCCATCCATGCCTCAGCATGGCAGTGGCACCATCAGTTTCATCCAAAGAGTGGCATAACGATGTCTAAGTACATTACTAGTTCGACTACTAATGTGTCTGTTTTTTTATTCAATTAGGGGAATGATCAGCGCTTGTATGAATTCATTGTTCGTCATTTCCTGGCCTGTTGCTCCCAAGATGCACAAGGACAGGAAACCACAGTGGAAATTGAAATTGCTGGAGAGAGGTTTTTTGCAAATGGACTCATGATCACAGCTCGGAATTATCTGGATGTTTATCCTTATGACAAATGGAACGCTAAGGTAATAATATAGAACTAGCTGTTTTAACTAACAGCGTTACCCATAATGCATTGTCGGCAACATTTTTTAATTTTGCTTTTAATATAAATTAGTATACAGTAATACATTTTTTTATTATTAAAGCGTTTGTTCCTCTAATAATAGGTAACTATTCGTATGCCTATTTCACGTTTTTTTCTCAGGAAAACCAATGTAAAGTTGATTTTAAGAGGCCCTACTGTGTATCGTGCAGTCTCTTATTTACGAATGTGTGAGGGATTTTTTGTTATTTGTGCTTGTACACCATTACCATTGCAGCATCTCTAAATTAATTGTTTTACTTCTATAACAAAATTTGTTGCCAAAACATTAGCACATTTGGTATGTTATTAGACAAGCATATAAGAGATTTGACATAATTTCACATTAGGTTGACTGGAGCAATGAACAAGTTTGGCTTAACACTGATCCCAACCCTTCATGCCACAATAAGAATCTCAAAGTAATATTTTATCACTGAATTTTTTTTTACGTGTTATTCACAAATGTATTTTTTTTGTTTTACATATTTAGGTCATCCCTGTTTACACTACAGGAGTGAAATTCCAACCCAGCAATATTGAAATGACGGACGGGGAAACCAGTCCCCCGCAGCTTTTGTCTGAAGCTGATTTAATTTCCCTCATGGAAAAACATGGAATTGGTTAGTTGCATGTACATTGCCAGTTCTAAGTACACTTAACTGATTAAACTAAGACTAATATACTTGCCTCCACAGCTCTGGATTAAAGGTGTGCGTGACCAGCAAACAAAGTATATTGTGGGTTAAAATATCCATATTGTCAAAGACTTTTCTCTAAAAATATGTTTTTAAGCTAACCTTGATAAAGCATATGAACGTTGGTTAAATTAAGTAAAAAAACAGGCATGACTTATACCTAATCAGTGTTAATTAAAGTCCCATATGCTGATTTAGTTTTGTATGGTTATTGTTACAGGTACAGATGCCACGCATGCAGATCACATTGAAACCATCAAGTCCAGAATGTACGTTGGGCTGACGCCTGCACAAAGATTCCTACCAGGAGAGCTTGGAATGGGGTTGGTGGAAGGTCCGGATTTCAAATTCTACATGATTCATGTTGTGCTGTATTGACTTTGTACGTGCTACAGTCACATATCAGTGGGCGTCTCATATCCACTATGTAGAAACACGTGTGGTTTTTGACGTGAATCGCTCTTTATATAGAAAAGCACCACCTAGTGTTGGGGTAAGAGGCCCAATTAAAGAATTGTATAATTTTTCAAGGCTATTCAATGAGATGTGATGGTCAGTTTACAATCTGTAATATGGTAACATTTCTACGTTTCATTCCTAGGCTATGATGCAATGGGGTATGAAATGTCCAAGCCTGACCTTCGTGCCGAGTTGGAAGCTGACCTTAAGCTAATATGTGAAGGAAAAAAGAACAACACCACAGTTTTGCAACAGCAAATCCAAAAGTATAAGCAGGTGTTTTTGGAAGCTGTTTCTAAAGCTGAAAAGTAAGTCTCACGCTTGCAACACAAAACTGCCAGCTCCTTGCCAAGCCAAGTTGGCTCCAGTAAATCATGTGGTTTTATTCAATAGACAACATTTTTTGTATTGTATGTAGCGATGGACAAATCTAAGAGTTGTGTTCATACCCAGTAATGTTTTAGCACCCCCTTGCTCCGTTTACCAACCCAGCTGATCCAGAGCTGCTGGGAACTGAGGCCCGTGGCTTAGGTTCATCAGTCATTGCCGAGAAGTTGGCCATACTTCACCCCGCTCGTCAGCGCAAGTTGAAGGGAACACATTTTGTCTTGCCTCTCGCCAGATATCTAGTCTAATTACTCGGGCTATAATCCACTCAATCCTCTATGCCTCCGGGAAGGCAGTGCTGTGTTGAAGAGGTACCACATGTTAACGTTATCGTTGAATTGTAGGTTGGATGAAGCCCTGTCATGTTACCTTGGAGAGCCTCAACAGTCTATTGCGAATGAAGAAACTATCCCCAGGAGATTGGAACCTGTGAGAAAGTGCCCACAGTGTAAAAGCAACATGGTGCTGAAGCAAACCAAGGATGGCAAGTGAGCACTTGAGTCCTGCATTTATTTTCCATGCCGCTGCTGCTGCTATATACCAATATTTGATACTGCTATTTAAATGTCATTTTGGCATACTATATTTAATATATATCCAGGTATGAACTTTGTTTTGTAGCAAAAAAATATGGACCCTACTTTTGCTGCATTTAGAATTTGTATTGGCATTCCTAGTAATTTAGTTTTCTTGGAATATTTTACAATTACAACTTTTGAATCTCACTGCTCACCGGAGTCGGTTGACCATTTCTCTACACAATCACTTTCTTCAAGTCTCATCTAGTTTAAATTTTTTTCCTTTATCTGCCAGTACATATCGTCGGCATGCAACTATGCATTTATTAAAATGTATTCTTATGGTCACGATTCGTGCATCACATTGCATGTTTAACAATAATTTCACGTGGTCCCTTCGTGCCCTTAAGAGGTTTCACATTCACCACAATGTTAAAACAAACCTATTCTTGAGATTTGGGTGTGTGCAGGGTTATTTGGTCACAGATGTATATGAAGTATAGCTTTGTGTTTTGAATGTGAATTATGTATATGTTACATCCGTGTTACTGTGTGTTGTATTATGTATTTGTGTGTGTATTAATTATGCACTTATAGATACATACAGTGAGGGAAAAAAGTATTTGATCCCCTGCTGATTTTGTACGTTTGCCCACTGACAAAGAAATTATCAGTCTATAATTTTAATGGTAGGTTTATTTGAACAGTGAGAGACAGAATAACAACAAGAAATCCGGAAAAACGCATGTCAAAATGTTATAAATTGATTTGCATTTTAATGAGGGAAATAAGTATTTGACCCCCTCTCAATCAGAAAGATTTCTGGTTTCCAGGTGTCTTTTCTACAGGTAACGAGCTGAGATTAGGAGCACACTCTTAAAGGGAGTGCTCCTAGTCTCAGCTTGTTACCTGTCTAAAAGACACCTGTCCACAGAAGCAATCAATCAATCAGATTCAAAACTCTCCACCATGGCCAAGACCAAAGAGCTCTCCAAGGATGTCAGGGACAAGATTGTAGACCTACACAAGGCTGGAATGGGCTACAAGACCATTGCCAAGCAGCTTGGTGAGAAGGTAACAACAGTTGGTGCGATTATTCACAAATGGAAGAAACACAAAAGAACTGTCAATCTCCCTCGGCCTGGGGATCCATGCAAGATCTCACCTCGTGGAGTTGCAATCATGAGAACGGTGAGGAATCAGCCCAGAACTACACGGAGGATCTTGTCAATGATCTCAAGGCAGCTGGGACCATAGTCACTAAGAAAACAATTGGTAACACACTACACCGTGAAGGACTGAAATCCTGCAGCGCCCGCAAGGTCCCCGTGCTCAAGAAAGCACATATACATGCCCGTCTGAAGTTTGCCAATGGACATCTGAATGATTCAGAGGACAACTGGGTGAACGTGTTGTGGTCAGATGAGACCAAAATGGAGCTCTTTGGCATCAACTCAACTCGCCGTGTTTAGAGGAGGAGGAATGCTGCCTATGACCCCAATAACACCATCCCCACCGTCAAACATGGAGGTGTAAACATTATGCTTTGGGGCTGTTTTTCTGCTAAGGGGACAGGACAACTTAACCGCATCAAAGGGACGACGGACGGGGCCATGTACCGTCAAATCATGGGTGAGAACCTCCCTCCCTCAGCCAGGGCATTGAAAATGGGTCGTGGATGGGTATTCCAGCATGACAATGACCCAAAACACACGGCCAAGGCAACAAAGGCGTGGCTCAAGAAGAAGCACATTAAGGTCCTGGAGTGGCCTAGCCAGTCTCCAGACCATAATCCCATAGAACATCTGTGGAGGGAGCTGAAGGTTTGAGTTGCCAAATGTCAGCCTCGAAACCTTAAAGACTTGGAGAAGATCTGCAAAGAGGAGTGGGACAAATTCCCTCCTGAGATTTGTGCAAATCTAGTGGCCAACTACAAGAAACGTCTGACCTCTGTGATTGCCAACAAGGCTTTTGCCACCAAGTACTTAGTCATGTTTTGCAGAGGGGTCAAATACTTATTTCCCTCATTAAAATGCAAATCAATTTATAACATTTTTGACATGCGTTTTTCTGGATTTTCTTGTTTTTCTGTCTCTCACTGTTCAAATAAACCTACCATTAAAATTGTAGACTGATCATTTCTTTGTCAGTGGGCAAACATACAAAATCAGCAGAGGATCAAATACTTTTTTCCCTCACTGTATATTGTTAATGTTTGGAGAATTGGCCCAGTGGTTAGTGCATTGGACTAAAAACCTATCGATCTGAGTTCGAAGCCGAATATCAGTGGAGTGCTGGGGGTGGGAGGATGGAAGGGGGAATGCAGCCCATATTGTTTATATTTACAAAATAACCTATTATTTCTAACTTCCCTGCAATGTTTTAACAGGTTCATGTTGACCTGCCTGGGTTTTCCAAACTGTAGAGCAGCAGTCTTTTTTCCTGATTTTGTTTTAGAAGCAACCAGAGATGAAAGCATTTGTCAGTTTTGCCAGCCAAATGCAATACACAGGTAAGTGGGTTACATATCGATCGTAATTTAATTTGTCCACCGTTGGTTCAGCAGGTACTGTATTCTTTGCACTTTGCCTTATATGGTTCAACTATATACTTAACTCTTTTTTATTATACTCAGAGGTGACCACGTGGCTTGGGGTATAGTGCATTAAGCAAGGACCACTGCAATTCTGGGTTCAAATCCAGGCAGAAATCCCATGATTAAATCATCCTGGTCACCACTGACTTTCAGAAAAGCTTCATGTTAAATACTTTTTTTCATGATTATTCCGCAAGCACACGTTCATCCGGCCAAAACCCGGCATGCGCAAAGTAATTATTTCTAAGAAATAAACACTGCGTTTTTGGAGCAAAACTCACTTGAATGAATGTCTTACCTTTCGATCAATAATTTAATTGTGTAATTAATCATTTATGTATGGAACATTGATTGCCATAGTTACACATGAAAATTATCACATGATGTTAAGGTTTTAAATATGTAAACGGCGTGATTTCATGAAAGTTAATATTTGAACAATGCATATAGTTTCTTTTACGTGAATAATATGTAATATTTTTTTAGCACCTTCTGTTGAATGTCATGGACTAAACAGAATTGAGCACTTGATCTTGCGTTGTCGCATTAGTATTACAATGTCATATTCAGAGATCAGTTGCTTGACTTGTGTGGTCGTCTAGTGCAATGTCAAGGATATTGAAGCGTTAAATGAAATAATAAAAATTGTGTATTCATTCATTCATGAAATGTGTGGTTTAATTTTAGGTTAAAATTTAAGTTCAAGAAAAACTCTGTAATTCCTTGCACACCTTTGGATTATGTTGGATGCGTTGGTGGCTGCGATGATGTCATAAACGACATAGCGGATTTGAAATACCTGCGTCCTGCTACAACTCCCAACCAGTCCCGTCAAAATCAACCCTCTTCAGTTGCGCGACAAAGGGGTACATGCCAGCCTTCAAACGCATACGTACAACGGCCACCACAGCAGGCACCTCCACCTATGGCTATGTTACAAATCCCTCCTGGAAGAAACGAAGAAAGTGCTGTCGTCTGCAACTGTGGAATTGAGGCTACCCTCCTTACCGTCAAAAAGGAAGGCATCAACAAAGGGCGAATGTTCTACAAGTGTTCGTCAAGTGTATGCAACTTTTTCCTTTGGGCAGATCAACAAGACAGTGGACTCAGATCTGCACAGAGCAACCAAAGTTCTTTTCATTCAAGCGCAGTATCTCGTGGAGGCCACGATGAAGTGATGTGCTCTTGTAACAATCCAGCCGTAATGCGCACTATTGTAAAAGACGGACCGAACAAGGGTCGCCAGTTTTACACTTGCTCCAAACCTAGAGATGAGCAATGTGGATTTTTCCTGTGGATGGCTGATGAACCCTCAAATTCAGGTATGTATATTCACGTTTGCTTTTTCCTAAATGAAAGCTACTAATAAAGTAATAGCCTTGCTATACTATTCGCATGGATAATGAGGATCTTGTGTTCGTATTGTATGCTTGATGATTAAAACGGATCTTAATTTTGTTCCATTTGAAATAAACTAAAGTTGAAATATATTGGATAAATTAGTTAATACTTTGGCATATAGTATTAACACAAATATTTTTGCATCACAATGAATTACACAATGACACCAAACAAAATGTGTACATTTTAATATTTACACTTACTGATATGTAATTAATTTGAAGCTATATTCTTAGTTTTTTCGGTAAAGTCACGTTGAAGAGAAACAACAAAATAACAAAATATATATAAAACAATAAAAAATTCTCACGACGTTTCGACCATAACTCAAACACACCTGATGATGACCGTTTGAGTTATGGTCGAAACGTCGTGAGCTTTTTTTATGGTTTTATATATATTTTGTTATTTTGTTGTTTCTCTTCAACGTGACTTTACCGAAAAAACTAAGAATATGAATTACTGCAGTCACGAAAGCTTTAAATCAAAATTTAATTTGAAGCTTTCGTGACTGCAGGAATCCATACTCTTTGGTTCTTTCGGTAAAGTCATGTAGGTATAAAATAAAATGTATTTTGTGATTTATTTTGTGATTTATTCTATTTTATACCTACGTGACGTTACCGAAAGAACCAAAGAATATGATATGTAATTATTAATTTTCCGGTGGTGAGCACACTGCAATATGAACCCAGTAATCTTGAGTTCAATATTAGGCCACGGTTGATGTCCATGGTGAGGGATGTCTGAACCGGCGCTGTGCTCCCCCTTTCACCACCCCGCGCTGACCAATGTGGCAAAACATGGTCAACTCCCATGACTGACGGTGTGGGAATACCTTCATCCGCCAGTGTATTGACACAGGGATGTAATTTATTCTATTTTGTTTTCTAATGAAGATAATGCTTTCGTTTTTTTTTATTAAGCATTTGTAGTTGATTAAATGTGTGAAATTTATAGTTATTGTGCAATGCGTAGTCATGTAAATAATATATTAAGGTTTCATATTTTGACGCATAACCTATGACAATACCATGTTTGTATATAAGCAATTCATTGTAACCATCCTTTGTTGCTTTCTACTGACAGACTTGAGCAGTAGTAATTGTGACTTTGCTTACGCAGCTCATTCCGTTACAAGACCTTCACCGCGGCCTGACAATGCAAGACCCACGTCAAACAATCGAACAGCTGGCGAGCACACCACAGTGAGAGCCAAAAGAACTTGTGGAATCTGCCATCAACCCGGACACATTAGGACAACTTGTCCTATGAACAAATGATTGTTTCAGGAGAGTAAAATTACAAATCCAGTACATCCCTTTTGTCAGTCCATTGCTGGATGAGGGCCTCCCAACTTTGTGTGGGCCTTGGGGGTTATTTGACCACACTGGTCAATGTCGGTTGCTGAAGACGGAAGTAAAATGACCGCTGCTTAGAAGTACAGTACAACAATGGGCTTTTCTGCACTGCCCTCTGCTGGAAATATAGCCCCGCATCTGCCTACAAATTACGTTTTGGTTGTCCACGCTCTATCCAGTTCCACCCCTTCTTTTGAGATCTAGCAAGATCAAGCTCAACTCGGCTGATTTGGTCGGACAATAAATAACACAAGCGTTTGTTATATTTACATGTTAAATACTGCCAAAAGTTAATCTGATGTGTGCACCATTCAGGTATTCTTGAAAATGTTTTATAGTGCTTTACTGTACATTCTAATTCAGCAAGAACTTAAAAAAAACTTGTAAAGGAAAGTATGACACTTGTACAGTTTAGATTCTTGTATATTATATATTCCGAGATAAAATCAACCAAAAAGTACATGATATATGCTGTGTTTTGCAATTGTTCTACACCATAAGTGTTTTTTGTTATATTAAAAATGGTAATATGAACCAAATGTCGTATATTGTGAGTAAATGTTAAATATGAATGCAGTATCAATTTCGTTTTAAAGCTTTAGTGGCTGCAGGGATTCATATTCTTGGGTCTTTGAGTAAAGTCACGTAGAAGGGAAATAATAAAATAAAACAATAAAATTCTCACGACGTTTCGATTGCAACACAAGCTGCGGTTTTCACACGTGATGATTGCTTTTGTTGCAATCGAAACGTGAGAATTTTTATTATTTTATTATTTCCCTTCTACGTGATTTTACCGAAAGAACCAAGAATATGAATGCAGTATCAGTTCATGAGGCAGTGTTTTATAATATAGTGGGATGGGATACGATATCCACTCGCGTAATTTAGAGAACACAATGTAATTTAAATTATAGTTTGTTTGCGTGCTTTTTTGATCGTTTAACGTTTTTTTGCCCTGTTTTATATCTGCTTCGTGCACTATTATCTTTGCTATTGTCATGTTGGTGACCCCAGTTCACTTGCAAATGACCCACTATCCTGGTCGCTTCGAGTTCCCACACGGGGTCCCTTACACATTTATTAACACGGATTAGATTATTTTGCTGCTGCTTTAAATTTCTACGTGATGAACCACTTTGTTGAGCTATCATTTGTGGTCAGGTCGCTTATGAAAAATACGCGAATAGCTCATTGGGCTTTACCTGGTGAGATTAAATAAAGTTTCCTTTTATTTGTATTGTATTTTAAGTGATTTTATTTACCTATACTTTCCACTCCTATCGTGTTTTGTATTGTAACGGTTCTGACCCCGTTCCCCTTCTGAACATCTGTGAAAAATATTTTAATAGCTCATGGGATTCCTTCAGTATAAATACATATTCTGATTCTGACCTGGTAAGATAAAAAAAAATACTTGAATTTTTTTAAATAACTTGTTTACCATTCCTATACTTTTCACATCTGTTGGGTTATTCTTGTAATGTTCTGACCTCGTGCACCTTCTGAACATCTGTGAAAAAGAGCTTAGTAGCTCATCGGATTCCTCCTATAGTACAAATATAAATATTCCGATAGTCCCTTTGAAAGTGGACCATGTGGTTCGCCGCGGACCCTTACGGCGTTGAAAATTACCACGGTACCTCGGGTCTCCCGCTCCGCCCCGCCCACACCCACTCAAGTCGCTGTAGAGAAGGCGCCATGTCGGCAGCGCTGGTGCGTCGCGGCCTCGAGCTGCTGCAGGCCGAGGATGACGCGGCCGCGCGGGCCTCCACGGCGTCGCGCAAGGGTGAGGAAGGGAACTCTACAAAAACCCCGCGCGGCCCTCTCGGGCGAGAAGGCCGCGCGGGGCCTACGCTGCGCCTGAGCAGTGCCGACCACGTGGCCTGTTACAGGGTGGTCCAGATGTCTTGTGACCCACATTTAATTCTTTCGACCTAATGTTTTTTTTAAAATCTAAGTTAGGGTTATCTAAAACGGAAATGAATATTCAATGTAAAAACATGTTAGGGTCTATATTTTTTTTGGGGGGGTGGATTAAACATTTGGACCTTCCTGTACATGTGGGGCCATGCTGTGTTGGTACTGGATTCGGCATCGTGTTGTTACAGCGGCTGTGGGTACCGCTCCAATCGTTTGCTAAAATGTAACCATATAGGGACGGCTTTGGTTGGCAGGGCTTAAATAGTGGGGTCTATTTTTTTAACCGCTTCGATTAAGGATTCCCCCCACGCCATCGTCATAAGCGGCTATTGTCTCTCAACTGGTTGGATGGGAGGTCTCGTGTTAGTGATGGGCCATGATTGTGATATCTTGGGTGCGTGTACAGTACACATTTTCCTAAATGTACCTTTTGAATAAAACTGCGGGTACTTTATGATATGATGCCTTAGGTATTGTATATGACCCATACAGCATAAGGCACAGTACTCCGTGATGAACAAGCATCGTCCGTTGTGAAGTACCTCCGATTAACAGGGTTGGCTGCGTACGGTGCGAAAGAAGTTCAACGTACATTGGGATGGTGCTTTTGCCTCATACCACCAGCTATGGAAATTCTTCCACATTTCGTCAGTACGGGGGCAAGTTTGAGGACGGCCACTGTTGGCTTAAAGTTTCTTACAAAGGTGGTTATGGGAGTGGGTACGTTTTAGAAGTGTATTCAGGATCTTGCGGATCTTAAATGTGAATTTCCTGGCAAGCCCTTTCGTATACAATACACACACGTCATTGCTTAACTTTTGAAGAATGTTATGTTTATTTGGGGTTGTGTGTGGGTTTTTTTTTAGGGGAAACGAAGTCTGCTGGACATTCAGTTCAAAGCATTGCAAAGAGAAGTAAAAACAAGAAACTACAAAGGAAACGGATGCGTAACCAACCAACAGTAAAACATAAAAGTGTAAAATCTGCCGTCGGTAAGTGTGCATTATATTGTCATGACAATCACGTTTCCTGTGAATGGGGAATTGCAAAAGTTGTGATAGGATTGCAAATGTGGAATATAATCTTATGTGGGTTTCTATACATTAGTAACAATACTACACTTGGAACAATATGGTTCCAAAACCCTATTATAATATAGTAATTGACAGCCTATTGTATTCTCCCCTCGCTGTTTTCACGTGGCCATAATCCAATGGTGTGGAGGTGTATAGTAGGAATATTGTGATGGATGTTTGGATGTGCGATTTTATACTGCATGAAACGTACAAATTTTGCAAACGTTAACGTGATATTTGGGGTTTTTTTGCAGAGGAATATAAACGCAAACAAAATGCCAATCCCTATAAAAAGAATTTGCAGTACCTGCTGAAGAACCAGTCATCTTCTACAAAGAAAATTACACAAAAGGTACTCGCCAGGGCTCTAATGTTCACGTTGTGGGCAAATAACCGACACATTTAATGAATGTGCATTTTAAGGAGTCATCAATAACAACGTAGATTGTGTTATTTAAATAACACATTTATTTTAAATTTCGATTCAAAGCTTTCGTGACTGCAATGATTCATCTTCTTTGGTTCTTTTGGTAAAGTCACGTAGAATGAGAATAAAATAATAAATTGATAAAATAACACAATAATATTTTCACGACGTTTCGGCCACAACACAAGCGGCCTTCATCAGGTGAAGGGACGAGACTGTCTGGTAGGACAGCGCTGGAGTGAAAGAGCCACGTTCAGATCACGACCTTTAAGCTTGTGGCCGAAACGTCGTGAGAATATTATTGTGTTATTTTATTTTATCAATTTATTATATTATTCGCATTCTACGTGACTTTACCGAAAGAACCAAAGAACATTTATTTTACTTGGATTTAGTTTGATTTCTCAGTCAAGCCAATTGGATATTATCCTTTAGATGCCGTTTTGGGTTTAAAACCTGGCTGACAAATGTCACAGAATAAGATGGGAGAAATGCCTCAAAGAATTAGCATTTCTTTATTATAAAAGTAATACATAACTTTTTAAAATAAAAACATTAAAAATAATTATTTATAACTCAATTGGCTCACCCAATGCTATCACGTTTGGTCACTGCACCTGATTTATTTCGTTATTAAAGGTAAAGGATATGCTTAAGCCCAGCCACATGTCTGTCACTGCATGTTAGTGATGGACACAATGTTTTGTTCATCTTGGACCACCTAAACACATGAATAAATAACACAATTTGAAATAGTGTATACTGAACAGCACGCAAGTTAAATAATCCATGAAATATTCAGCTGCTGTCAGTAATTTGTGGTGAATGTTTGATTAGTAAAATCCTACCGTTTTTTCCTAGATTTTAAAATTCAAATAACCGAAAATAAGCAAAAGTTCATGTGCCTCATATGCAGACTGAGATGGTTATGCATTGTTACGATTGTCACTGGTTTTATGTATTTGAATGGGTTGTGTTCTCGCAGAATACATTTTGTTAATTCAAACAAATCGCTTCACCGCTATGCAAACAAGATTATATATTTTTGTATTTTATAGATCCTGGCACAAAACCGGGGAAGAAAAGCCAAAGACAAACCTGCAGATCGGAAGAAGCCTACCATTAAGAAGAGTCTCTTTTCTGATGCATTATTCAGGACGTTTCAAAAGGAATATTTTGGCAAATAAATGTGTTTTGTTTGATTTGTTTTCTCCCTCTCTTGGTATTGGACATCCAGTACCCTAGTTATTGTTTCATGCATTCCCAATAATAAATAAAGGTCAAAGCAATCTAGAATGTTCCACTTGTTTGAGTATTCTCAAAATAGATGAAAGCTGCAACACCATTCTCTGATATATCCAACAATATATGGCCCAGAAGTTTGAACCACCTTATAATGAAAACCACTCGATGAGTCATGCAATAAGTTTTATCAGTTTTTATGAAAATGATTAAATGTTTTTGAAATGTCGAATTCATGTTTTAATAAATTGTAAATATCGATGCTTTTTGTTTGCAGCAAATTCCCGGTGATTCTCTGTCCCACGGTTCCTCCTAGTGAGTTCAAAAGCTATTTCCCCCCCCCCCCCTCATGCCAACAGGGAGCATGCCTCTTTGAAGAGTAGGTCACCAAATCAATGGTAGAGGTTAATTTCAAATGTGAAGTGAAAACCTAGCTACATTCCATATTTTTCTCGTCCATATTGTATGATGAATAGTCGAGCAGTGTGTACAGTATTTAAAATGTAAACAATTATAACTTGGGGATTGTAAAGTTACTTGTGGAATTGTGAACGATTTTTTATTGCACGACTTGGGAGTCCATATTCTGTAACATTTACAAATGACAACCACTTTAAGACCACTCTTAAAATGCGTAAGTGAAACCAGGGAACTGGGTACATGCTGCCAATGGAGGACAAACGCAGAGTACAATCAAAAGCCATGCTTTATCCACTGCTGGACTTAGGCCTCCACAAGCCTATAATATGCATTTCAAAGCCATCTTCATTTGCCACCCTGGCGTATTGCGTTTATTGAGATCATGGAAGCAATTTAATCTTACTTTAACATCGATTCCATAGCGGACAGTTTTTAATAGTGCAAGTGACATCGGGCTATACACGTATATATTTTTAAACGGTGTTACATGATTCCTCTGGGTCAAATCTTGTAATCAAAATTTCGTCCACTTCCCGTTGTCCAATCAATTCTACATTTTGCACACGTACTGTGATCCGGTGACAATGCATGCCTGTATTAAAGTCGGCATGAATTCGCTATTTTAAATCAATTTACATTTTGTATGGACGCCTTATTATTTATTTGTCGGTCAAAAACGCCGCGGTCCCTAAACTGTGGAATCGGCTCGCACAAAACGCAGGCGCCACGTGTCTCGGGCGCCATTGGCGTACTTCTCAAAGACCGTGAGTTAAACGAAGTCGTTAATAAAACCGTTTTTAAAGAAAACTTTTTTTAAAGAGTTTATTTTCCTTCGGCGCTGTATAGTACTTTAGCTTTTTCAAAAATTAGGTGACCCCGAGATAACTCCTGCAAGTGGCTAGGAGATAATATATAATATAATTTTATTGTATTTTTTAAATATAATTTTATTGTATTTTTTAAATATAATTTTATTGTATTTTTTAAATATAATTTTGTGTTTCTACATACGTGACTTTACCGAAAAAAACCAATGTGGCTAGGAGATGTTAACTACATCGCCTGGTATGCAGGAGGTCGTGGGTTTGATGCCCACCCTGACGCCTGCTGCTGTATATTTGGAGTTTGCGTGTCTCTCTCCCCGTGGGGTTTTTTTCCACCGGGTGCTCCAGGTTTTCCCTCCACATTTAGAATAAACAACATGAGTTAAGAGTTTTTTTTGGCTGCTATACAATTCTACATGATAAGCCCAGTTCGTTGAGCAATCATTTGTGGCCAGGTCGCTTCTAAAAAAAAGCTAATATAGCTCAGTGGGCCTTACCTAGTAAAGTAAAACATTGTTTAGTATTTGGCTGCTGCCATACATGTCCACGATAAGCCACTTAGGAGCCGTCCATAAATGACGTCACGCGATTTTTGACTCCCCCCCCCCCCCCCTCTTCGTCACACGGCGTCACAAAAGTCACCCCCCTCAAATATGACGTCACAAAGCTCTGCCCCTCCCCCCAAACCATATTTCCATTTGGAAAATAAAACATGCTTCAAATCGCTTTAAACTATTGTCTTTGTAGTGCGTGTTTAATGTGGCGCTGCACTCTGATGTAGGAGAAAACATTTATTAAAAAGTCTGTTTAATTAAGTAGAACGTCTTCTTTGGTTCTTTCGGTAAAGTCACGTAGAATGAGAATAAAATAATAAATTGATAAAATAAAATAATATTCTCACGACAGCACTCCAGCGCTGTCCTACCAGACAGTCTCGTCCCTTCACCTGATGAAGGCCGCTTGTGTTGTGGCCGAAACGTTGTGAGAATATTATTGTGTTATTTTATTTTATCAATTTATTATTTTATTCTCATTCTACGTGACTTTACCGAAAGAACCAAAGAAGATGAATCCTTGCAGTCACGAAAGCTTTAAATCGAAATTTAAGTAGAACGTGTTTATATTCTTGGTTCTTTAGGTAAAGTCACGTAGAAGGGAAACAATAAAATAATAAAAATATAAAACAATACAATTCTCACGTTTCCACTGCAACACAAGCAATCATCATCAGGGGTGAAAACCACGTGTTTGTCTATATTTAAAGTTGCGCATTTTGATGTGACGTCACGTTTCTCAAACCCCCCCCCTCGTCAGACGTCACAAATGTCTGACCCCACCCCCCCTAGGTGCGTGACGTCATTTATGGGCGGCCCCTTAGTTATAATTTGTGATAAGTCGCTTCTGAAAAAGAGATCCACGTAGCTCGTGGGGCCCTTACCTGGTCAGAAAAAACACACGTTTATTTTGTTTCTCGTGAGATTAATACTCGTCTCCCTCTCTCGAGTTCTTCTCCCCTGCTGAAACTAAATTACTTCTCAACTTCGGTTTCGCCTGCGGGCGCAATAATAAAAAATAAAAATATATACAAATTACATTCACCCATTGCACACACCGCGAATCGATTCGTTCGGAGTAATCGATGCAGTCCCTACCACCGCCGCGCCAGGTTGCACAACTGGTCATCGATTCCAATCAGATAACTTTCCGGTCGCGAAACTCGTTTGGAATCGCGCGTGGACGGCGCATGGCGTTCGTGAATAATGAACGCCGCCGCGACTGCGCCCATCATCCCATACGGCCGCCCGGCCTTTTTGTGGGGGGAGAAGGGGGGGAAGCGCGTCATTTCTGCTGCGTTTTCAACGTAAGCAAGACGCGCTGAGGAATCGATTCGTGCCGTGCTTGTATCGCTCTCTTCGATTCTGGATCGCCCGTGGATGCTGCCCCGTCATGGCTTCTTCGTCCGCGCTCTTCGTCTGCCTCGGTGAGGAAGAGTGGAGGAGGAGGATGATGAGGAGGAGGAGGAACAACTCCGTGGTGGGGGGGGCCCGCGTACACGGCGCTCGCTTTTACACTGTCCTCGCCCTACACCGCGCGTCTCCACCACCACCACGCCCGCTGCCCCCGCTGTAGTTGTGGCTGGCGAGGGGAGCCCCAGAGGCAGCTCGCCCTCTGTTAATGGCGCGCCGGGCGGGTTGCTCCTCCAGGCTGGCTCCTGCGCGCCTCTTGTCGCTGCTGCCCGAGCCCCGGGGTGACGGGAGGAGTGTGGCGAGGGGGGAGTGAGGGAGGAGTGAGGGAGGAGTGTGGTGAGGGGGGAGTGAGGGAGGAGTGATGGAGGAGTGTGGTGAGGGGGGAGTGATGGAGGAGTGAGGGAGTTGTCTGAGGTGGTTGATGGAGGAGTGTGGCGAGGGAGGAGTGTGGGAGGAGTGAGAGAGGAGTGATGGAGGAGTGAGAGAGTGAGGGAGGAGTGTGGCGATGGAGGAGTGATGGAAGGAGTGAGACGATGGAGGAGTGAGGGAGTTGTCTGAGGTGGTTGATGGAGGAGTGTGAATGGTGGAGTGGAGCACAGTTGCTCATTGTTGTTCGCGAGCTGGAAGAGCTCAGTTCCAAGCGGTCGTGGCACCCGCACCTCCGTACGGCGCGAAAGAAGTTCGCACCGTACATGCACACAATCAACATCGTATACACAAGCCTAACGGCAGGATGTGGTGAGTGCCTGTGGTGTCATCGGTGTGGGGAGCGGTCGTGTAGTGGTTAGCGCTGCGAACCTGGCGACGCGGGTTCGATTCCCAGTGACGATTATCTAAACCGGTCCTGGGCCTCCCCTAGGTCGACTCAGCCTCAAATGAGTACCTGGTTGCGGAGTGTAAACATCGCCACTGGGGAGACAAAGGCGGCCGGGCGTGGTTGCTGGCCACGTGTATCGTGCCGACCTTAATAGGCGCTCGCAAACAGCGCTTGGCCCAACAGCCTATTAAGGCTACACGTGGGGTCTTTGGTGTCATAAGTGGCCAGCTGTGTGCATGGCCGCCTGCCTCTCGTGGCAGTGAGTGAGCCACGTTCGTGCTGCACGTGGGCAGGCTCCTGACGGGCGTGGGCGATTAATGTTCGTCACGACCTTTACAATCGCCAAACCGGGTTGGGGACAACATAGCAGCATATAGGTGACATTAAAATAATGTAACCTGCATCATCATTTTGAGAATAAAAAATAGTTTTTAAAACATTGCTTTTGCCACTTCTGAATTATTATAACTCGTGTTGCACAGTTATTAAAGTCGACTGTAGATTTGTGTGATTTGATACCGGGTAATAGTCTCTGCCGCATCAGGCACGCCAAACTTGTGCACACCCTTGCAGCATACCACCCTTCCAGTGCCGTATAAACATTCATGGCCCCTTATCGCACTGAATCTTCACTTAAAGCTTTCGTGACTGCAGGAATTCATATTCTTTGGGTCTTTCTGGAAAGTCGCGTAGATGATCTACGTGACTTTACCGAAAGACCAAAAGAATGTGGTATCGCACTGCGTTGTGGTTTTTAATAGAGCATAATAACACTGCAAAATTGCTCAAGTGTATCCCAATGTTAATGGCAACCGTTGTGCTTTCACTGAAGGTAACATCTGTCGCTCACCTATTGCGGAAGCCGTGTTCCGCAAGATGGTAACAGAGCAAGGGATTGCCGACCAGGTATGTTTCCTTAATGTCATTATCTATCGTAGGTGCCTCCTGATGACAGTAATTGTGAAATTAATAGGTGGACGGCAGTAGGATGGAGAGCTTTTTTGGGAAACCAAACTGAATATAAAGCAACATGCCACGATATTTATAAAATTGTTTAGAATCTGCGTATGTTATCTGCTATGACATGGATCACATACATAAGGAATATTGAACAAAAGTCGAACACCGTGCCAAAAAAGCATGGAGATATGCGTGCTTAGAATTAAAATTCAAGAAAGCATGTGCAAGTTAAGAGACATCATTGACTGTTAACGAAATCAAAGCAAGTGAGTGGGCTTGAGCAGGACATGTTGCTCATAAGATCTCCTGCACTGCTGGTGGAAGAGCCTCCAGTAGAGGAAGCTCCAGGGAGTCTTGTATCCACTCCGTGCTTCTGACCACACCTGGAGTAGGTGGGCATACCCACACTTTAGCCCATACCGTGCGATGTGCCAATTAACTATGGTGTACCTCCATAATATTGGATTTGTGGGTTAGATCGCTTAAATATATATAAATGCGTCTTATTTTTGGGGTCTTTCGGTAAAGTCACGTAGATAGAAAAAAATTTTCACAACGTTTCGATCGCAACATAAGCAATCGTCATCATTTTTTCACCTGATGACGATTGCTTGTGTTGCTATCGAAACGTGATTTTTTTTTCTATCTACGTGGCTTTACCGAAGGACCCAAAGAATATTAGTTCCTGCAATCACGAAAGCTTTAAGTCAAGATATTAATGTGTTGTTGAAACCCGCCACCACCCGACACAGCCAACTAGTAATTACAACTAGCTTCATCTGGCGAAACGTCGTACACAGATTGTAAATGCTGTGACTTGGCTCTCCAACACACCGGTGTGCTGTACTAGTGACGAATTGGCCACGTTCTGTTTACGTGACAAACCTTATTAGTTGGCTGTGTCGGGTGGTGGCGGGTTTTAACGACACATATATTTACGCGATCTATCCCCAAAAACCTCTTATGGATGATATTGGTCGCGAAAGCCTCCTACGTGTTAAACTATGGTGTACCTATTCTACTTCGAGGGAGGGGGGGGTTCAGGCACGGCGGGAATGTATTAAACATGCCACGTCGTTTTAACTGTCGTTGCCGGGAGATGGAGGAGAACCAGCGAGCTTGAGCACCGTTTGAGTCCGGGGTGCTGACCATTAACACTGCAGAAGTTATCTTCTATTCTCAATTAATAAACCTGAACATGTGGTTGTTACTTTGGATATTTCTATACGTTCATATACGAGGTACACGGTCAGTAGAAATACATATACAAGTCCACCAAGAGGTAAGGAGGGAGGAAAGACCTCTTGGTGGACTTGTATATGTATTTCTACTGACCGTGTACCTCGTATTTTTCATTCTATCTATGCTGGTATGTGCAATCCAAAGGTTGAACACGAAATTTTACACTTCTGAAATTCGTGGTCCGCCAGGAAGCGTCTAACTGTGTTGTTGGCCTGACTGGATGTGCTTCACATAATGTTTTTTCAGGTTTGTTGAATTCTCGTCTCTCATCTTTTTGTTGTATTTACCTCCGTGATTTGTTCTTGACACCTGATGAAGATAGCTTGCGTTGTGATCGAAACGTCGTGATTGTTTTTTGTTTTAATATAATTTTATTGTATTTCTACATACGTGACTTTACCGAAAAAACCAATGAGTAATTTTATGCAGTCACGAAAGCTTTAATACTTTATTATGAATTTAACGACCCAATTTGAGGTGGATGACAGTGGCAGCCAAAGCATTCTTAGGGTTTCAAGAGACAAACGTAATGAAACATGAGTTAAGGGGTTTATTGTTACTGTCAGCACTTCTGCCTTATCCCATATCCACCACAAACACTGCTTTTGGTTTCCCCTCCCCAGATTTATTGAAGCCAATCCAAGCAAATGAATTGATTTTAAAAAGCACAACGTCGACGTTTTTTAAGGGAAAAATCAGTGTTAACCTTGTCAACTTCTTGTATTGTCCTGCACTGTCATCTGCATTCAAGATGAATATGCCATTCATAACACCTTAAGTGAGGTGTGCAATGTTTAAAATAAAAATTATGCCAGTTCATGCGGTGGTTGTAAAAGGAAGGCTTGTATATTTGTGGCTTTACACATTTTTCTGTAATTTTCTATTTCCACCTCACGTGGTACTTATTATGCAGTGGCATATTGACAGTGCTGGGACCTACGGGCATGAAGCGGGGAGCCCAGCAGACTATCGCTCACAAGCCTGCCTAAGAAAGCACAAGCTATCCACAAAGCACATTGCTCGAGAGGTAAAGCCTCCCATGTCCCATCAACTCACTGTGAACTATCTGTGTGTGGTCCGCTCTATCTCTCTCCACCCACTCTCCCCCCACCTCTAACGACCATCCTGCAGTGGAGGATAGACAGTGCCGCAACAAGTGACTGGAACATTGGAAGCTCCCCTGACTCTCGAGCCCTTGCCTGCTTGAGTAAGCACGATGTAAATGTCAACCACCACGCCCGACAGGTGCGAAACAAGGGGCTTGGTGCCACGATGTCCTTGAATTAAGTTGGTCATCTCAATCGTTGTCTATTAACTATATCAAACACTCTTAGGAAAATGTTGCATGTGAAATGGCACTAAAGGCAAAAGTTACTTTTCCGTAACGAATGTGTAAAATGAAACGTGTGCAAATTTAAAGCATGCTTTGAATAAATGTTCGTGTCAAGTCTCAATAATATGGGGGGTTTTAAGGCCAACATGGTAAACTAGAACATAGTTTGAGAAAATCAGTTCATTAAATTATTTTACAGAATCTACTGAGGCGAATATTGCTTCCAACGCTTGGGGAAAGTTTGAATGATAAGATACAAATTCAGGGTTCCAAGCATACAAAAACATGTGTAGATAAAAACAAAGTCATTTAAATCCAAACTTTAAGTTAGGAGCTTGGGAGAATACCTGAATGTTTAACATTAACTTAAGTTATTTACAAATGATATATAAGTAACCATAAGCATAATCAAAATATATTGCAAAACATTCAAACTGTAATCATTAGGTCACATGATTGTGGAGAACAGCGTACTTTTTGCCATGACATTGAGGCATCTTGAAAGATTTACATCCAAAATATGTATTTACTTCTCAGCTTTCGAATTACAGTACTTGATTTACATCTCATAATAAGTTGGGAAATGTTACTGCATGGATTTTGTTCCTTGTTTGGTTCGTACGTATAGTCATAGCATATTCAAATGCGTTACATCTTAGATATTACATTTAAATTGTCAGGTGTGCCATTTTATAACAAGATGTGATGTCTGAAGCACTTCCCCCTCTTGCTACTACTCCCACTCATGCCACTTCATACTCAATTATTTCTTCCCTTCTCGTTCCTCACCCTTCACAGTTTAAATATCACACAGCGATCTCCATTTTTGAGACAGACGATCACACCTTCAGGTTTATAGGCGGTGATTGAAACGACAAAAAAATTCTGGTATGTTCTGTGATTTCATTATTTGTTAGACTCTCTCTGCAGGTACCTTGTTTGTAAATAAAGTTAATTGGGAGTACATTACTGACAGTGAACTGTTTTTTTACAGGTGTTTGATGATGAACTAATGCATATTTTTGTGTGTCTGTTTTAGATAACCAAGGATGACTTCAAAACATTTGATTACATATTTTGTATGGACGAAAGCAATCTCAGGTTCGTTTAAACAAATCTGGACTCCAAGATGTTGTGCTTCTCCCTGCTTCCGCTATGTCGACTCAGCTTCAAATGAGTACCTGATGCGATGTGTAAAACAACTCCACTGGGAAGATAAAGGCAGGCCGGCCATGGTGCTGGGCGCCCCACCTCCTCATAGCGAGCACCTATGCCTGCCTTCATAGGTGCTTTGCTAAGAGCACTTACCCCTACGTTCCGGTGAAGGCTATACAGGGGATCTTTGTCTTGGTGCGAAACTGTGAAATATTGATTTCGCACATGTGCGCTCAATGTTTTGTTTATATCCAGAGGCATTTTAACTTTTACTCTCTTCTGCTCATGAGAGTCGATCCCCCCCCCCCTGCCACTTGGTCACCGACAGTTGTCTTAGCCTCTTGAGGGAGCTCACTGTTGCTGGAGTCACTGGCATTAACAGCATTCGTACATATTGCAAAATAGCACCCGAATGTCTTGTTTATAGATGCTTGGTGGCTCAGACTTCCCTGGAAATTTTTTTTGAATAGACAGCCATAACCAAAGGTTGTCTTAGCATGTTCACAAACAACTGCACAAAACTACAAAATATTTTTGGGATTGTTTAAATTTGGCCTCTCCTAGGGCTTAAGAATTATTAATCACGTGTGTGCAGAAAAAATAGCTCATGGACGCAGCTCAAGTCCACAATTCAGTTATTGTGAAATGGCCCTTTGTATGCTCTCAGATGATAGCATATTATATTACTTGTGTATTATTGCTCAGTTTTGAAAGTGCTTTACGGTAATTCACTCAGTATAAATGAAAATAAAGGTTTGAAAAAGATGCATTGTTTTAACGTTGCAGCATTATTTGTTTAATGTCTGAAGTTGTTGAATATATTCTTGCTTGTTGAATAGCATGTTTGATAACGACAACCATACATTGTGTAAATGTTTGGCATTTGGATAACAGTGTATTGGTAGTATTTAGGGGTGGGAAGAGGTACACTTCAAATTGATGACAGTATGTGTGTTCTTTTTTAACAGAGATCTGCAGCGAGCTGCTAAGAACGTGAGCAACTGCAAGGCCAGCATAGATTTGTTGGGGAAGTTTGACCCTCAGAAGCAACTCATCATCAAGGACCCCTACTATGTAAGTTGTGAATGCGTGGTGTCAACGAGTGATGTGTTGTTGTTAGGCAGCACGCGGTGCCACGAAATCTCCATAAGATAAGAAACGTAAACGAAATGCATTGTGCTGTATCACTGGTTTCTCAAAGCATCATGTAATGTGAACAAAAGATGCACAAAATGTCCTGTTGGTGTATATATTGCGGTAAAAAAGTGGGAATGTTGACTGGTTTCATCGACTCCATGCTACGCGTAGACGCGGCTATCCATGCTTTCGATGACCACACACGGGAGCAAGTGCGCATGCACAGCACGTTTATTTTTAACTGTGGGTGAGAGTGAGATTCGCGATTGTGTGAACCCGTCCTCGCCTGATCCTTCACTCTCCCCGTGATGGTTCTCGCACCCTCCCTCGTCTCCCTCGTCTCTCTCCACCCTCGCCCCCCACACTCCTCCACCCGCACGCTTCCTCTCATTGGGTGGTCTTATTTGCTTTAAATACATTCCAAGCATCACCTATGTTGTTACTTTTTGCCGCATAAAAGTGTTAGGAGATGATACCGAGGCACATGTTTACCTAACTTTTTATTATACTGTCTATCGCAGTGTTTTATGGCTCATTACGTGAAATGAATTTTCTTTACGTGTTACTTATGTTTGTGCGACTCATTGATCACGATAAATGCATAGTAATGGCTTCTTGCAAGAGTTTTAACGGTGAACTTAACCATGTGATATTTACCAAAAATGGCTATCATTTTGCAAATAAATAATGCAAAGTGTCAGCGTTGTTGTGAACTATAAAGGCTGATCATTCTTTGTCTTTCTCTCAGGGTGGAGATGAAGGGTTTGAGGAAGTGTACCAGCAATGTTTACGCTGCTGCAAGGCCTTTCTCAGCTCCGTGGCTTAGAGTTGCACCAGCAGCAACACCACACGCACACACACGCACACACACACATTTCCTTGCTCTACGTAATTTAACGGAAACAACAAATATGTAAATCTGTGCTTTCAAATGATTTGATTTACATATTTAATTATGTTGCAAAGTTTTACCGAGTCCATGGATATGCATTGTTTTCTGGTGAAACTTTTTTGGTTAAATTGGTTAAGCTGTGTCCATAATAGAAAGTTAAGTGAGCTTGGGCAGTCCACATCACGAGAAGGGACGATGGCCAAACCTCCAGAACAATGGAAGCCAATGTAAGAGAACACACCCGATTTTATTACATGTAACATTTGCATTTAAAACAATCCATAACTACATGTGCAAGCTTCTCAGTGTGGGGCAGAATAGGGATGCTATTTTAGTTTTTTTTAACAGCATATACCTTGCGGATAACCCAATGTAAACACCTTCATATGCTCCCCTGCACTTTAAACACATTTGGCTTGCAGCAGCTCCCTTAAGTTGTCCATGGTTTCCAGTGCAAAAATCTCTTACCCCACTGGGAATCCTATCTTTATTGCTTAAAAAAAAACACTTGGTACATTCATATATGAACAAACTGTCATAACATTTGCTTATAATAAGCCTAAATCAAAATGCATATTTTACTACAATATGCTGAATAAAATTATTTCAACTGAAAACGTGCAAAGCAGTCTGGGTATTTCCAAGATGACGGGTCAACATTGTCCCTTGTGCTGCAAGAAAATGGCGTGGTGTAGTTAACTGGGGAACTTGGAAAGATTAAGTTGGCTTAGGCAGGAAACATCGCCAAGAAGAAGAATAACTCATGGCTAAAACTAAATACCGTAACAGAGGAAGGCAAATGTAGGGTGGTCTATTAAAATGTAGTCTTTTTACTGGTAAAAAGGCCCCGTATAGCATGCCTCACTTCACACAATCACCACACAGACGCATTGTTGATTGGAGCGTGAACATGTTTATGAGTAAAGATATATAATCGCACACTAACGTGGCAATACGGAAATAACAGCAGTGTATTACAAAGTACTGTACTGTGGCATTTATACAGTGGAATAATCATACGTTTACACGCACGCATGTTTTACTTGTGCGACAAAAAAAATCACAAAGCAATTATCTCGAGCCCATTTATTTTGTTGCACAGGTGGCCGCGTGAGGTCTGCTGTTGTGCTCTTCATTTTGAGACGCTTTCTGATATAAGGGAAAGCATCGGATTATAGAGATCTCGGTAGACCTGCCAAAGTGAGAGGAGCAGCAAGTAGGCTGTTGGCAGAGAGAATTCCCCGATGGAGACCAAAGAGAATCCCACCGGCACAGCTTACAATTACGACACTCCGACGTTTACAGTTGTGGTGGTTGTAATTGATGTGTAACAAAACAAAAAACTTGGGCCCTAGAAATTCAAAACAGTTGCCATTGAAATCTATTTTATGCATTTTTCCGAAAATCGAACATATGCGTTTGGTTAAAAGTGAAACGAAAGCATACGCAATATTTGGGGTAGAGGCGTGGGCCTCGGAAACATGCAGCAGCAGCAACCATATGATATTTGTTGCTATGATCTTTAATGTTTGTTTAATGTTCACCAATATATTAAAGCACATTAAGGAGCAAACATCGCAGCAAATGTCATACCACGGCAGCACACGTGGGCAGTGTTGTGAGTGTGTGACGGTTCGAGCGGTCAGCGCGCCAGGCAGTGTGGACTCATCGCAAGTCGCGTGAGAAGTCTCGCACAACGCTTGTAATCTAAAATCGGGGTCGTGCAGAGAACACAAATTGAGAGTCATTTAAAAGTTATCTTGAGCAACAAGCGGAGACACGGAAATAACGTGTGTGCATTCATGGCACATTTTGGTGATGGACAGGAGGATTCTGAATACTGCATATTACAATTGTTCATGAAACTTGTTATTATTTAATCAAAATCTGCCACCAACTACAACCCCACCTGCACTATTGGAGGCTTGGTCCTTGGACCCAATCATGGCTTATTCGGTACCATCCAGTGTGGCAGAGAGACTCTCTCCCTGGGATGACCACTTGACTTCCAACAAATTTGTACTCGCTGCATGGAATCCCCAAAGGGATGTCACCACGAATGGAAACCTCCACTGGTATTTAAACTCAGAGCCTTCCAGCTATGAGTCGAGTGTTGGGGGCCGTCCATAAATGACGTCACGCGATTTTAGACGATTTTTGACCCCCCCCCCCCCCCCCCTAGTCACACGGCGTCACAAAAAATCAGACCCGGCCGTCAAATACGACGTCACAAAGCTCTGCCCCTCCCCAAAAAAATATATAAAACATGCTTCAAATCGCTTTAAACTATTGTCTTTGTAGTGCGTATTTAATGTGGCGCTGCACTCTGATGTAGGAGAAAAATATTTATTAAAACGTCTATTCAATTAAGTAGAACGTATTGTCTATATTTAAAGTTGCGAATTATGATGTGACGTCAGATTTCTCAACCCTCCCCCTTCGTCACATATCGTCACAAATGTCTGACCCCCCCCCCCCCAGGTGCGTGACGTCATTTATGGACGGCCCCTTGTGACCAATGGCATTCAGCCAGAGAATCGTTTATATGAAAAGTCAAAGTGGTTTTGTGTTTAAATCGCCATGGGTTGGTTCTGAGTCACTCCATCGGAATAACACTAAAGTAATATATTACATTGTCTCATTTAATATATATAATACGTTCCCAACCATGTCTACAATACCAACGTAGTTCAAAACGTTCAATAGCACGTTTACTCGGTTTTTGTTTGTTCCCAATTGTACGAACGAGGCTGGGTGCAGACTTCCTTACGTACACGCTGGTGTCATGCAGTCCCTGGTGTTGTAATACAGCCGGCGAAAGTGCTTGCTGCATTCAGCGGGAAGTGATGCTCCTGCAAACAAACAACCGAAAACACTCAACACCTCAATAGAGCCTGCGTCGTCTTCGTTATCAACAATTACGTTGAGCAACACGCAAACGACTTTATTCTTGACCGTGTAATTGTTGCACCAAACAAAACAACCCCCCTACCCCCCACAACGCGTAATACTGTTTGTGAATACTGCAGCGCCTCTCGCATGCAAGATGCTCGCATGCCATTCTCACTTAGTCGGCGTCCAAAGAATATCGTGAGCCAACTGTGTCAATTTCACGCGAGGTGCCAGTCAAGCTGCAGCCACGATGCACCCTGGCTGGCGACGATTCGAGACCCACGGGCTGTTAAATGCATGGCGGAGCAATTTACGTGGCCAAATACACCGCCTCTAGGGCTCTATTTTCAGGTAATTGGCCCCGCATAACACTTCGGTGAATGGAGTCAGACCTGCCCGTCAGAAACTCGCAGATAAATGTATCACGATGGGACGAAGGTGGGACCTAAATGGCTTTGTCCTTGCGATGGATATTTGTGTCATATATGCTTATATTTAAGCATCGCTGATTTAATTCGGTAAACGCAAGAGCTCAGCGGATGCGACTCGTGGCGTGTTCGGCGCTGCACAACTCCGCATCCTTGAAATGCATCGCTCCCACCAGGCAATAGGCGGCGTATCGATGGCTCTGGACGCAACGCCGCGGTGTTTAACGACGACGTTCGTGGTGGCTCGATGTGCAAGGCACGAGAGAAGGCAGAAGAAGAAGAAGATTGGGGGAGTGATGAGAGAGAGCGCGAACATTGGGGGACAGCGAGAGCCGAGAATAGGCAAGAGGCGGTGAGAGGGATGGAGAGGAGCGGATAGAGAGCCATGAAGGGCATCACTAGTTAAATGTGTCATTAAACCCGCCACCACCCGACACTGCCAATTAGTAAGGGTGGTCACGTAAACAAAACATGCCAATTAGTTACTAGTTCAGCACACCGGTGTGTTGGAGAGTAAAACCCACAACATTTACAAGTACTCAAATTGTATTTTTTGATTTAAAGCTTTCGTGACTGCAGTAATTCATATTCTTAGCTCTTTCGGTAAAGTCACGTTGAAGGGAAACAATAAAATAATAAAATATATATAAAACAATACAATTAATGCAAACCGACATACCTGATGACGACCGTTTGTGTTATGGTCGAAACGTCGTGAGAATTTTTTATTGTTTTATATATATTTTATTATTTTATTGTTTCCCTTCAACGTGACTTTACCGAAAGAGCTAAGAATACTCAAATTGTAATCGCAACGTAACGTTAAGCAGCATTAACCCCCCATCCGCGTCACAACGACTGAACACGTTCGTCAACAACACTGCCGCCTTAAAAGGGAAAATATAATATGCGACGTTTCGGGCAATGGTCCATTTTTCATGGCACATGAATAGACCCGAGTAGGACAGTGGAGGTGACGCAAGGGCTGATGCGCAGGGTAAAATGTAAACTGCTACCATATTTTGATTTAAAGCTTTCGTGACTGCAGTAATTCATATTCTTAGTTTTTTCGGTAAAGTCACGTTGAAGAGAAACAACAAAATAACAAAGTATATATAAAACAATAAAAAAAATTCTCACGACGTTTCGACCTGATGATGACCGTTTGAGTTATGGTCGAAACGTCGTGATGATGACCGTTTGAGTTATGGTCGAAACGTCGTGAGAATTTTTTTTTATTGTTTTATATATATTTTGTTATTTTGTTGTTTCTCTTCAACGTGACTTTACCGAAAAAACTAAGAATATGCTACCATATTATTCTTGGTTGTTTCGGTAAAGTCACGTAGAAGGGAAACAATACAATAATACAAATATAAAACAATACAATTCTCACGGCGTTTCGACTGCAACACAAGCAATCATCAGGTGTGAAAACCACAGCAAGAACATTTCAAATGTTGAAAATTCCAAAAGAAAATTTCAAATTTTGAAAATTTCAAATTTTCTTGATTGTTTCCCTTCTACGTGACTATACCGAAAGAACCAAGAATACGAATCCCTGCAGTCACGAAAGCTTTAAATCAAAATTTGGTACCATATTATGCAATAAGGGACTCCCCTACTTCCGAACATTCGACTTACAAACTTTTAGAGATACGAACAAACCTGTCTGTATGCCCAGTTGCCTATTCGGATCGAGAGTCGTAAGTTCAACTGCTGCGCAATAGATGGCGGTGGTGGCATCTACATCTGTAGAACGTGAAGAACCAGTGGCATCTACATCTACAGGAGATTACGCAACTTTTAAAGCAATTCTCCGTGTTTAGTGTACATGCCGTACATGTTTGGAATGGACAGGAGTAAAGTTGGACTTACGAACAAATCGACTTACGAACAGACTTCTGGAACCTAACTCGTTGGTAAGTAGAGGAGCCCCTGTATATGCTTTGTCTTTGAAACTGACTGGCCTGCACTAGGGACAGCCTTAAATAAGGCATATATTATCAGAGCATGTTTTATTTACATGTTCACCACAAGTACGTGTGGTCAATGTAGACTTGATTCCTTGCAAAAAGGTTTATATTTTGTGTTTGAGCATCTTAAAACCTCCTGTTTTATTGCCAGTAAGGGTTACACCTATTCTTAATTTCCCTACTTTGATACTGCCCAAAAGGCCCCATGATGGTGCCGTATTGACGGATAACGAACGCATCTCCTCGTCGTCTCCTTGGCCCAGCTGAATGACCTACACGAATTCTCATCAGCCACGCGTAAATGTTTACATGCCAGTGCACGTGACTCCCCTTCTAGAATGACAACATTATGTAAATAACCGCGAAAATTGTGCTTGATATATATATAATGCTGTTACGCTGGTTTGGAATTGTACCGTTTCTGTAGTAAATTATCACTCAATATGTGGTTTGTCTTCAGCTGCAAGCTTGCATTTTTTACTTTCTCACTATCGGATCAATATCTACAGTGTTACCGTGGGCATGCATCACTTGGACACGGCTATAAACCCTGCTGTCCCTCAGGCTTCGGGGTTTGTCTCCAATACTTTTTCTTCTGTCAATCAATAATTTATTATCTCACTCCAGCAGTCTTACCCGCAGTATGCTCTATTCATCTCGCACGGGACTTCCACAGCACAGCGTAAATATCATAGATCACACGCTGCTCAATGTGTTTAGACATCTCCATTGATTATTACCACTGGTTTACAAATAACCCAAGCATACAGCAATGGTAGTCTGGTTACCTTTCGCAACAACAAAAAAACAAGGTAATCGTTTGTTAAAACAAAAAAAGGCGGAATTCTGCTTCCTAAGATAGTTTTAAAGCGTTGATATCTGCGGAGATCAAGGGGACAAGCAAATGCAGCGTTCCCATTTGCAGACGAAGCTGGGTTTCTGAGAATGTCGTGTGGGAGACGAGCCGAGTAATTCGTGTCCCTGCCACTGCAGCAGCAACAAGGCATTCTTGATGCTGTGGGTGCCCCGTGCTGGTGAAACCCAAAGACTCACAATCGCGCATCGGAACCGCCGACGGTTAATATTCAAATAAAAGCGAGAGATCATGATCCACTTTAATGTTACATGCGAGCAACTGACACTCCTGATCTTCAGCTTCAGATGACCGAGAGGAATAACTTGGCCTTAAGAGAGCGAACCAAATATGAATTTGTGTACCTTCCGAGTTCCTTGTGAAAAAAAAAACCACGACCGTTCTGATTGGGCCATCGTCGAAAGCAATCGGGATGTCACGAGGCAAAATAATACATTCGGAACTCTCGTAAGCAGTGCATCAATTATGTGCTAGATTATGGTCCGTGGAAATAAATATTTATCAATTAAATTGACAATTTCTCCACATTAGGGGGCAGTAGTACCCCCCCCCCCATCTGCCCTGCTAAGTGGCACGATAGTCAGCCGGTTATTTTTTAAATTCTTAAATCTGAAATTCATCCGAATCAAATGTAAATCCAACTGAGTCTCTAAGCTCACCGCACTGAGAACCTCATTCTATTACGGGCAGTTGGACAAATAAGTCCAGCTCAGGATGTCAACGGTGCCACCTCAGAGCTCTGATCTCTGTTCCACGAGTATTATAAACACACAAAATGTGCCAAAAATCGCAACGAAAACGGAGCAAATGTCTCTCAAATCAGTGCACATTTTTTTTTATCTCTCCGATGTGATGACTATTCTTCAGGAACTGAATTCAGTTGCTGGAGAAACTCCCAGCACGTGGAGCGAAACGTCGAACATCGGTACGACCCGAAAACAAGGGGGGGGGGGCGAGCCCGTACAGCGCAACCGCGAACTCGTGCTCAGCATCTTCAAACCACCGAGTCGGGCAGCCCCGGTGCAGGCGTGGATCGTGCTCATAAATCATGAATCGTGAGCGGCAAGTGATGGAGGTGGGTGGGAGTGGGGAAAAGGATCTCGCCCCATGTGTCACTGAGATTCTCGAAGTCATAACAACTGCAACCAAACACCTGATTACGTGCAGCTTCGCAGAGAGCAAGAGACGCGAACCTACTTGTGTAGCTTTCCTTCTCTAAGAAAAGCTGTGCCACCCTCGCCTCCAAGGGCGCCTGCCATCCCTGGACGCTCCTTCTGGCCCCGAGGCTCGGCAGTTGGACAAAGCTCTCGCTGTGCCCCACCAAGTCGCTGGTGGTGGCCTGCCGATAGCGGTGAGCATCCCACGCCACGTGCTGGTGGCCTCTTGCCATCGTCACCAGGAGGAGACATTTCAGCAAAGAGTGCAGCCTGAAAAGCCCCATAGCTGAAAGCGAATTGGAGATTGCGCAAAGTGATCTAAAGCAGGCATAGAAGGGGGTGGGGTGGGGTGGGGGACATTTTAGGCGCTAGCCACCTCCAACACACAAGAGTGAAAGAAAAGGTTGATGGATGTTGATTCATTCTGCATCCTCAGAATATTTATTTATATTGGAGGAATCCGATGAGCTATGTAGCTCTTCTGCACAGATATCGTTTAGTTTCACAGATGCCCAGAAAATGTTGAGACCAGGCCTCAAACGATATCCATCTAAATTTTGATTTAAAGCTTTCGTGACTGCAGTAATTCATATTCTTAGCTTTTTCGGTAAAGTCACGTTATTTTGTTGTTTCTCTTCAACGTGACTTTACCGAAAAAGCTAAGAATATGATATCCATCTAATCAAGACTACTCGCTTATAATCCTTTACAAAAATAATATATCTGACTAACACACGTGATTTCGAAAATCTAAATCTAATTAAGTTTTGACAGTATGGTTGTACAAAAATCGCAAGCAGCGCTGTGTTGTTGCGTAGTTTGAGTTTTCTATGAAACGGTACAGCGAACTAAATCTATAAAAATATATTCCGAGTCGGTGAGAGGTCCAAGAATGGAAATCTTCAGGTTGTGATCCTTGCGATAATAATTGTTTCTCGTTGAACGCATCTAACGAAATGTTTTTGTTAAATGTACCACATGGACAAATGAATAACGTTTTCACGCCTTATATTTTATAATCTTTATTTGAAAGGTATTACATACCTCGCTGTCGGCATTAATCACATACACCTTTAAATTACGACGTATAATAATGTCGGCTAAATAATAAACTAACAAAAGTGTTTGATCATTTTGAATGCAATGATTTACCTTTCTTATGGCTGCAGAAGACGGTCGTCCTGCTTGACTTCCCCCGTGGAATGTGGGCTAATGAGCTGCTAGCCTCAACTCGAGTAGAACGTAACCATCTTGTCCAATTTATATTCCACGCCGTGGCCACGGCACCTTTTCATTTTAATACGTGGTATCAGTTCGTGGTGGGTGGTGAATGACACGAGTAAACTTCTTAACATTTCCGTGCGCTCTCAATTTGGCTCTCGAAGAGACACGCACCATCGCGATTTCGCTCCCCACCGGCAGAGGATGGAGGGTGCGCGTGATAACCGTGATTCCGTCGGCGTATTCGGCTGTGCAGCATTTGCAATCATGGTCAGCAAAACATGCAAGCGCACGTGTTGGCTCACACTTTATTAGTCTGTAGAATAAGGGCATACATTTTTACATACGTGCATACGTACAATTGGCATTACAGGTGAGAAGATTTGCCAGTGGCTAATGAGCGATAATCGTTTAATGTTTCTGCGCGTAAGATTCCTGTGCAATTGTCGTGAGTGAATAAGCCAGGATATATGTTATCATGTTTGTGTGCATATCTTTCAAGTTGTGATCATTCCTGCCACTATGAGGTCCCAATAGACCTGAACTGTGCAACCTAAGCATTCAGTATCATAATCTAATCCTCAACGCTTGGAAAGTGGGATTCATTGAGGGACTAAAAAAAAAAAGCTAATCAAGAGCTTGCTTAGTCCCATTGCCAGCAGCATAAAAAACAGAAATACCGTATCTTAACAACAATTGTTCGTTTTAACAATTGGCTCGGTAAACCACGCACAAAATCCAGATTCCTGTCTACCTGTGTCAAACAGAATACGTGGCCAAGTATGGTGAGTGAGCACTCACTAAGGCTGCTGTGGCCCAGTGATACGAAACAAAATGCTCAGTGACTTTGTCTTCACATTGCTGATGTTCGCACGAGACAATAGTTGATTTCAGGAAAGCCCAGTACTGGCTCGGATACAACTTTTCTACTGATGTGCATGGCCGGGAGCCAAAACCAGGTCGGTCGGCAGGGTCTAAATCGCTATGCCACGGCTCCCACAAAACCACACGCAACCTGGATGCATCCTCAGTAATATACGCATGAACAAATCATGCGCCAAGGGCTTATGGCAGACAGCAGCCCTAACTATTGATTATAATCATCCAGCTTCTTGAGATGTGTTTCATATTTGTATACTGTAAATGTGAAATAAACCGCGAAATACTTTGTTTTTTGCTAAACAGAATATTTCTGCTGCACTCAATGGGTAATATTAGCTCACGACGGCACGACAGTGGAGGATATTGGATAGCCTTTCTGAACCTTTCCACCCCAGTGTTTTACCCTCGCGGTGATATTTCCCATTTGGAAGGCAGGATACGATTAGTGGAAACAAATGACGAAATGTTCAGTGGACACCTTATGGCTATCTGCCCATGTATCGTGATGATGACTATGGCACTTTAGTCTGGGTGTGGAACGTATTCCCGTATCATGAAATATCGTATTAAAGTGTGCTACATAAAATTCAAAATTTTCTTCAACTCTTAAACTACATTTTCCAATGATTTGATAACCTTTGTGGTGAACCGTAGTAATTCACACAAACCAGACTCCGTCATTAATCGAACACTTATTCTTGGTTCTTTCGGTAAAGTCACGTAGAAGAGAATTTTATTGTTTTATATTTGTATTATTTTATTGTTTCCATTCTACGTGACTTTACCGAAAGAACCAAGAACATTAATCCCTGCAGTCACGAAAGCTTTAAATCAAAATTTAATCGAACACTTGTTCATAAATAATGCGTATGTTCATCACGAGAATTGACCGCCTTCACTTGGTTTGGTTACATGGACATTTCATCAGCGTTGTCACCCCAGCATGTCTTCCAGCATGGCAAGCTGCAGGCAAACCCCATTGTGCTTTAACCCAGCAGCCCATGTGCCCTCCTAGGGACTCGTACTGCAATAAAAAAAGCCAATGCAGATCTCTTCCACAATAAGCCAACGTTCTCACAAGATGAATAGCTGGATTGTGTTATTTTATATTAAATGACACTTTTTTTGTATATTCACGAGTATTATTATTAAATATTAGTTACAAACATAAATTCCACCCCTTTGTCAAACCACTTTTGGGTATGAAGGCCTCCCCATACTACGTCTGTCATGGGGATTGTTGAACCATACTTCACCACGCTGGTCATTGCAGGTTGGTGAAGGTGGGTGGAGGGGGCAGGGGGACAGAGCCGGTTCAGCTATCACTCGCCACTGATGTTAGCCGTGGCCAGGAATAGAACTCAGCCATAGTGCAGTAATCACCACTCGGCCCACCGCTGCACCCTTCCGCAGGTGTGAGCTGGGTTAAAACGATATCTCTGTGTGCGCCGAGATCATCTCATTATCTCATTGTCTATGATTTTCATTATGGTTGCCCATTGGTTATTGTTCTCCGACCTGCAGCTGTTTAATGTCCCCGGCTTGTCTTCTTAATGCGTAAAGTGCACTCGCATTCGCACAGTATTCTCCTCCTTAATGATTAGATGCCCTGCTCATCCTTGCCATGGTTGTCCAATATCATTTTTTTATCGAATTGTGTTTCCGGAGGAGCCATATCCTCCACGCTGCCGTGCAGGATATGGCGAGCACAGATCCTGGTTGGATTTTGATGTCCCGAATCGGCCGTTTAAACAATGGGGCAAGATTCTTAACCCTCCGCACTCCGCCTCTGTCCACGTGGCAGTATTAATTGGTACAGCCACAGGGCAGGGACGTGCGGTTCAGGGGGAGGCACAGCCTCACCTGTCACACACCAATGAAAAAAGCTGTGACGAAAAGTAAAAAAAAATATATAAAATAAAATCAAAGATTTTTTCCACTGCTCTGTGTTATAAATGTAATTATTTCTGTATGATTCCGGTCATTAGGGAGATAGTAACAGGCACTCGCTTGTTGCCCGCGGCTCCATCCAGTGTCTGAGGGCTTGCGCCAATCAGCGGGGAGGCTGCTGAGCTTGGAGCTGCCTCCTCGCTCTCTCGTCTCTCCGCTGCATTTGCCAAATTTGCAGTGGAGAGACGCAAATTTGGCGATTTTGACTCTAAAAATTATTGGAATCATACAGAAATGACGTAACACAGATCATTGGGGGAAAAAAATCTTAATTTTTATCTGATTATTTTTAACTTTTGGTAACAGCCATTTTTCATTGGGGTATGCCAGGTGAGGCTGTGCATCCCCTGGCTACTCGGACCGCACGTTCCTGAGCCACAGCTATTCGACCGACAGGCCGCGTGTGGTGGGGTAAAGTGTGAGTGCTCCCACAGCTCCCAGGGCGTCTGGCCAGCGTGGAAGAGTAGACCAAAGTACCCACGATAGGGGGCTTAAATCCTCTAAAGCAGTGGTTCTTGACCTGGGGGTGCAGGCACCACGTGGGGTGTGAGATGCCCTTTCTGGGGGTGCGAGACGTGCCAGATTTTTGTTAGAAGGTAAATAATCGAAACACGAATGAAGCAAGGGCACGTAAGTACAAATTACTTGTTTCATCAAACCTAAGTATTTATTAACACTACACATTTTTTTTTTTACGATTGAGAACCAAGTGAGTGTAAGCCTACAGTAAAGGTTAAGAATCACTGCTCTTAAGGCTCCGATCGAGTCTGCACAGCCAATATAATCTGGGCCGGACAAATCCTCTACATCTCATTACGGAAGACTGTTGGAGCCCCAACATTCTCCACATCCCATCCCGCAGGACTCTGTGATATCCGACGAGCCGCTGAATCCAGAGAATCCGTCTGTCCGCGGAGGGTCCCAACTTCATTTGGCGCAGGCATTCATTGAAGGAAGACCGATGAGGCTTTCTGTGGGTAGCAAATGCGCCTGCGTTTGTCTTAAGATCGCTGTTTTACTGGGGCTAAAGACATTACACAACGTGCGATTGTTGAAGCGATGTAATTAACTCGCTGAGCTTAATTTATTTCTAACTCCTGGGAAACGGTATCGATAACGAGATCAATGGCATAAATAACACGGTTAACCGTTCGGGAGCCAGCCGTTTTTGGTGCACCCAGACATTTATCAGCCTCCCATCATTAGTACAGCCATGTAAGGCTTTAACAAGATTTAGCACATTTTGGTATCCGCGCAATTCCTATAATGCAGGGATGTCCCTGAAGACGCTACGGTTCACACGCGGGTAAAGTCTGCGAGTGGGAAGCAACGTCGCTACCAGTAATCCCAATTGAGCATTAGTTTGGGCAACATTGAACCGTCTTCTCCCTTATGGCGAAAGAAAATGGTCCAAGCGTGCCGATGACGCGGGCACACACAAGGACCGACTCGTCTTGAATGATGTCAAGGGATGTGTGACGTGCACTTGGTGAAGCAGACGGCGCATATCCGTGACGTCGTTACACCCCGCAGTCTTAAGCAGCGCGCTAACCACTGCGACACCGCTCCCGCACGCACCCACACGATTGGCGTAAGATTTTACATACACCATCAGCCATGCATGTTGAACAATGTATAACATGTACGCAACCACATACGATAGTGCCTTCGAGTGACTTTATTAAATTTATCACAATCCACTGATATTGACATTTGGCTGCTTAACTTAACAGCTACAGCAAACATTATGAACGACACTAAATGCGACATGAACAAGTGCATTTGTCAACATTAGAATCAAACTGTTTATCAAGTGTAAGGATTTTATATCCCTACTCAATTTTCAATAAATATGGTCCAGTTTCTGTTATAATCCACATATTCTGATGGAATAGGAATGTAACATATATGTTACAGCACTTATTACCAAAAAAATAAACTTTTTTTTCACCCAACAATAAATTATGTCTTCACAAAATATCACAGTACCGTACTTTTTTAAAACGTAATTACAAATGGAAAACCCAAAAATGATAAATCTATTTTTTGGAAATTAATTGAGAATGTACAGTTTTACAGCTTCGTCTTAAGCCTATTAACATACCAAAATGCATTTTGTTTTTCATCTTATAAGCAAGGAAAATTGGGCCTATGCATAAACTTGTGCTTCAAGGCTGATGCAGAATAAACAAAGCACATTCACTTTTACTTCAAACAAATCAGGCATGCTACAGGTATTGCTTAAGCAGAATCAAAATAAGGGTTCAATAACCCTGCATTATATATACAGATAACCAAAAAAGTAAAATATGGATTCTGAAAATGTGTCCTGTTTCTATTAACGGCCATTATAATTCACATATAAATCCAAAGAGGAGAGGTATTCTGGTAAACTATTTCATTTTGTTGCTTGCAGCAATTGTTTTTTACACCTATATTCATATTTTTGTTGGTTATTACCAACATGTCTTCATACAAATACCAAAATGCCTGAGGAAGTTTTTTTTAAGTACTTTTAAGTAATTTTTTTTAAACTCCTCCTGGATGTGAATCTGATGCTATGGGTGCATTGTACAACTTGTCCTTGCAAAACACATATACTGTACATGCAAGGATATTACAACTGTACTACATTTGTCATCAACTACGTATATGGAATACTCTGTTTAATCGTGTGGTTTAGGTGTCAGGGTGGGTAGTGGTGAGAGTAAGGGGACGGGGGGGTACAGGAGAGGGGGGCTGGAGAGTAAGTGGGGGCGGTGTGGTGGGAGACAGTTCAAAATCTGGGGGGGGGGGGGGGGAGGTGGGGTAGGAGAGGAGGGGGGGGGGCAGCGCACACATTGAAAAAGCAAACTACGAAACGGGTCAAGGCACGGGACAAGCACCACACAGAGCACTTTGACAAAGTGTGCTATAGATAAAAAGCGGTAGCAAGCAGCAAGATAGGTTCCGGGGATGGGAGGGGATTAGTAAAATCATCGAGCAAAAACGGGAGTCATACCGAAGGAGCCGTTCAGGCATCGTGGGAAAATAAAGTGCTTAACACATCCTACCTTAGTGCCAATGTCATTCTTTTCCAAAAACTACTTACAATTGTTTTTATAAACAACATACTGTACTTCAATGTAGATATCATTGCTCTGGTTCCAATACATCAGAAATATAAATAATGTTGTAAGAGGCTCCCGAATATAACCCTCAGTTGTGGATGACTTCATGGCATAATACAGAATAATACGGAATTAGCGGGGCCCAGTTTCGTGGCTGTACGCGTGGGTCCTTTCGCGGAGAAGTGGGGTAGCGAAAATTCTGAACGAACGGATCGATCGTCGGGATCGGTTATTGGCGCGTGTGCTTAACTCGCATTAAACGTGCTAATTACTCTCACTGCCTCGCCTTTGGTCCACGACGGCCCAAACGATTCGGCTACAACACGTCCGGAATGCACTGACGATGCAGACGCCGTGCCCGCTTGTCAGACCCAGGCACAGCCAAATGTTCCCTCAACCGAACCAACGTCACTGTGAACTTGCAATCACTTCCTATACGCGAGCTCGAGAGAAAAACACTTCACAGAAAATATTACCTTTCCGTGACATCGACGGCGGAGGCTGCCACTCAATAAAATGTCATTTGAAACATAAAAAGTATAAAATGTTCAATTATATTTAAAAAAAAAATTCTGGGGATTTTCAGTCATTTTGTAATTTGATTTGCAACATTACCATACATAGAAAACATGTGAATATTTTCAAATTAAGCAAGTGGCATGTCTTATCTGATTGCACAGATAACGAGATTTGTTTAATGGTGCACAAACCGTTTGGAAACATAGACAATAGAGTGAGTTACGTTTTATACAATGTAATGTGTAAAAATATCTAATTTTTCATCGATTCAAACGTGTTAAAAATTAACATAAGATGTAAAAGTAACACGTACTATATTGTCCATATTTCTACAATTCTGTCTTGCAGATAACATATCGATCGAAGCGGGCCGGAAAGACCGTGCCATTCTGCTCGTGAAGCCAAACAGGATGCCGTACGTGAGCAGCAGGTACAAGGAGAGAAACCCCGACTACAAAATAAGATCCTGGTATGAAACAGGATTATCGTAACACAGATGACTAAAGCATATAAGCGCCATGCTGTTATATGTTTGTCAAGGTAGTGCGATACACTCATTTGTAATCAATATATTCAGTTATTTTCACAATTTTACAGGAACAAAATTCACATTTAAGTGCCATCACCTTACATTTTTACATTATCCACAAATGTAGCTTTCAGAAATGTCAATTGCTAAGCAATATTACAAATAGCAATGTAAAATACTCCCATTCTAAAAAATAGCATTCTATTAAACTTAAATAACAAGTACAACGTCACCCTTAAAATTCACCATTGCAGAGCTAACAAAATACTAGATAACTTTAAAAATTATGTAATGCAGCAAAAATGGCTGGAATGATTATCTTTTAATAAAATTCACTGTTAGATAGGTACCTTGCTTCACAAATATTTGTGATACATCATCATCATTATTGTGCATCAGTACATATCGCGACCTCACCTCTAAGTACGTCATTTAAAACCCACGAGAACTCATATATTTCTGCATTTTTTTCAGTGTGTTTATAATACGTGAATGTTTTTTTTATAATTGAACACACTAGCTGCCAATGTGCAAGCAATATAAAAGCCATTAAATGATGACATTTTAAAAGCCAGCAGCAGGGCCATCCAATACCTAGGATTTTATAAACAGGTCTTACATCATACAGTGAATCAAAGTGCTGTAAAAGTCACACATTTTAGGAACTTTTTTTTTCGAAGGAAAAGAATGAGAACACTTTCAGACATTAATGCAGAAATGGGCCTTCTTTCTTCATTCTATCGGCATTAAACTTGGATACCTTTCACGGCCTGCTTGATGCTATCCAAGAGGTTTTTGTTTTCCGGGTTATGGTAGTGCTCCTGGTTGCTGTATACGTCTGTCAGCTTTGTCACGTAGGTGTCAAAATTCTGTTCATTGATCGGATCCTGTGGGTACAACAAAACACAAAAGTATTTCCACAAACGTCGAAACAATGAGTAAAAGCAACGCTCTTTCACAACTCGGGAATGCAAGTTACCAGCAGCACAGACACTTCAACATTGACCGCAGACCCAGCGTGAGCTCCTCATTGATATTAACATAACGATTCAAAGTGGGTTAACTCGGACTACTTTCGTTGTTATAAGGGCGCGGGTTCACTCCGCTAATCTTTCTCCAGCAAGAAGATGAGACACGTACATTGCTCTGTCTCCACTGCTTCGCTTCACTGGCAGCTCATCTCCGTCTGATACAGTGGCATGCTTGTGCAAGCGCCTTGCGCACAAGGACCCGTGACATTTAAAGTCGCACGTGTTGCTTGTTAGCGTTGTCGTCTATCACTGGTGCACGGGGGTAAAGTTTGTACTTTAGTGTCTGATTACAAGGCCCTTCAGCGTAGCATAATACGTGTTATGATGGAAGGCCATGGTCCTAAACCTATTATATATTCTCTATTAAGGCCACGGTCTTACTGACGAATGAGTTGAGTTTCTTTGTTGCGCTGGTGCACCACTGCTAACATAACATCAACAATAATTTGTTAAATTATGAACGGTTCCTTTTATAATAGACATTACTAAACTATGCTGTTGCTACCAACTTGGATTTAGATCCTTAAATGACACGTACATAAAGGCTTATAGTTTCCAGAATGGATGGGTGAGGGGTATAATAACATTTGAGTACCAAAGGCTAAAAACAGCCTCAGTTACATTTTGCTGCCAACATGGAATTGTAATCTGGTGATTATTATCACAGTGAATACGTGTTACTCATTGGATAGTTAATACCTTTTAATAAGCATAAAGGTTTTCTGAATATCAGTAAAAACATTGAAACAAATATATTACTTGAGAATATACAGCATTTCATCACTGCAATGCTAGATGATGGCCTCTCCATGCCATGTCGAGCTCTGGGATTGCTTTCTTGACCATACTTCACCACGCTGGTCAGTCAGATATCACTCACCACTAATGTTAGCCATGCCAGGAATCTTACTCAGGACTCCGGGTAACTACTGCACACACACACTCCCCCTCCCCCCTCCCACCCATAATTAATCGTTACGCTGTAAATTTAACTGGGCAATGTTTCCGGCCAATGTTCCGGTTCCTATCCTCACCATGCTGGGAAGACGCACCCCAGACAGACTGCTGATCAGAGTCTGACTCAGGCTGGACAGCTCGCTCAGAAGGGTCTCGCTCTGCCCCTCCATCCGACTGTTTTTCTCTTGCGATGATTTCAGATTGTCCTCGAGACTGGTGATCTGAAAATTAATTTGTCAAACAAAAGCACTGAGAAGGTGTGCAAATGATGACGATTTGCACGTGTTCAGCGCTTACGTGCCGTGTGGCGTATCAAAGCACCTCTCAGCACAATATTCCCTCATTTGTGATGTTATACCTCGTCGTACCTTTTCACAACTCGAAAACGTGAGCCAGGGTTTAACTTTATGGTCCTACATCCTGAAACTGAATATTCTCCAATAAGAAAATTATATTAAGGATGCATTGTTTGCCTGAGGGGGCAATATGAAACTCATATTTATTATTTTGAGATTTCTACGGGTGATGGTTGATGCTTGTACGGCCTTTAACCTCTACGCTTCTTCTGATTGGTTCACGCTGGGACATGAAGATCAGAAATGCGGCTGAGCGAGAACTCGGGCCGATGGTCGCCCCTTCGTTCATTTCACAAATGAAACAACCACCCAGAAGCCTCCTCTTAACCCAGTACTATGTATGTTGAACTTCTTTCACACTGTACGTAGCCAACCGTGCTAATCAGAGGTGCGGGGGAAGGGCAACAAACCAAACACAAAAAGCAGTTCTAAAGGAATTAGTTTTAAAATCTAGATGATTTAAAATTGCATAGCTCCAATGACTTCCTTATATCTGAAGCGCGTTCCAGACGGCCGCAGAAGTGTATCTGACAGCCCCGCACGATGCGGTGACCACCTTTGTTCGATGGTTAGCCAAACGCCACTGCGAGGATGACCAGAGTTCGCGTGATGACGGTTAATGCCCCTTGACGAGATTAGCAATGCATTGTGGTTCATTCGGGGCGAGCACTCTGTGTGCGATGAGTGTGAATCATTGCACACGCCATCAGGGTCCGTGGCCTTGCCCCTCACCTGCGTCCGTAGTTTGATCATCTCCACTTCCACATGCGAGTTGGATTCTCCCAGATCTTTGATTTCCTCGTAAAGGTGCTTGACCTCCTCGTCGTTCTCTATGCCTGCGAGAGACAACAACAACAAAAGCCACACAACTTGAAATGTCACGGATTCCAACGGTGGGTAGATTATGCCATGTATTGCATTGTAAAATAATACGCACTCAGGTTATCGCATTAACACCATCTTACACCATTTCAGATGTACTGACAGTCATCATAACAACCAATTAAATGATCTATAGGAATGACTTGATTTAAATAAAGCTGAAAAGTTGGAGTCAAGATAAATATGACCAAAACAAAAGATTACTAAACTAAATAAAACGATTCTTGGAAGGACACAGTAGGAAAACTCAGAAAAATATGTAAAGCAATGTAACGACCGGTGCATATTTACAGCCATGAAATGGCTCGGAAGCATGACCAGTGAAACATGAAATCGAGCACAATCTGACAATTAAACAACAACAAAAAACGCATGGAAAGGTGCACACTTTGAATTACACTGAATGACAGAGACACTCAATGGCTTAGACAACAAATTAAAATTAGAGACATCCACTATTATTAATAAGAGTGGGCATGGGCAGGACGTGTTACTCGTGGGGATGATGGCTGGCTGATAAAGAGAAGATGGCGATGGGATGCAGCCTGAGGGGAACATGCTCCTGAGAGGGCATTCACCACGGAGATGAGGCAATGCAATCAGAAGCGAGATGGATTGTTACATCGCGAGGTCGCAAAAGATGGATTGTAGCATTGCGAGGTCACGAGAGATGGATTGTTACATTGCGAGGTCACGACAAATGGATTGTTACATTGCTTGGTCACGAGAAATGGATTGTTACATTGCGAGGTCACGAGAAATGGATTGTTACATTGCGAGGTCACGACAGATGGATTGTTACATTACGAGGTCACGACAGATGGATTGTTACATCGCGAGGTCGCAAAAAATGGATTGTTACATCGCGAGATCACAAGAAATGGATTGTTACATCGCGAGGTCACGACAGACAGATTCTTACATTGCGAGGTCGCGACAGATGGATTGTTACATCGCAAAGTCACGACAGATGGATTGTTACATTGCGAGGTCACAACAGATGGATTGTTACATCGCGAGGTCACGAGAGATGGATTGTTACATCGCGAGGTCACGACAGATGGATTGTTACATCACGAGGTCACGACAGATGGATTGTTACATCGCGAGGTCACGACAGATGGATTGTTACATTGCAAGGTCACGACAGATGGATTGTTACATCGCGAGGTCACGACAGATGGATTGTTACATCGCAAGGTCACGACAGATGGATTGTTACATCGCGAGGTCACGAGAAATGGATTGTTACATCGCGAGGTCATAACAGATGGATTGTTACATCGCAAGGTCACGACAGATGGATTGTTACATCGCGAGGTCACGAGAAATGGATTGTTACATCGCGAGGTCACGAGAAATGGATTGTTACATCGCGAGGTCACGAGAAATGGATTGTTACATCGCGAGGTCACGAGAGATGGATTGTTACATTGCGAGGTTACGACAGATGGATTGTTACATCGCGAGGTCACGACAGATGGATTGTTACATCGCGAGGTCACGACAGATGGATTGTTACATCGCGAGGTCATGACAGATGGATTGTTACATCGCTAGGTCACGACAGATGGATTGTTACATCGTGAGGTCACGAGAGATGGATTGTTACATCGCGAGGTCATGACAGATGGATTGTTACATCGCGAGGTCACGACAGATGGATTCTTACATCGCGAGGTCATGGGAGATGGATTGTTACATTACGAGGTCATGGGAGATGGATTGTTACATCGCGAGGTCATGGGAGATGGATTCTTACATCGCTAGGTCACGAGAGATGGCAATGGCTTGGGAAGGCCTTCGTCCAGTGGTGGATATATCATGGCTGATGATGAATACCATCTAGAATGCTTAATATCATCTCCCGGTCGCGCACAATCATGTTGCTGAGTATGCTAGAGCCGAGGCACATTTAAAAGTGTACTTATATTCTATATTGGTATATATTAGCTTCTTGATTTATTACAAAATGACAGGAAGCCACCTAGAAGACAATAAAGTCAACCGTGACGTCACTTCAACGTAGTTTTGTTCTCTCCCATTGCACAATACAAAGTTGAGAGTATCTGAACATCGGTCACGGCAACTCTTATTCACCGCAACTGTCGAATATTGACAAGACACAGAGGCTGCACATCACCGTGGCGTTTCGTGGAAGCTGCAACAAGTAAAAAGCAGAAGCGTTTTTGAAATGCAGTGATTGAGTCGGGGACAACAAACGCCACGAATCTCTTTTCGTGGTTTCTCATTCAAATAAAGTCAGACTGGTCGCGGCTTTGTCCAGTTTAACACCGTGACATTTCCAATTTGTGTTGTGTTATTACGCATTCCGTATAACTTGTCTACGTTAAACAGGCAACACGTACACATAATCATAGAAACCAGAGCAGGAAACATAAGGAGGTATTGCATGAAGATGAGTTTCATGTAAAAATGTTTTATATTTGACGTCAAATCACGGATAAGTTGCTTTAAATGTGGCAAGTGCACTTGATGTTTGCAAATACTGTACACGAAATATAACAAACTACAACCACGCATCATAATGTAATCACTTTTAGTTTATTAAATATAAAATCACTCCCACAGTGCTGGAAACTCATTTCTTTAAAATTGCTTTTGGTGCTTAGTTTGTTGTCCTTCCCCCGCACCTCCGATTTGCATGGTTGGCTACGTACGGTGTGAAAGAAGGTCAACATACATAGATATACACGTGCCTCACATAGCGTTGATCTAATTGTGCACTATGTACAGATGTCTGACTCCTCAAAGAACATCAACTCTATATACGAAAAGCAGTTGATATGCATGGCGTAGATGTCATGGTGCAGGATATTCCAACTCCCCCTACGGATGAGTATATCTCGATGCGTACTCTATGTCATAACTAGGGTGCCAGGAGGGGCATTCAGTCCCTGCTTTAGTGATGTTTCCGCACGCAGACTCATTTCACTTGGGAAAATATTATTTGTTTGTCATGGATATTCGGATTAAAATTCCAACATGGAACAGAAAAATAATAATAATAAAAAATTGCAAGATTCCAGTCAGAATTTACCAGTGCAGATTTTCTCGATGGAAACAATTTCCTGAACTTGCCAGCCAGCTTGTTCTGACAAGCGCAAGCAACAGCAGATAAAGACAGCAGCCAGAGCTTTCAAGGATGTGGCCGCAAAAGGCACAGCGATAATCACCCAGAGCTTCATGTTGAATTTTGGGTAGGCTGAAGTTAGTCTACTCTTCTGTCAATAGCATGCCTCTCCCCGAGTTGGAAAGTCAGAGTGTGTGTGTGAAACAAAGATGAGATATGCAATGGAAACTGTGGATATTTTTATTCTCATTCTCACAGTTACTTATTCAACGTTATATTCAGGCCCTTTTAAATGACAATGTTCAATATTGGCCTTAATTGGAGTGGCCACTGGGTGACGCTGGAGGCAAATGCCAATATCTGGATAATGAGTCTTCACTATTTAGTTAATGGATCTCACTTGTGACATTTACCAACGAAAAGAATATTTAATTCTATCAGTTCAGTCACCAATGAAAATGCACTAAAAATATATAAATATGATTTTGGCCTTAAAGAAATTCCCAATGTGAAGTCTTAATTGCTTGAACCTCCATTTGACTATCAATGTGAGTACTGTGTAGAGACTCGTGCATGGCAACCACGTGAGAAAATAGTCACAGCAAGAATTAAGTTAAGAGGAAGCATTAAAGTAAGATGAGAGGGCTAACAAAGATCCGTGATTATGAAATTGCAATGGCTTGCTTTTTACTGTGCGCACATTTGCACTGTAGATAAATGGCGCATTTGTGTTCAGCGCAGCCACTCCTTAATAGTTCATAAGGTTCCTGTTTGTGGTGCCTCTTGTGACCTGTTGCTGATACAACAGTAACCGGTCTTCTCCTTCTGTTCCACTATTGCTCATCTCTGTGGACGCCAACACTCCTTGTGACTTGTTAGGAGTCTGTGGACCTTTGGTTAAGAGTCCTTGGTGTAACAATTACAGGTAACGCCTCTCATCTGCAACCTCATCCCACCACTAAACCATGCATAACATCAGTTATCTTGTAATAAATCATTAGGCTTCCTACATCATCACCAACAGCCATGCTCTATCCACTGCTTGATGAAGGCTTCTCCATATCTTCACCAACCTTCGTGGGCCTGCAATGCCACAATCCATCTCGTTACTGTGCATGAGGAGCTGACTTGATCGCTCCATCTCCGCGGGAGTGTCATCCTCTCGAGCGTTTTCTCTCCGTCGGCTGCCATAGGCTCCCTGCCTGTCTTGTGTGAAAGATTGACATCATGTCTTCCGATCCCATGATGAGGAGCAATGTTGCACACAGGTGTCAACACTAAAGGGATGGAATCTTGAGCTAACCTTGCCTTGAATATTAACTAATTATCTTACAACCGTGAGCTCAGCGCCGCACCCAGTGAGCTTTCCCCAACATCCAGAACGGGCAAGGATAATGGGCTGCACCAGCGAAAGAGCAGGTCAAAGATAGAGACAACTGGAAGACTAATTCCCCAGGTCATGCTTGCAAATGATACTCATCCTGGCCTCTTGAGATTTCACCTGGTTAAACACTAAATAAACTTGCATGTAAGGGAATATGATAACCAACTGAAAATGCTTTCAAATATACAGTAAAACCTTGGATTGCGAGCATAATTCGTTCCGGAAACGTGTTTGTAATCCAAAGCACTCGTATATCAAAGCACTTAGTATATCAGTTATGATCACGTGATGCTCGGCTGTACAAAGCGTATACGTGCTACTCGTATTGCAAGACCCTCGCTCGTTTATCAAATTAATATTTATTTAAAAATTTTGCTCGTCTTGCAAAACACTCGCAGACCAAGTTACTCGCAATCCAAGGTTTTACTGTATTATACAATTTGTAGGACAAATGTGCTACAAATATGCTATAGGTTGATTTAAAATCTCTTGATATTTTGAATGCTAATTTGTTTCCTGGACAATGTATAAAACATTTTTGGTCTACCCCGACATTATATAAAATTGTAAGATTATTTAATTTCACATTCACTTGAGGATTTAAAATTAAAAAAACGTAATTTTTGAGTACTTGATGTTTGATGAAAATATCTCCACTTATTTATAAGTTGGATCAATTTTTTAATAAAACTTAAAAAGAAAATTACACGATCGTTTTAGACTATGCGCGACATATGAAACGCAGGCAATCATACGCTTCCTCATATAACTGTATCGTCCTCAAAGCTCACATTTAAATGTTCTTAAGGAGTACATTTTTTTCATCAAAAGCCTCACTCTAAAATCATTACAATTTGAATCAACTGTAGAAAAGTGCATCCGTCCAATGCGTTAGGTAAATCATGATTACTTACCACATCACAAGGTCTAATACAGACTTTGATGACAGATATTTTTATGCTTGATGCTCAAGTCGCTAAGAATACAACTGTATCTATACTGCTATGAATATGTATCCAGAAGCGCGGTTAAATGGGCTCAATGCAGCACAATTGCGCAGCACTGGTACAACATTATCATAATGTACCAAAAATAAAAAAATAAGCGCATGCATGATTGCAATGAATAACGTTGAAGTCATTTTATAATTCTATTAATAGTGGGGTTTTTTTTTTACAATTAAAAATAATGAAATGCATCGCCAGCCACACTTTGAACACAAAACCATCAGATCTCAAGGTAGGGCCCATATATTGATCTATACAGAAACATCTGGCTACTTGGCATTAACTCACAGATTCCATGATTACTTTAGTAAACATAGGTTATATAAAGTCTGATAGCTAAAGAGAATAACAAATATTTTATAGAGGTAGTTAACGAATAAATGACCTCTGCATACATTCTGTAAGTGATATAATTGACCCAGAATACAAATTGAGGTTGTATTGGATTGGTCACGATTGACTTCAGACAGAGTCTCAACTGTGCACCGCCATTATTATTAACGTGATTACTGCACAAGAATAATGACTAAAATATATAATGTATTAAACAATCCCACTTATGTATAGTAAGAATATATCGTTTTAAAATCATTTTATAGATGACCAATATAAATCCGAACCAATAAGAGAGAACCACAACACATAATAAGTGGCTACTTTAAATTTACTGATATTTTTGAGTGACTAAGTACTAAACATTTACAACTTATTAAATGACTCCATTTTCAGTCACAGAATTGGTTACTGGGTGACATAAATTGATTTCTACAAGTTAACCCACCCTATGGATTATGTCCAGGATCAGTAAAAAGGTTATCATATTATTACGTAATTAAAATATCAACCGGTAAGCAAGTAACTACTTATACAGGGGGGTAATAATTCAAATAAAATGTTTCCATGTAGAATCACCTAATCGAGGTTGACGCAACATGTAACCATCATAAATTTTAACACACAAACAAGAAAAGGTGTACTAAGCATTATTTTTCAGGTCACACAAAAGTTAGGTTAACTAAATTAATCCACGGTTCTCGAGGTTTATGTATTTATATTGCTGTGTCGTGATACAAGATGGTACTGGATCCCCATGGTTACGTATTCTATTGTGGATATTCGAGACATTAATACAGAATCATACAAACGTTTAAAATCAAATCAGGGGATGGAAAATTTACCAGCATAGGAATCGGGCTCCAGATTTGAATTTGATTCTAAAACGGTCAAATGTGACAGACCAGGAACATTCAGTTGTAATTAATTTCTAATTACAGTACTGTGTTGAGTAATGCATTAAATAATATATTACTTTACGAGCAACTAAAAACATGCGTTTAATACTTATGCAATAAAAATAAACTACTTGAAATATAATTGTTCTTTTGGATTTAATCATCAAAGATGTAAAAATGTACATCTGTCTCCCATTGCCGCTACCAAGCCGTCGATGAGGCATGCACGCTTGGCAGTTAAATAATTGATGCTCGACACCTGGCTGAGCATGCATTTTGATAATATGAAATCAATGCAAATACAGTGAACAAAAGTTTATGATGTATATCTTTAGGTATTCTTAGCTCTTTCGGTAAAGTCACGTTGAAGGGAAACAATAAAATAATAAAATATATATAAAACAATAAAATTCTCACGACGTTTCGACCATAACACAAACGGTCATCATCAGGTGTGAAAAACCAACGGCAAGAAACATTTGAAAGAAGTGGCGGTTTGTATTTATTTATTTTTAAACGGTGTATTTTATTGTTTTATATATATTTATTATTTTATTATTTCCCTTCAACGTGACTTTACCGAAAGGGCTAAGAATATGAATTACTGCAGTCACGAAAGCTTTAAATCAAAATATATCTTTAGGGTTTAAAGCATTTTTTATAACCAAATTTCACGTTCGGGCCTACCCAGCATGCACCCTCCTGCGTATGCTGTAGACGCATTGTGACGTCAGGCTGACACATCTGCTTATCAATCAATTAAATATTTATTTAACGGCACCCTCATTAAACCAAGGCGCTGCACATAAACTATCAATACAACTTTAAAGCCATGCAAACAGAATAATAACATTCAGGTTAACCTAAAAAAAAAAAACCCATAAATTTGGCGACGCCATATACGTCTTCGTGTGTATACGCCAGGCTGAGCACGTAACTTTTTAAGGTCTTTCTTTTTGAAGCGGTGGACGGTCAAAGAGAGATTTTCTCCAACCCAGCATGCACCCTCCTGCCACTGGGCTTCGTGGCAGTCAACTCACCATTTGAGGCTCGCAGTTTGATCGTCATCATCTCTTCCCCTGAGAGCTTGGCCTTCTTCATGGCGAAAGTCGCTCTGGGACAACCTGACAGGCTGCCAAGCCCAACCCAGACACACAACATGTGTTCATATTTTCAGGTGCTAGCTTTGGTATAAAGCCATCGAAGCACTAAAGTCAACCAAAGTTATCATGTTTCTTTCCTCTCTCTGAAGGTGAACTCAAAAAGGCTTGACAAATTGATTTACAAAAAAGTTTATGAGTTTTACAATGCAGGTAACTTGTGCGCTAAATTCATTTTAAATGCTTTAATCTCTTGCTGGAAATGTACACGTTTGTACTTTGCCTCACGTGTTTACTTTTTTACGTTATTTTTTTTATAGGTATTTGACAACCTAAAATGTTCAACGGAAATCTTTAGAGAGATAGAACAACTGACATTTGTGCCAATTAAGCTGCAAAGCCTGCAAGGCACGAGTGCCGTGAAGACTGCCATGAGCATTTGAACGCAATCCTCCACCCCGCACACAGCTCTGGCTAAAATGAAGCTCTTCTATTCGGGAGCAACAAAAAAAACGCCCAATAGCACTAAATTCAGTGCATTCATATTTTTACAAGACAGTAATTAAGTCGACCAGCCATCATCTCTTCTAGCAACATGTCAAGCTCACTTACCTTCCTCAAAAAGTCAACATGTATGTCTCTGATTTGTGTTTCATCTCTTATTTCTGCCTCAGTGAAATCCCAAGCATGCGCCTCTCCATGCTTCTTCTCACACTTTTGCACGCTTGTTCATTTTCTTTGTCAGTGTTTCTTTATATATATATTTTTTAAAAAACTTATCATATGCATGCAACCGCTAATGTGTACCATCAATCTACAATTCTCTCATCTCTTTCATTTCACTCATCTGTATTTATTTATGTCTCAGTAAGCAATTTCTCCATACAGGTCAGTGCTCAGCAGGCAACTCCAAGAGCCTCTGTAGACCAGACGTTACCCACAGACCACCCTAGGTAACCCCCAGCTTTGCAGTGCAACAGGAGAGACCGGCATGCAACGGGGTTAAAGTGAATGTGATTCTGAGAAGCATAAATCTAAGCACCTTCCAGTGCTTTTAGTCATGCGCAATTGAGATGTTTTAACATTATTCCGAGATGAAAATGTGGCCACCTTAAATTGGATGAATTTAATAGAAAAAGGGGTGCTCCTTTTTGCATGTCGTAATAATATTTTTTTTATTATACAAATCACAGCGGTGAGTGGATGAACCAGGGCTGTCCCAACTACTCCCTGGGGATACATTTATATGGCTCATGGCATCACTCAAACTTTTCACCAGCTGTAAGCACTTGCTCTAAATCAAATGTTCGCTGTATATTCTCAAATATCTCCTCTTTCCACATATTGTTTTAAATCTCTCGTATATCTCACACTCATCTTTAGATTACACCACCCTCATATTGCTCTTCTGAATACATCTCCCATCCATCTCGTATCTCTCTGCTGAATACAGCACATCTATCTCTGACATGTCAGCATTGATATTTTGTTGTGCTGTATTAAAATACATTGCAGACCTGAGCACTGCATTATTACACAGGAATCCAAACCTCTTACAGTAGCTAACAGTTGTTATGCCCTCTTTGTGTTTGCATTAAATAGAGTCGACTCTATGCTGATATCCAGAACAATCTGGAAACCATAATTTTCGAATTTGGGCTTCAAAAAATGGCCTGGAGGTTGATTGGTATCCCATATGTGGCAGCGTCAAGGGTCAAGCCTAGAGTTCTACGTTGGTTGTCTCTGGCTCTGCAATTAAAACTATACAATAGCCATTGGTGAACCAAGTAATATGCCTCGTGTGGAGTTTGATGTGAAAACCAATAGGAAAAAGCCAAAGAAAAATGCCAGTTACTAGTTTAATATATGCTGCGAATTTGAAGATATGTTTTTTTTTTTGGGGGGGGGGGGAAACCCCACTCCTGTTACTTAATACAACATAACAACTGCAGTATATTGCGCTCAATGTAGAAGAACAAAAAAAACATCTGCTAAACGTTGTCTGCAATTGCCAAGTTTGGCATTATAAGTCTTCTCACTACCATTTGTGCAAATTAGAATACAGTGCCACACTGCAGCAGCGGGGTGACACAATGAGAAGGAGGTACAGTCTGACTTTGTAGAAATGAGAAACCAGGGAGAAGAAAACACTGTCGTGCATAGAGCACCACCCATGACAAACACCACGAGTAATGCCACACACTTTCCCATGTCCACCGAACGTATCAAAATGTACTTTGTTATTCTTTGAATGCATGTATTTCAAAATGGAGTTCTCATACCTGTCAACCCCTTATCAGTGCCTCCGCTTATTACAGACCAATTCAGACCTTATTGGTCACCCCGTGCCCCTTATAAATGTCAACGTTCATCCCCCACAAGGGAGAAACAAAATCAAATAGGCAAACATTTTTGTTCACTCAATTTCCCTGTACAAGAATACGGCTAAACCGTATGGGTTGACAGGTATGAGTTCTGTATAGTTTGTACAACACAGCATGGCAATGTCTGACTTACTTTGCACTCATCCAATCCTGAGATTGTGCAAGAAGGAACACTGCTAAAATCAAATGACCCTTCGCTTGAAATAAGCGTTGTCTTCCGGGTACTGTGCTGTTGATTTATATTAAAAGGAGATGCAAGTCCTGTACACTTATACCAATAAAGTAACAAGACTTTAATAGACAGGGGATCTACATTTCTTCTCATTATCAGTGCTTCCCAACCTTAAAACATATTTGTATGGTGGGTCTTTAAATGAAATATTATTAAAACTAATATATTTTTTTTATTTTACCAGGTAAGGCCCACTGAGCTGTATAAGTCTTTTTCAGAAGCGACCTGGCCACAATTTGATAGCTCAGGACCCGGAGAAAATTCCACGCGACCACGGGGAGAGACAGAGACCGCAAACTCCAAATATACAGCAGGTGTCAGAGTCAGGATTGAACTCACGACCTCCTGTATACCAGGCAAAGGAGTTAACATCTCCTAGCCACCGTATCATGACCACGATGACATTCATGCCATGTCTGCTGTAGCTGTTGCGAACTTCACCATCAACCCTAAACATGCAGAGATCCCCATTATAAAAAATAAAAGTGGGTAACATCACCAAGATTCATGATGCCTTACGTATCCCCTGCATCGCTGTAGGAGATACGAGGCAAACGCTGCTCTAACGTGAGTTGAAGGATTCCCCAAAGGTCCTTAAATTGAGATATTCATTGTGGGGCTACCCCCAAATAAAACGAACTAAATTGGAGAAAGTTGTCCCAATGCACAGGTCATGGTGCCAGTGGCTGGCAACGGTGTCACGTGAAGCACAGCTCTGCTCACCTTGTCTCATACGAGGGAAGTTAAGTGTGTGGAGGTTAACTCTGATGATGATAATGATGATTGTAATCAAGTCAGGGTGCTGATGTGATACAGCATGAGCTGCCCTATGGATGCCACGCTATGGGGAAACACAGACTGCAGAGGATCCCAGGGTGATGCCTCATTTACAAACGTTTGTGTTTGTGGCCATGTCCTCCCATTCAGTCGATGGACAGGAAAAATAATTTCTCAATTAGCAATGAGACATATTATTGGTATATGCCTGTACACACAGACAGAGTTGTAGGGCTGGAAGAGACGATATTTAAATTTACTGTCCACCAAAAATGGTTGTTCTCTCTTACGGGGTATTTCCATCACACTTTTGATTTACTATATTACGATTTGAACTTCGGTGAGTTAGATGGATGGTAAAGTAGGATTCAGAATTATGTTTTTCAATGCACTTTAAACGTGTCACTCGACCCTGTCAACTCTAATTGAAGTACTTAAATTATCTCATACACCTGACCAATAGAATTTGCACCAAACAAATGCACATCAAGATAAGTATTAACATATTGTCTACTCAAACAGCCGGTGCACGCTTGTCTCATAAAGCATTGCTCGGAAACAGTGGCAAGTACGGTAAAAGCTCTCAAAGCCAGACTCGGGTGACCCGGAATTTGGAGTATGCCGGAAAAGGGTACAAAAAGATAAAAACAAAATGAAGGGTAATTTTTTTTTAAAAATACTCTTCCCGCGATACTATCTTGCACTAATGAAGTTGTGCAAGGAAGCATGCGGTATTCTGCGGTCGGTAACTAATTATGTGTATAAGTTAGTTACAGCGTACTTAACTTACAAGTAAAATGTTTCAAAGACAAGTGTCAGGTCGCGACCAGCAGAACGCGTGGCGGGCTGCGCGGCCGGTGTCCTCGTGGCAACCCTGCGCTCGCTCCTTTTTTTATTCTGCTTCTATTTTCGTGAACTAATCTCTGTCGTTTTAAATCTCGCCAAGATTGTCCTAACCCAGCCACTTCGGCGACGTCTACAATCACGAATAGTTACTTGTCACAATCAGCGCAAGCCAAAAAAGTACCATGCTCATTACACCCGAGAAAGCACGGTGACGTTCCTCCCAAAGCCTCGTGACTTACAGGGAAGCCAAACTTACCTGCGGTGGGTGAGAAAGCTGCCATAGGCATGGCCTGATCCGTCGCATCCCGGCGTGGGGCAGGAGACGCCATCTCCCTTGCTGGCCTTCCATGGGACCACTTGCGGCCCGCTGAGAAAGCGTTCGTGCTGGCGCTTGGTGGCGATGGGACATCCGGAGGCACTGCGGTGCGACACGTACTTGCCTGTCACATGGCCCTGCCCATCGCAGCCCGGCACAGGGCACCTGCAAGGAAGCATCGTGGAATGCGCGTACACGTTACTAAATAACCTCCCCACGGAAGATCCGTCCGCTGATTTTTTTTTTGGACTGTTTTCGATTTTTTCTTTTTGAAAGATTATAATTGGAGATGTTTTCCTCCACGACTGCCCACCGGTGTAACGGTGGGCACTTTGAGGATTGCACCCCAGAAGTCGCCGGTCTGGTTCAATCGCCCCGTGCAGGCGTTTGAAACAATGGTCCAGTTCCTGAAACTCACCCCATCTCGGTCCTGCCAGCAGCAGTTTACATGGGTTGGGTCTTCAACAGTTAGTCATTGATTGGCATGTCTCGCTTGGTGGGGTAATGTGTGGGTACTCACACCTCTTCCAACACGTCTGGCCAGCGTGGAAGATTAGGCCAAATGCCTTCTTTTGCTGCTTTTTTTCATGAATTTTCTGTTTGCACAGTCACATAGTCACTTTAAGATGTTTTTCTTGTTCGTGTTTATGTTTTTTGTTTGTTGAAGTTGCACCCGATTCAAGAGCCGAATGGCTCACAGGGCTATACCAAACAAATAAACTGGAAAAAAATAACTAGGAGTTGATTTTTAGGTGGGTATCCAGTTTATGCGATTCATGTCCCACTGGCCATTAACGTGCACATGAGGAAAGGTGGCAATGCAGTGCTGAGTGGAATATTTCTATAACCATATTGGATGCAAGGACCGAAAACTGTTTGTCAAACAAACTGTGCACAGTTCACAAGTCCATTTTTGGTGTTATTCCACCAGGCGGATTAATTACGCAGAACCCAAATTTGTTTTCGAACAAAAGCTATTCCCAAAAGTCAGGGGTGAGACAAATGGATTCTGCCTGAGAGCATCACGACAAGATGGCGTAAACCCCCCCCACCCCCCACGGACACGGCATCAACCAAGCGGTCTCAGTTTGTCCCCATCGCACGGCTCCAAACTGAACAGAATTGTTCTGCAAAATACAGAGTGAGCTGGAAAGGTGTTGAATGCATCTACACCGTGTGGAATCACTAAGCGTGCTGCCAGGCCTGCTCTGTGAACAGCCGAGGTGGCTCGGTGAGCTACAACGTGGGAGCTCAACAGTGCTCCATCAGTACACAGTCCATAGAGGCCAAGGCCACGGTCAAGTGGGCATCATGGGCCATTCCATTGATTCCCTCCCCTGTTGCTCACTCGACATCCAACAGCTCTTATTATAACCCACCAGCTCGTCTTCATCTTAGTCACCAACCTCAATGTGACATCTCCAATTTCCTGTCTCAAACATCTGCTCTCATCCATTCTGCAGACATTGCCCATCCACTGTAACCTGCTCACGATTACGTTCACAGTACATTATTGCCGATTTATGTGCCGAACTTTCAAGTCACCTGTGTCATCCGGCCATGATATTCCTAGTGTCCTCCATGTGTATCGACATTCAAAGGCCCAGCGTCCTTTTACAGTTGCTTTGTGAAGATACTACTCTCCCACCCGTGCAGTATCACAGAAGTGAATCCTGGCTCATACACCCGTCTCCTAATCAACAACATTGATCTCCTAGCTCCTCCTCCAAAGTGAACAATGTTGTTCATCACAACCATGTCCTAAATCAACACTTCTTATTCCCCAAAACCCGCGTGCATTATCTACAATAACATAAAATTTCGATTTAAAGCTTTCGTGACTGCAGGGATTCATATTCTTGGTTCTTTCGGTAAAGTCACGTAGAAGGGAAATAATAAAATAATACGTGACTTTACCGAAAGAACCAAGAATGCAATAACATTCATCAGTAATTGTAACAACATTGACTTTATAAACAAGTTATCTTCCACTTATAAATTTCTCCTGACACCTGTGATACATCTGGGGCGAAATCAAGGTAATAAGAGAAGGCTTTGTGTTGGTGCGGAGAGCCAGAGGCGGTGGCTACAGTGACATGAGAAGGGAATGTGATCCGGTGTATTGGTGCAGTGATAAGCGTTCAAGTGGCATTGCGGATTATGTATAGTTTGTAAGTTAGGAAATTGGGATGTTCAAAGATGAAAGCATTAGTGGATTAAAGACGAGAGATAGTGAAGGCAAAAATGCAGAATATCGATGCTGTAAACGTGTATCCAGGATGTCTGTCTCCATGAGTTGAGAGATGCTGGACAGCAAGGTGAACTCTGGATCGATGGTGGTGATGCTTAGTGTTCTTCTGGACATACGGCAACAACTTCAATAACAGAAGGAACAGACAAAGAGCCAGGACAACAGAGTTAGCCGACTCATCCCAGCAAATGATCCTAGCAATTTCATTATAGCAACAACGTGCACTCTGTGCCCTGCAGTGGACGTACAATAAAACCCTAGGGATCACTGATGAGCAAAGCGTCATGTGTGCTGCTCAACGGGAAGTCTCTCCTTCACCTGCCCTGTGTGTGCTGCTTAGAACGCCCTCCTCTTGGCTCTCATCACTGTGGATGCCACCTCACTTGCCCCTTGCCCCCCACCCCTTTGACCCCTCCCCAACTTTAACCCCCCTCCCCCCCGTTGAACCCCCCTACCTTTCACCCCTCCCCCTTTGACCCCACCCCCCTTTGACCCCACCCCCCTTTAACCCCCTCCTCCTCTTTGACCCCCCCCCTCCACTTTCAGGCAAAAAAAAGAACGTCATCTTCCTTCTGAGCTTGAAGGCTGTTTACTTTCTCACGTCCCCACCCCCCCCCCCGCATATTCCCACCGTATATAAGTAATCGTTGTCTCGATATATTTGTTGTTTATGTCCACAATTCCCTTTTTTCAGCTCATAAATATGTTTTTTATCACTTACCCTTCCCTTGTGGTTGTATTTGAGAGTAATGTAGCTTTTTGATGAATGTTTTGTCCATAAGTGTTGTGGAATATTTTCACCCTGTGAGGATAAATGGTTTAATTGAGCAATTTAAGTAAATTTATATAATTATTTAAAAATGTATATACAGTATATTTTATTTCAGCAGCAGCAGCAACAACCATTGTTTATCCACTGCTGGATGAAGGCCTCCCTACGCCATCACCATCCCTCAAGGCCTAGTGCTGCTACCATCCATCTCACTCCTGCACATCAACTCTATGTATGTTGAACTTCTTTCGCACCGTATGTAGCCAACCGTGCTAATCGGAGGTACGGGGGAAGGACAATCAAAGGTACGTGTTTCGAGAGCAGACGAACTGTACTTTTAAACGTGCAGTGGTGCAGTGAAATTATTAATTCAACTATGCTTCATTGAACACAGTTCCTAGGCAGTGTACAAGTGTTCAATGATGTATTACAATGTTTATATGAGAGCCTTTGCCTCCAATGGCACGTAGTGTCTTGAGATACAGCTGCCCAATTCAATGGAACGATTGCCGGCAGTCGGTGCGTACAGAGGACAAGTGCCAAAGTTTTCAGGCGAGTCTGCCTCCCATCACTGACAAAAGGCTCAGAGAAAATGTCAATGGAAACATAACAAATAAAAATACCAACAAGAACAGAGTGGCATTATAGTTTCATGGCAACGAGGCTCTGTATGAATCTCCCCGTGGCTCTTACCTCTGACACTAGATTTCTATTTTCTGTGACACTATTCTGTCTCCTTGTCCTGTTCCAATTCCCAGGGACTCTGTCCTGTCTCTCCTGTCTCTCCTTTTTACACCTCACTCCTAACGTGTTTCATGTCAAGTTTGATTTAAAAAGAAATGCAGTTTTCAGATACATCTAATAAAAGTCTAATTTCCGAAATAATACCAAGTAATTTTTTTGGGATAAAATTCCATCTTCGTGGCTTAATAATTTGTAATGTGATCATGGGAGTTGATATAAACACAGATTTCAATTACGTGAGCTTTTTTTACTTAATTGAGGTTTATTTTTTTTATCAAGGTGCAGTTGTATCTGTTCAAAGTCGATGTCACCCTGGTCAGTGAGTGGGGCTTCTATTCATTGGAGACCCTAAGCCAGTGGGATAAATACACATTTGATAGTCAGGGAGCCTGTCCCTTCACAGGACGAACACTCTTGACTTCCTACAAACTACTAATAATTTCAATAACCCCGGAGGGATGAAAAACTAAAACCAAACTATATTATTTTCCTGGGTAAAACCCGCCTGGCCATACGTGATAGCTCATCGAAGTGGCTGATATCATCATCATCACACGTGGGAATTTATAGAAGCAGCCAAGTAATATGACCGGATGTTGATTCTAAATGTGGAGGGGGACAAAACTGGAGTATCCGGAGAAAAAATCCACGTGACCACCACAGGGAGAGAGAGAGAACATGAGGACTCCAACTACACAACAGGCATCGTTAGGGTCAAAGTATTGAACCCACGACCTCCTGCACTCCAGGTGAGGGAGATAACATCTCCAGACCACGGAGTCCCTGATTCAACCCCTGACCAGGATGTGAATGCACAACCTTAAGAACGCGAGTAAAGTGCTCTAACCGCGGTGCCGCCCGACTGCATTACAAACACCACAATACTCTTTGTTTTAAAAGGGATTGCTTGTGTAAACATATTTAGGATGCAGAGGTCACGAGTGGACATGAACCCAGGTAAACAATCCATAGGTGGGCACTGGCTCAACAGCTCTCATATAACCTCTTCTAAAGGGATACATCTGCTTCGCCTATGTTATGATTACTTGAATAGCTTGAGGTCAGCTGAGTTCATGGCTACCAACATCATTAAAACTTCAAGTTTCGGTCAGCCATACACCCATGCTGAGACAAGAAAAACATTTAAAAAAATGTCCATCTATGGATCATGTGCACTCTCAGCAGAGGATGTAAAAAATAATATTTGTCTATAGCAGAGCATAGGTCTCCTATGGCTATAGCATAGGCATATAGCATAGGTCCCCTATGATACAGGCATAGCTCCTCTATGCTCTACGTTGCAACAGCTGCCCGCTGTGCGAACGTGCGGAGCTGGAGACAACAGCGCTCGCTGCCTCTGGCTGTGAGGTACAAGGGCGGTGCACCGGGCAGCCAGGCCCTGGTTCAGGAGGAGGGGGCTGCCACGTGACTTCATGGCTATGCCAGCTGATGTCTGCCTGAGGACTTTGTTTCAACGCTGTGTATACGTTGCCGACTGTGAAATCACGCGTAACAGCGTTTGCGAAGTAATACATAAATAGGGCCCTCGGAATAAAGAAGGGCCGTTTCAGAAACACGACTTTATGGATTATTCAAATCGAGGCTACAGGTTGGTAATGGAAGTGGTGGGAAATTTTTACTCTGCCACATTCCTACATGTCTGTAACTTCAGTTCTTAAAATTTTACTACACATACTGACTGACAGTTATGTAAAAAAAAAAGACGGCAAGTAGTTACGCATTCACCGACACGAAACGGACGGCACATGTAACACTTTAGATATTAAATACTGAATATGACAAATGTGGGTTAGCTACTGACCTTCTGTGCGATGCATAGTTGCCACTGATGTGCCCCGAGCCATCACAGCCAGGGGTCGGACACCTTAAGCGGACAGAGATAATAAAAGCAGTACAATGATGATGCCACCCCACATTGTTTACTTGTAAACGAAAATAAATATACTTCCAGATGATTCCATCTTTGTAAATTGGTGCATTTTTGTACCCTCCTTTTATATAATCACATTGATATTCCACCAAACACAGGGGTCATATTTACACTTCCATTAGTTTGTAAAGCAGCCACCGAGGTTGCTGTTAAACAATAAAAAATATATTATTGGTTCTTTCGGTAAAGTCACGTAGAGGGGAAACAATAAAATAATAAAAATATAAAACAATAAAATTCTCACGACGTTTCGACTGCAACACAAGCAATCATCATCAGGTGTGAAAACCACAGCAAGAACCAAGAATATGAATCCCTGCAGTCACGAAAGCTTTAAATCAAAATAAAAAAATATATTTCCCCCAGAAATAGTCGAGTTCTGTCATCCATGCGGTAACAGACATTACGCCTGCCTCCAACACAACACTGATGCTAACCTCTCTACACTATCAGCATGGTTTCATGTAGTCCATCAAACTTGCTCTGTGAACACAGCATAAATGAACCTCCTTCTCACCATCCCGTACGAGGATCATTATTCTCTAAATACAAAGCCCTTCCTACCGACACCTACATACCGAAACAATCAGCAAAAAATAAATTTGCGCAAAATATACTAAACAATATCCATTCGTAATGTGCACATATATTGTACTCATAATGGCATTGTTTATTGAGCCACATCATTGGATTATTACAAAGGGAGGGTGGTACCTTCATAGCAAAATATTTACCTTTCAAACCTTAATGCCTAAACCTAGCTCCAAAAACGGCCTTCATGCACTCTATTTAACTAGATGAGAGCCCATTGAGAATATTATTATCTTAACGCCCTATATTTAAGAGCCCATGAATATTTATTATTTCTTAATTTAACATTGACACCCTATTATAAAGTACAGTGTGTGCTTTACCGTGTGACCCCTTTGAGATGTATTATTTGCACACCTTGTTCATTGAACGAGGGTCCTTCGTGTCCTTTATTCCACCACGAAATCCCATTCTGATGCATTAATTCTTCATGAGACTTTCTGAACCAGGAATAACCTCACTGAAAATCACGTCTTCTTGATGTCCTCAATTTAACCAGAGCCCATGACATTATTTATTCATGTCCTTTATTTAACCATGACATCCCATTCTGTTGCATTCATTCTTGACGCGCTTTAACCAGGCGCAGCCGCCCTGAGAATCAACGTTTCACGGGCCTGAGAGACCATCTTTAACCATGCAAAGGCACGATGAGATTCATACTTTCTGAACAACCTTTAACTGTGACACCCCATTAAGATGGGGTGTCACAGTTGTGCTTCATGTCTTTTGTATTACTGTGACATCCGGGATTCATTACATGTTTTGCCGACCTATAGAGGAAGGTGTAACCCGATTGTAATCTTGATTTGAAGTTTTCGTGACTGCAAGGATCCATACTCTTTGGTTCTTTCGGTAAAGTCACGTAGGTAAAAATAAATAAATAAAACTAAAATGAAAACTAAATTAAATCACGGCGTTTCGGAGGCAACACAAGCTTCCTTCATCAGGTGCTGCCTCCCAAACGTCGTGATTTAATTTAGTTGTTTTCATTTATGTATTTTATTTATTTATTTATTTGCTACCTACGTGACTTTACCGAAAGAACCAAAGAGTAAACCCCATTGTTTTTCATGATTATTTTATATCCATTGTTTGGCCACTTGATTGGCCAACGAGATCAATATCTCTGGATCAGTGCCCTTTACGTAACCGTATCACATTACTATTCTATGGTTCTTTCGGTAAAGTCACGTAGATAGAAAAAAACTACGATAAAATAATAAAAATAAAGTGAATAAAATATCACCACGTTCTACAGGAACGGGCGTAGAGTGGATGCCCGGATGGCGTCTGTGGAAGAGCTACGTAGATGACACGTTTGTCATCTGGCCAAATGGCCGACAAGCTCTGAACCAATTCCTCAACCACATCAATTCCATACACCCATATTCTTGGTTCTTTCGGTAAAGTCACTTAGAAGGGAAACAATAAAATAATAAAAATATAAAACAAAAAAATTCTCACGACGTTTCGACTGCAACACAAGCAATCATCATCAGGTGTGAAAACCACAGCAAGAAAAAAATATAAAAAAGTGGCGGTTTTTTAACGTTAGCATCACGGAGAGCGATTTGACAGTTTGTTCAGATGGACGAGTCCATCTATGTTCGGAAAAGAGGGGGGAGACAAAAATAATGGATGCGGTCTGAAAGCCACCGTAAGCGTGAACAATCAATTAAGACCCGAAATGATTTATCAAATCCTTCCAATGATTGCTAAGCCAGAATCCATCTTCTCGGTTGAAATTGTCTCTGTGTTTGTATATGTGGATAGCCTCATGAACGAATCTCTCATGGTAGCCAGATGGCTTGCAAAGAACCTCTGTCTTGGAGAAGTCAATGTCATGTGAGCCTACTGAATTATAACAGTGATCTGCCACGACCGAGGTGTTGGTCCTACCGTGTTTTAGGTCTGCTTTGTGTTCACGAATGCGGTCCAAGACATGTCGTTTGGTTTCTCCAATATAACTACTACCACAGAGGCAACTTAGTTTGTAGACGCCAGAGTACTGTATGTCCGGAATCACATATTTTACAGACGGAACCAGATCACGGATTTTATGTAATCAAATTCACCATGGAGGTAGAAAAGCATGGCATGCTACCTTTCTTGGATGTCCTAATAAAAAAGAGACTAGATGGCTCAATAAGCCATTCTGTCTACAGGAAAGTAATTGGTGTAGACATACTGCGGGTGTCGGAGCTTTCTCCTACATTAACATTAGCTGCCCCGCCCATCTCTAAACCTTTATAAACAGCTCTTTGATTGGTGTAGACATACTGCGGGTGTCGAAGCTTTCTCCCACATTAACATTAGCTGCCTCGCCCATCTCTAAACCTTTATAAACAGCTTGCCCTCAGAGGCTAATCTCCCTCTTCCTGATGACGACCGCTTGCGTTGAAATCGAAACGTCGTGATATTTTTATTCACTTTACTTTTATTATTTTATTGTTATATTTTTTTCTATCGCCGTGACTTTACCAAAAGAACCATAAAATATTAATTCCTGCAGTCACCAAAGTTTTAAGTCAAAACATATCACATTACGTCAGACGTTCTTGCCATTGTGACGCCATCGACGCCAGTGTATTATTTATTTGGTTGATGTTCTTTAACCACGTGACAGCCCATTGAGAGAGTTGACTATGGTAGCGGACGCCTGCAATGTGGTGGTCTAGAGGTGGGGTTAGCGGATCGTGTGTTCTCTTTTGCATGCCAGAGGGACCCATCTGTGAGACACATGTAGGAGGCAGTACACCAATTGGATGCTGCCTTGTATGTGCAGATACACTGAATTATCTCCCTTTAGGCATGTGTTAATTCTGAGGATACCCTACCTGTGAAATACTCAATAAATAATTGACCAGACATGCCAAGCAGGGCTGTACTGAAAAAGCCTTGATATTTAAAGGACAACTGTGTATGTACGTATGTTGAACTTATTTCGCACCATACCTAGCCAACTGTGCTAATCCGAGGTGCGGGGGAAGGACAACGCACTAAACACAAAAAGCAGTTAAAAAGAAATTAGTTTTCAATCTAAATGACTGAAAAGTGCATAGCTCCAGTGGCTTCCTAATATTGGAAGGAAAAGCGTTCCAGATAGCCGCAGAAGCGCATCTGAAAGCCCGCGAACTGTGGCTCATCATCATGAAGCTACTCTATGGGTGTGCTCAGCGATGCACCATGTGGTACAATGTCTACGAGTGGCCCCTGACGGACTCGCCAGTAATCGCAGGGCCCCCTCGCGCTACTGATTAAGTGGTTTGGCGAGAAGCTGATGTGATGATAATGATGATCGTCATCATCGGCCATCATCACATCAGCCACGATGTATGATGCCCTTGCTAGATGAAGACGTCACAGAGCCGTCACCATGGCTCACAGTCCCATGATGCAACTAGAGCAGACCTGAGAAGATAAAGGAATGTGGAGAAGCTTTGCACGCTGACTGACCGACCCGGCGGCTTTGCTGGAGCAGAGGTAGGTTGATGATGATGATGATGGAGGCGTGAATAAAGTTATTCACAAGCACCCAAAAAAAGGGGACATTTACCACTATTTTAGTGTTCACATTTGGTGAACAGTACATAAGTTCTAAGCTATTGCAAACATCACTTGATTGTAAACAAATCACTTCATTAGGCGTCTTCGCAATAACGCTGCAAGGGAAGTGTGAATGAAATACCCTGCAGTGTCTGTAGCAGCTGTCAAAGCTGATTTATATATTGATGTGACGTTATCTTTTTAATGGTTTTATATTGAACGCGTTATTGTGTAGAAAAGAAAGCTGTCTCTGGTGTGGACCAATCAGTTTCTAAGGCAATGCATATATTATCAGAGTATGTTTTTTGTTTGCATTCTGACCACAAGTATTGTGGTTAATGCGGACATGATTCCTTGTGAAAGGTTTCAGTTTGGTGTTTTAACATCTTCACACAGCTGTGTTGTTGCCAGAAAAAAGGGGAAACCCTATTCTCATTAATATTAAATTCATCACAAAATCATGTCCGTTAACACGGACTCCAAAATCACATCCTATACTCCTACAAAACCGTTGCGTGTGTACGTAGCATTTGCCTACCAAAGGTTACTCCTTGATAGAAAACCTGAAGAAATGCCCCATGAACGCACGAGTTCATCCAGCCTTGAGTAGAACAATGCCGATTAATGTCCCAACTGAAGTGTGTTACAATTGTGGTCTTGCTCACTCAACTCAGCACCAACTAAAACACGTTCCACGTGAAGCCGCTCGACTCATTTGCCGAGTCAGGAAATGTGATCGTAATGCCAAATCATGCAACTTTATTTGCCTCCAGTGAAATAACACATCAACCTATCTTGACGCTAAAATGGATTTGTAAATGAATATTTGACTGAACTCATCACTCTGTACGGACCATCTCAGGCACTGCAATCAGAAAACTCTTACCTCTTGACAGTCCTTCCAAACCCATCTAGCCCCTGTTAGTGACAGCGCTTCGGTCAAATTTGCTCTCATATTTCGGACGCATCTTCCTCGACAACTGCGGTCACGCAACTCTATGTCTCGTTTTTGAAGCCAGGCACAAAAAAATACGGCCCTTTATTAAGGAATGTTTAATCAGCATATTGTTTACGAGAAGTGCGATCAGTGCTTGAATGCATTACCTGGGTGAATTGGCATTTCTGTCAGTTGAGTGCGGTGTGAACACAAGTGTGTAGGATGTGTATAATATACGGTGCTTTAGACTGGGTCTCGTATGAAGGGCATGGTATAAATGTATTATTTGTATTATGCTAACATGATTACTCAAGTCTGAGTGGCATAACACGTTGTTCCTGCAATGTACATTATGTTGGGATTTTTCTTTAAGATGTATCTAGCAAATGCCATGCGTGCCAGTGTGGATTTTCTTGTTTTGGCGAATGGCCTTAAACATTCAGGATGCATATTGGTTGCTGGAGATCTATCTACAACGTGTGTCTGTTCGTTTACACACACACACAATCGTACAAGTTATGCAAATTGTTGTCGCTATAACCATAATATAGAGGAGTTTCATCTTTGAGTAAAATATTTAACAAAAACATTACATGTTAAATATACCACCACAATCTACATTCCCACCTTTAAATAACTACAATTACCTACCCCCGAAAATAACTTTGTAGATAAAGTTGTTATATATGTTAATAACATCTGTTAATTACATATAACGCATATTTCCATTTCAATCACATTACTGGATGAGGACATGCCCCCTACGCAGTGCAAAAAGGTTTCAGTTACAATAAATTATTACAACACTGCAGCGTAGACAGAGGTGTGTATAATGGAACAGCATAGCCCATTAAGATACGTGTTATTGCTTTCTCTCTGTGGTATTACATGTACAATTACAGAAGGTCCACAGACTTACTTTAACTCTTGAGTGTTGGAGGTGATAATGCTCCTGATGTTCTTGTCTGCCAGTGGGCAGCCAGAGAGACTGTAAATACAACTACATTGTTTACTTTATTCATTGCAGTTTGCCCCTACATTAACAGATGGGAAACATTAACAGACGTATAAAATAAATAAAAATCTGTGCTTCGATTACAACTAGTCATAAAGTTGAAATACTCCTTTACATTATGAAATATTGTCGTATAGTATTCGTTAATATGTAATTGTGCTATTGTATAGGTGACAATAAATGTATCTGATGCAAATGGAAAGTAATCTATGTTTACTTTAAAAAATCCCATTGAGGGGGTATTTATTAACATGACTCCTTTTGAAGTTATATCTTGGCTGACGTATTACATCGTTAGGAATGGGATGGATCCAGGTCTGTGGCTTTGCTGGGATCTCCTGGATCCAGATCCATTTTCCAGATCCCCGTCAGATCCAAGGACGTTTCTGTGGCCAGCCACACAGGTGGAGGCTCTTTCAACTGGCAAGGAGGGTGGGCAAGTGCGATGACTTTTTGGCACTTACGGCACACAGAGTTACGCTTGAGCACGAGTATGTGTGGGGCACAATTACATGTACGTGCGTGTCTTTATGTATGTACGCGTTCTTATGTACACGCTGTATGTGGGGTGATCGGTGGTGTAGTTGTTAGCGCATGCCTTGCAACCTGGTAAATTACTGCCCACTGAGAAGGAGTTGGAGACTCCGCTGCTGAAGCTGGATCACGTCACGATAATGTGACCTCGCTATCAGCATCCCCACAAATACAAAGCACCTGCCGGGGTGTACTTGATTCCATTAAACACTCCATTGCCTCGACTCTTCGTGAGCAATGGGGGTTGGCTGTGGAGGGCATTGAGGGAAAGGAGTTCCCATACCCGGGGCTCTGTTGCTCTTGTCCAGCCCGAGCCGAGCCTGGCAGCGGAGGTCTCAAACCCGAGATCGATAACCTGGCGTTATCTTTAAATCTCAAACCCGAGATTGAATAGACTGCATAACGCTGTGCGGATGTTGCTTTCTCTGTCTTCCAACGATGCTCCGAGTCTTCTCGGCCGCAAGTCCTGCCGCCTTTGTCTCGACGCTCGTGAAACGATGGCCTGGCAACCAGTTTCAAACCAGCTTTAAAACATTAACCGAGACTGGATTTGGTGAGCTCAGAGATCTTTTTTTGAAAGATCTGGCCACCGTCATTATTGTTGTCTACTGTATATAATTCCTCTTATGTTGCAAAGCAGTGCAACCCATTTGTGACTACTATGTCTTCTTAACCACAAAGCCCAATTGTTAACTGGCACGGCATAGGAAGGGTTGGGTAATACGGGGCACAGATAATAGGAGTTTTAATTGTAGGACTGTTGTGTGTTCATGGATCAGAGTATATGTGATAAATATGTCTCTATATGTACATGTATTTAGTATGAGTGTTTTCTGTGTTGACTTGAAGCTTTCGTGACTGCAGGAATTCATACTCTTTGGGTCTTTCGGTAAAGTCACGTAGATAGAAAAATAGTAACCTGAAGACGATTGCTTGTGTTGCGATTGAAAGGTCGTAATTTGTTTTATCTACGTGACTTCACCGAAAGACCCAAAGAGTATGTTACGTGTCTTCATATATATACACACAATATGTTCATGTAATACACACATTTACAGTGTCTATCTTGTAACGTAATCTGTATAAATACACTATATACTACCTCACCTTAAGCTTTACAGTAAAACGTGGCAGTGTTGCCGGTGCGTGTCGTTTTTTTACCCGACGTAAATCCTGCAACGGTGGGACATTAAAATAGTGAAGCGGCGCAGATAAGATGAATAATTAATTGGGTTTGCTCACGTATATATAATTATATATAATTTATAATTTTATATATAATATATAATGTTCACGGTTTTAACGAGAACCCTCGCGTGAGCCCAATGGTGACACACACGAGCACGGATCAGGTGGCAAGCATCGTTCGCTTGGAGCCGCAGTCGTTACGGAGGGCGGACACTGGGGGGGGCGATGCTTCACACGCATCGCCCAAGAGGCTTCAAAAGCTGCCAGCCGCCGAGAAGCCTGGGTTCGAATCCCAGGCAGCTTGCCCTGTGATTAAACCGGATCGTCGCTCAGGTGTGGCGAATTGATGGTCTCAGCCCAGGCGTCAACGACTTCACAAGCACCCCCCCCCTCCCCCGTCACATCATAAATGCTGCACCCTGCTGAAATTTGATCAACTGCAGCTCAGATAATTAAGAGATCAGTCTTGACTGTCGACGTGGCGAACGTTCCTCTCGTATGCTGAGCGGCTGGGGAAGTCCTGCCTTCGAATGTGGGGGGGGGGGGGGGGGGGGGGCACTGATGACTTGGTGGGATTGTTAGAGGCAGCTCCGTTATGCCGGAGCAGTGACACATGGTTCAGTTACCAGCTTGTTTCAGAGGTTCAAGGTTGGAACCGGAGAGGCCGTCCTGGTTAATCGTGTGGGCGTATTAACCATACAAATACGTGCCGTCTGCTTTACAGTGAACATTACAGATCGCGTGATGTCTTTTGGAAAAAAAAGAGTCAGCCATCGTGTGCTGGCGTCATGGTCCAACATGACCAAATTTGAAAAATTACTCGCGTATTACTTAATCGGGAAACACACAATACACCGGTGCCCTCTAACTGCAGGACCCTCCTGAAAGAAGTGTTGAGACTCAGTGGGGCTTGGTGAAAACATACTTTTAGTAAACGTGTCTATCTGCTTCCGTGGCCTGTTCTCTATAACACAAAGGGCTGCGCTGCTCTCCGAGAGTCGTATCTTTCTGCTACCGTGGCCCGTTCTCTATCACGAGAGGTGGCAACGTTCTTACCGTGGCCCGTTCTCTAACATGATAGGTTCTAACGTTCTTACCGTGGCCCGTTCTCTATCACGAGAGGTTCTAACGTTCTTACCGTGGGCCATTCTCTATCACGAGAGGTTCTAACGTTCTTACCGTGGCCGTTCTCTAACACGAGAGGTGGCAATATTCTTACCGTGGCCCGTTCTCTAACACGAGAGGTGGTAACGTTCTTACCGTGGCCATTCTCTAACACGAGAGGTGGCAACGTTCTTACCGTGGCCGTTCTCTAACACGAGAGGTGGCAACGTTCTTACCGTGGCCCGTTCTCTAACACGAGAGGTGGCAACGTTCTTACCGTGGCCGTTCTCTAACACGAGAGGTGGCAACATTCTTACCGTGGCCCGTTCTCTAACACGAGACGTTGTAACGTTCTTACCGTGGCCCGTTATCTATCACGATAGGCTGTAACGTTCTTACCGTGGCCCATTCTCTAACACGATAGGCTGTAACGTTCTTACCGTGGCCCGTTCCTTAACAAGAGAGGCTGTAACCTTCTTACCGTGGCCCGTTCTCTAACACGATAGGTGGTAACGTTCTTACCGTGGCCGTTCTCTAACACGAGAGGTGGCAACGTTCTTACCATGGCCCGTTCTCTAACACGAGACGTTGTAACGTTCTTACCGTGGCCCGTTCTCTAACACGAGAGGTTCTAACGTTCTTACCGTGGCCCGTTCTGTAACATGAGACATTGTAACGTTCTTACCGTGGGCCGTTCTCTAACACGAGAGGTTCTAACGTTCTTACCATGGCCCGTTCTCTAACACGATAGGCTGTAACGTTCTTACCGTGGGCCGTTCTGTAACACGAGAGGTGGTAACCTTCTTACCGTGGGCCATTCTCTAACACGAGACGTTGTAACGTTCTTACCGTGGCCCATTCTCTAACACGATAGGCTGTAACGTTCTTACCATGGCCCGTTCTCTATCACGAGAGGTTGTAACGTTCTTACCGTGGCCCGTTCTCTATCACGAAAGTTTGTAACCTTCTTACCGTGGCCCGTTCCCTAACAGGAGAGGCTGTAACGTTCTTACCGTGGGCCGTTCTCTAACACGAGAGGTGGTAACCTTCTTACCGTGGGCCATTCTCTATCACGAGAGGTTGTAACGTTCTTACCGTGGCTCATTCTCTATCACGAGAGGTTGTAACGTTCTTACCGTGGGCCGTTCTCTAACACGAGAGGTTCTAACGTTCTTACCCACCCCGACTGGACATCTGTGACAAAAAGAGCTCTATAGCTCATCGGATTCCTTCAGTATAAAAACATCTTCCGATGATTTTGAACGCATGCTTTGTCTTACGACGCGACACTGATAGTCACGGACGGGATGAATTGGGGGAAGAGTAAAAATATATGAAGAACATCTTGGAGTCCTCATTTATTCAAAGACCTCCTGCCTCTCTCCTCCCACATCTCTCAGGTTTGTAGGACGCTGTACCTCCTACCTACACAAAACAACTCCCGCATCCTCCACTTCTTTTCCCCAGCGACTGCGTTGAGCCGCAACGCTCTCATCTACGGCCCACGTCCATCAAGACTCCTCACCCGCGCTCGTAATCAAGACCGCATCACCCCAATCCTCATTACCCTTCGATGGCTCTCAATCCAGTGGTATAAATCGACTACAAGACCGCTCTCACTGCCTTCACTTCATCCTGGCCGGGTGTGATCTCCACTCTTGCAACCAGAGCCTCTTCTTGAAACCCTGAGACGACCTCTGATAAGTCAGAGGTCACTCTCTGCTGCTGCTCTATAATCTGGAATGTTCTCTCCTCAGCCATCCATGCTGCTGACTGCCTACTACTGCTGTTTAAGTTTAGGATGAATGATTATATCTTCTCTTTTGTCCATCACTGACCACAATTATTGTATGTATATAAGACGTGCGGTTGTGTGTGTTCTTTCACCCACCCCCTCGTGTGCTGTGCCGGCCATCATAGGTGCTTGCTAACAGCACTTTCCCCAACAGTCTGATAAGGCTATACGGGGGAACTTTGTATTATATATATATATTTCTCCCTGTGTAACCTGTGATCCAGAGGTCCTACTTTCTGTACAACGTATTGAGATGCAGTTGCCTATACGTATGATAAGTTGTATCGCATTGTATTGTGCAACACATAGAGGGATCAGACCACGGTTAGAAACATGGGCACTGACTAAGAGAATGTAACAAAAGCTGGAGAGTGCATAAAGAAGCATGGGATAGCACAGAGAGATGGAAAAAGACACCCATGGATCGGACATCAAACGCAAATTAGAGACACCATATTTACTGTTACGGTCAGAGGGCTTCGACGAGACGGTAACGAGATGGGCTCGCATCTGATTACCGAGGAACGACCAAGCCCATGAGGGCACCACTGTGGAGATGGAGCACTGGAATCAGCCGGTGCGAGGTGGATTTCTGCATCACAGGACCGTGAGAGATGGTGGTGGATTGGGGAGGCCTTCATCCAGCAGTAAATAGATCACGGCTAAGGATGACACACTTGGGCTAACAATTGATTTACAATAAAAAAACAACTTTAGTATGGAAGTAATGCTTACGAGACGTTAATGAAGGCTTGATGTATTAAGTAATGTTTAAATGCGTTAGACATAACACCTTGAATTATTTTCCTGAAACAGGAATCAAACCCATGAAAAAGTGAGGGTGCATTACCCCCTTCTGCTACAGGGCGTTCTCCAACTGCACGATATTCTTTTGCCCGAAGATATAAAAATTGCAGTGCATCACTTGGACTGGCGTTGCCTGACCCCCTGACCCCCCTGGCTTCCCAGCTGCTGCCCAGACCCCCCACAGAAGCAGCCGCCACCATTGAGTCAGTCAGCCACACCACTCACAAAATGGCGGCGCTGCCAGCTGTTGCCAAGGAATGGTATTTTGGGAATCGTGGTTAAGCTCACCACCGCACCACGCACTGGAAATAAATAACTAAACACACATTTGCTATTTAAAAAAACAACAACTGTTTGTAACTTGTCATCTGATCATCCACCTTTGTCTCCGGAGAGGGAGAGGTTTTGCTAATTATGCGTAGAGACGGAGCGGTGCAATTCGCTGGGGGGGGGGGGTCGCATTGATGAATACAAGACGTGTTGAGCACACAAGGAGCACAGACTGAAGACCCTTTGCTTTCCCCACATTCGTCTGCAAAGAAGGGCGGGACAAAAATAAAATCGTCTCGTCTCACCCGTGTCTTCGCATGTCCGAACTGGGCTAGGAGAGTCCTTCGTATCGATTTCACATCATCGTGAGCTCTCGCGATAAATATAATGAGCCTTGGGGGATGTAAAATATTTATGTCAGTCTTTAAATAATTTATTGTACATGGTCTTATCATTGCCCCATATCCAGCACACCTATGGTGTGGTGTAGAGTAAACTAGGACCACCAACATGGCTCATGGATAATTAGAAATTATTCAAGTGCAATGTCTCGTCTTAGAATTGTGTAAACATAACTATAAAGCTATACCCCACTTCATAATAAATAAGAGGAACCACACCATATATATAAATGAAAGTACAAGTTTGTTTTATGTAATATCAAAGTCCATGACCTGTGTTTGAGTGTTTGTGTACAATGTGTGTACAGTATCATGTCATGGTATATGTGGTTTTAGATGTTAGCTGCATATTAAAGTATTCTAGATTTGTATGTGTATTTTTAGAAAGGTACTAAGGTTACCGTTTTAATACACTTCATTACTCTTGTCATCATACTGAGAATCAGAAGTGCTCATATTTAGCTGTGGGTACAGTGGATCAAGTCGGATTTGGATATAATCTACATCTGGCTTGTTGGCTGATGGATCCATCCCATTCCTTGAAGAATCGTTATAAGTTTGCTTGGTCATTTAATTAACATGACAGTTTTAAATGCACAGATATCAAATTTGAACCAGAACACCAAAATGTTAACATATGAACAAGTCAATATAATATGCACAGCAGTTTGCAAATTATGCAGTTTGCAATTTTGAATGATGATGATGACGATGACAATGGCAATAGGAGGACAGTGACGGGGTGGGCGACAGTGAGTGTGACGATGACGATGGTTGTGGTTGTGCTGTTCGGTTTCTCCGTTGGTTTACGTTGGGTACCCTACAGGTGACACTTGCCTCCTGTGTGATGCGTAGTTCCCAGTGACATGGCCACTTCCATCACACCCTGGAGTTGGGCAACTGCCAAAAAACAAACATGATTCTACCACCAGAAAATGGCATTTAGACTTGAATCTGTGCGTCGATATACGTGTACGTTTCTAAGTATAATTCGCTCATTCTTGCTCGGCCAAATCATCTCTTGTTCTTGGGTACAGGTCAAGGCCTATTTTCTCAGTTGGTAATGAACTGTTTGAAAGTTAAATACACATAAGAGAACGGTTGAATGTTTTACTAGAACGCTGCCAGCAAGCATCTCGGCTTCTTGCTAGGGGCCCTAGAAATAATCAGTGGATACAAACCAGGTAACTGGTAACCACACTTTCAGATGTACGAAGGCAGGCTGCGCTGGCACGTAGCTTAGATTCAAGAAGACACAGCTGAGCAAGGAATGTGGAGGCGCTCGCTAGCTGATGTCTTAAAGCCGGGGACCGAGGGCCCGGCTGTTGGCAGCCCCCGTGAGGTGGAACGAACAGGTGCACAGCGAAACGTAAAGTCGCCTTGCTCAGCGCCCACAACCCAGGATGAGTCCATCCATTGTTACATACATGAACTTTGAATGCCACCCAAAGCAGCAGATGAAGGTCTGACAAAGAGTACACGTGACAAGGACTTTAGGAAACGAAGACCTTGACAAATGATATATGCGATATTTCCAGAAAACGTGCTTCCATTTGCATGCTTCTATGCGCTTTAGAGAAGGGCATGTGCATAGAAGGAGGGCTAAAAACTACCATTTCTAAATTTGAATTCCATCCGCGGTGATAAAGCTAAGGACAGTTAAATAGTTAAAGATTCACACAGGCAGCCCAAACCATGTAGGCGACTGGCGTGCACGCCTTTTGCCGAGGAGACGCAAAACGACAACGCACAGCTTCCTAAGGTTTCTCGCAAAATTTTTCATCTAGTGAAATAGTGAGGGAGCTTGGCGACCTTGTGTGTATGCAATCTTACATACAATCATCTCTCCTCGATGTGGTCACGCAACAAGTAGTACGAACACCGAGGTATGCAAAAGTATAAAGTAATTAGTATTTACCCAGGAAAGCCTAAAAACTAATGTTTAAGATGATTCAGTGTTGAAATTTTGACCAATTCCGGTTATGAGTGTTTGGAGTACTTGGAGGACACCTATGCATCCGCCGAGATAACACGCAAAGCTCCACAGACTCAATCAAGTGAGTGGACCAAATCCCTCTTTTGGACTTAACCGATGTTTCCTCTATGTTAGGCGCTGTCACAGAAAGCAGGCATGGAGAAATGGATGAATGACGAGCGACGTTAATGCCACTATTTTCCCACCATTCTGCCAAAAGGTGGCAGATGATGCCATCTCTTTTCCACGCTCCTTCCTCAATGTGCTCCTTCTTTCAGAGGAACATCTGGACCCGGGTGTGTAACTTCCCGGGTGTGCAACCTACTGCCCAAGGCCCACAAAGTTTCCATGGCCTGTAGGAAGCTAGCAGATCCTCACTGGGGACTGCGCTCAAAAAAATGATTTTTGACCCCTGATTTTATACGGCCCCTCCTGCAGGACATCCTCAGTGTATGCACGAAAAATTGTTTGGTACACAATCTGAGCTGAACCTATCATGCCTTCTTAGCGGCCAGTTTATCATGATTCAGTACAAGTTTTAGACATGCGTAAAACTAGTAAACACTGCTATCTCAACTTGGTCTGAGTCACCTTTTGGTTGACTCAGCCTCATAATTAGGACCTGGTGCATTGCGCCAAAGTTATAGCTTGTGAGACAAAGGTGGCCAGGGAATTGTCCTAGCAACGCCATCTTGTGGTGGTGGTGGCGCACACCTGTAATTCAGCACTGTGGAGGTGAGGGTTGGTGGATTACCACACAAATATGTTATGAAATTCCATTTCCATGGGTGTCGTGGTGCTATGCCCTGGCTCGCCAGGAGTATACAGAGCAATAAAATGTGTACTGCACCTATTCCGTCTGTATGGGATAGAGTGTTTCCCCCTCGTACGCATTGGTTTTCTCCGAGCCATCGGATTTCCTCGCGCCTGCTCATCGCGTGGCTGCCTCCACGCTTGTCTCTGGTTCCTCGTGGCTTATGAGTTGTCCTCTCTCTTCGAGAGTGAGGGAAAGCTGTGCGCGTGATCAATCTAAACTATTATTATTAGTGCATATCTTAAGAGGTGCTTGGTACCAGCGCTTTGCTAGTCTATTAGGCTAATGAGACTCTCCGATATGAATGATATACATGATACTCAGGTGTGATGCCAGTATTGTGCTAAATCGTCAGTCCAAAGAGCACCCATATACTTCAGTTGGTCAAAATACATCCCCATCTGTCCATAGGCCTCGAAGCTTTCAGTCAGGTACCAATATTTGCCAAGCCGAGTGTGACAATCGAAGTGCACTTACACGCAACAATGGAGAGCTTGTCATGGCAAGTGTGATAATTGCCGTAAAATTTGCAAGATTGTTGATATGTAGGACACTTCATTTATCCAAACAAAGAGGAGAATTTGAAATAAAACTACAGCTTATGCAATGCCAACTTGGGCTATCCCCTTTATAGGTAATTTCTGCACAAGTTTTTTTTATTGGATGTGAAAGCGGGTGATTGCAGTGACCAGGGTAACTTTGGTTATTACAAAAATAAGTACTCACGCAATAATCTCTTTCTTGCCATCTTTACAATGACCATTCTTCACTTTGGGTCCTCGTAAGCTGATTTCTCTTGAATATCTCCTCTCCTCCATAAAATCTGGCAAGTCTTCAACCTGGTGTGGTCATAGAGCAGCAGCATCATTTAGTGACACTAGATTGTTGTCCCTCCCCGTGCACTTACGATTAGCACGGTTGGCTTGGTACGGTGCGAAAGGAGCTCAAAGTACATACAACATACATACATACAAGCAAGGAAGGATGCACGCTTGGAATTACGTCGAGAGAGAGAGAAAGAGGAACATCTGGCTTGGAGAACACGCAGGTTAATGACGTTATCCAAACTGTTAAGAAACATAGGCGGGCTTGGGCAGGACGCATCGCTAGAAGGGACGATGGACGATGGTCGAGAACAATAACGCAGAACAATAACGGAGAATAATAATGGAGAACAATGACGGAGAACACTAACGGAGAACAATGACGGAGAACAATGGCAGAGAATAACAATAGAGAACAATGACGGAGAACAATGACGGAGAACAATGACGGAGAATAATAATAGAGAACAATGACGGAGAACACTAACGGAGAACAATGACGGAGAACAATGACGGAGAACAATGACGGAGAACAATAACCGAGAATAATGACGGAGTGGCAGCCAAAGACTGCAACGTGTCCAAGAGCATGTCTACCAACGGGATGGAGCAACACAATCTGAGTTAGGAGGCCATCATCCAGCAGTGGATGGATCATGGCAGATGATGATTTGTATGTGTACTTTCCTCTGCAGTCAACACAACACAGAAAGATTAATTTATAATTGATTCATCACGCACCACCCCCCCCCCCCCTCCCACTTCACCCCAACCGTGTATCCTGCGCATTCTTCTTTCGTACGGCTGATGTAGATGCAGAGCAACCACCACAATTTCAAATTCAGGTGGTCAAGCCAGATAAGCGCGTCAAGAGCAGCGGAGTGTATCGCTGTGATGTCTCCTTCATATTTGTTGATCGAGCCATTGCGTCGTTATATGTTGTGCGTTCTGTTTTGGATGACCACAAGTCGCAGACTACCGGAGAGTTTTTAGTTCTCCATTTGTGCATTCAGTGGTGTAGCTATATTGCAGTCCGTTCTCCTATAACGCCCGCGATAACACGTGAGATGCATATGCAGGCTGAACAAAGACTGAGGGTGCGTGGGTAGCATCTAGAAGCATCCAGCAGCATCCCGCCTTGTGCGACGCTACGCCAAGGCAGCCGCGGGTCCGCTTATTCCTACTCGCACGACGTAGTTCCGTTCACTGGATCGCGTTGTGCCCAATTTTCATCCGCGTAAAAAAAATAAAAATAAACGTGTTCCCTAATGCAGTCGTCGCGTTACATCCGATTCGCCTCGCGCTACACCGACGCGTTACAGGAGAACGGACTGCGTACCTCCTTCTGCGGCTCCGCCTCCATGGGCCTCCCCGTGTGGGGAGGGTAGTCCCCGGGGGTGTCCCACGGGTTGTGAGCGTCGGCCAGCAGGCAGGCGCGCCCTCCGCCGCCCAGGAGGCTGGCGCCAGGGCTGTGCAGGGAGTACGGGCTTGGCGAGCCCACCAAGCTGCTGCCACCGCCTCCACCGACCAGCTCGCGGTTCTGGCTCAAGCCGAGCTCCATGCTGCCTCTCTCGCCCATGTCCAGCGGCTGACTCTGCGCAAGACATTATTTTTTTTTTACGAAAAAGGATGATAACAATTGCAGCGGTTTGTTACCGACGCCAGAGAATCCTCTGCGGACGAGTCGTTCATTAGTTCTATGCAGAGTCGTCCGCAATGTTAATGACGTATTTTAAATAAATAAAAAGACTGAAACTCTATTGCGCATTGTTGTGGAGCATTATTATGGATCTGTGCAGTCTTTGAGCGTTTGTTTCGGCTGCACAAATGTACGTCCGCGCAACAGTGCAGTCCGGCTAGCTGGTGCGGTGGTTGGGGTGAGTTGAAGTCCCAGTTGGTGACCAGCTCTCTTTCATCGAAATTGTACTTTTTTTCAATATTATACTACTACTTATGTTTCAGTTTCCAGTAAGAAATTCATTATTTTCATATTGATGAAGCATTTCAGTTTCAATTCACGGGAATAACACTGCACTCACACTCTGGGAGCCAATTTGCCCTCGGTTACATTGTGGCAGTTAACCCCTGACGATGAACACAGTACTCTATTCCACTCTCAGGCACATTATTCCTGGATCACCCTGTGCCACGCAACGATAACCTGCCATTAGGAGGTCCTCTGGGCAAAAAAACTTCTCTGAGACATTTTGTTACATTATAGATGCAACATAAATGCAAGAATTAGATATTGTTATTATTCATGGTTCTTTGGTGGAGTGGTGGGGGTTTTAATTAACATCAGCGCCCCCTCCTTCACCAACCCGTACTGACCAGCGTGGTGAAGTATGGTCAAACAAAACCAATGGCCGATCCAGCTATGGAAACACCTTTATCCAGCAGTTGCTTGAAAGTGGGCTATTAACCCAAATAAACTAAAAACTAATTTTTATTTTGATTAAAAAGCGACCTGGCCACAAATGCTCGCTCAAATACGTGTTTTTTCACGTGGCAATTTATTGCAGCCAACGCATGTTTCTAAATGTGGATGGAAAAACCAGAGGACCCGGAGAAAAATCCACGCGACCACGGGGAGAACATGCAAATTCAAAATATTCAGGTGTCAGGGTCGGGATCGGTACCCACGACCTCCTGTACATTAGGCAAGGGAGTAAACATCTCGCCACCATGGTGCCGCACCACAGCTATTCGACCTGCCCATCAAATAGCTGCGGTGAACCACTTTATCATGCTGGCTGGACAGAGGCGAGGTAGTTAACAGCCCGCCACCGCAGGATGCAACGTCGTTAGGCCGAGGAGGTGTTGGCGACGTACTTGCGTGGGTGTGAGCTCTTGGCTGCGGCTGAAGAGCGGCTGCGGCGACTCCCAGCAGCGCGTGGACAGGTTGATGATGGCTGTCGCGGCCATGTGAGCTGCCTCGTCGTCGTGGATGTAGTCGAAGCTGGCCGGCTGGCTGCAGCTCGGCGGGTAGCCGCTGTCCGCCGGGCTGCACGAAGCCAGCGGTTTGACGTAGTGGTCACCTGCGCACGCGGATAAAAGGCGACGGCATCCCGTGTAGCCTCAACAGAAATTTTGTGGCAAGTGCCGTGGGACCTGTGAAGGCCGGCGCGGCACGTGAGGGGCGTGGGTGACCAGCGCCATGTCCGGCCGCCTTTGTCGCCCCAGTGGCGATGTTTGAACACATCGCAGCGAGGTACTCATTTGAGGCTGAATCGATCTAAGGGAGGCCCAGGACCGTTTCAGATAATCGTCGAGTTTCAATCCAATGTCATTTTTTATGCCACCAATAATCGTAAAATAATTATTCGCATCCCCTTTTTCAATCACCTGATAAAACGTCTTTAGGTCGTATTTTTACAGTCAGCGAATAGAGAAGAAGTGGATAGCATCTCTCATGTCTTCATGAAATGTTTCAAACACTCTCTCTGAGTATTCTGCTGTCAGTTCATAGCCTTAATAAAATTAGATGTAGAAAAGGTTTTGTTGGTTGTGAACTCCTCTTCTACAATATTATTTTCAACTTCCTTGAAATCTGATGTGTTATTAATCTGATCAAAACAAATTTGAGCATCGATAATTATGATATGAGGATAATTTGCAAAGCAGACTTAGGATTATTGTGGATCTTATATTTGGACTTCTGATTAGCATGATTGGCTACGTACGGTGCGACAGAAGTTCAACATACATACATAGGCTATATCATAGTATCGTCATATTTAAGCAACCCCAGTTCTCGGGCCAGAGTGAGCGGTGCAGTGACATATGTGAAGCGAAGAATCCGCGACTCACCCGTGTAAGTCAGCGGTGAAGACTCCCGTTCGGGTCCTTTGGATAGTACGGCACACTTTCCAAAATCGGGCACATCGAATGTCGGATATTCATACACACTCTCGGAGTACTTCTCCAACTCCTTGGTGAGGTTCGAGCGAGGTGTCACGGGCGACACGTTAGTCCTCTCACCGTAGCCTGGGATGTCCAGTTGCTTAACATAGCACATGGGCCTGTGATTGGAGAGGGGGCGGTGGGGGGGAAAACAAAAAATGTGCCAGAAAAAAGGGTAAAAACCTATTACTATATCTTGTTACTGGCAAAGGAGGTCTCATAATGTAAATGCTTACCCCGAGCTCTCAATACTCTTGATGGTGTGCTGTTTTTGAGTTGCACGCCTTTTGGCGTCTTCTGGTCCAACACCAGCGGAGACTAGGCTCTAAGAAAAGCCGTCTCGGGTGTGGACCAATCAAATTCAAGGACAGTGCATATTATCAGAGTTGTCTTTTTTGTTTGCATTTTGACTGCTTGTGTTGTGGTTATCGCAAACATGGTCCCTTGTATAAAGGTGTCAGTTTTTGTGCCAGATAAAAGGGTAAAACCCTATTACTATAATGGTCATTCCCACAACGGTGCGAGGCGGACGAGCTCTTGCAGAATGACTGTCACGTGTGAGGCAGCTTCCTGTGATGTCTGCTGACAGCCACATCGGTCGTACATTTATTTCTCGTTTCAACGTCTTTCCACGAATACTCCCACGGGCAGTGACATGGGCCCAAAGCTGGCGCGTCCACCGCTGGTTGCAGAGGATCCGGTGACCCACCACCCCCCACCCCCGATGAATACTGCGCTGGTGTAACAATCACGGATGATTACACGCTCCGTCTGCTCCACTCGCGGTGGATGTTAAAATGTACCCTGACGTCGTCCGTAATAGTCGGCCTTCGTGCGCTGGTGTCATGGGCACCCAACTGGCAGGCGAATGCCCCAGGTCACTCTAGGTCGCTCTTGCAAATCAGAGTATCCTAGTCTCTCGAGTTCTCAACAAAATAAACTCATCTAAAAAGCTAAACCTCAGAGTGAGGCCCTAAACCACTCTTTGCTTAGCACCCCCGCCCCCAGCACCACTTCTGCCCCCCCCCCCCGTCAGTATAAATAGGTCCCACCACATTTAGTCGATCAGCAGGTCACGTGTGGTGGGGTAAAGTGTGGGTATGCCCGTCTCTTCGAACGCGTCTGGGCAAACGTGGAGGGCTAGACTGGCATTCGCTTTGGCGGTGTTCGCTCGAGTCGGAGGCCCTTCCACCAACAGTGGAGTGAGGAAGCAACATTTCAGGGCTGCACCTTTACATGAGATTGTGTGGACCCGGGGCAACTCTTTCAGGTGAAGTACCAGGAGAGGGATGCTAACACAACAGTAATTTGACGCACTTGCAAGTCGAGAAAAACATGTGAGAATGTCCCACGAGTAAGCGAGGAGCGAGCCAAAGCTGTGAGAATCTCTAAAATATCCCTCCCCCCACTCCCCCGCCCCTCCAATTAGCACCATTGGCTACATTTAGTGTGAATAGAAGTTCAACATACGTACATACATGCCCGTGCTATTTTTTAACGAGTGCTTTTAGGCTTGAAAGGAAACTGCTGATGTGTGCACACGTGCCAATGGTAAGTCAAGAGTGCTGTAATGATAATTTAACTTTATTTAAAAATACCTCAGCTCACCATATTGTTCAGGATCGTATGCAACAAAGTTATCCAACGCGGGTGGTGATTGTGAGATTTACATTATGAGACCTCCTTTGCCAGTGCATATTATCAGAGTTGTCTTTTTTGTTTGTATTTTGACTGCTTGTGTTGTGGTTATTGCAAACATGATGCCTTGAATAAAGGTGTCAGTTTTTGTGCCAGTTAAAAGGGTAAAATCTATTCCTAGATTGTGAGATTGTCGAGCTGTAGCCTGGGAAACAATGCTGAGGGTTTATGGTTTGCGTGCGATCAAGATAAGCAGTGTAAGCCACTTCGGTGAGCTATCATTTGTGGCCAGGACGCTTCTGAAAAAGGAGCTAATAGCTCAGTGGGCTCTACCTGATAAAATAAAAAGTTTTTGTTTTAGTGATTTGTTTACCATTCCTATACTTTGCACTCATATCGTTTTTTCTGTACTGTTTGTTGTTGTAACGTAACCCCGTGCAGTATAAATACATATTTTGATTCTGGCGCTAGGCAGCTGCGGTTTCAACAGGTGGCCGCGCCAGTCGCCACACGCAGCATCCTCGCAGAGCCTCGACCGTGGTGGGTGAGCCCCGCCAAGTGAGTTTTGTCTTCTGCTGCCCTGTGCCACTAAATCAACGAGGATGGCCATCACACTTCTCCATTTATTATTCATCGTTTTGGCAGTTTCCACTTGATGATGATGATGATGACGATGGCTAATATGTGTGGCAATGTCCGATCCACAAATACAAAGGAGACACCACGGCAACACACTCCGCTGACTCCCTGACCACCTCGATGTGAGATTGTAGTTGTTGCTCTGCGTATACATCAGCAGCCACACGACAACAAGAAGAATAAGAAGAATACGACTTCTCTTGGCCAGTGTCGTCACGATGTAGCTGTCATTAGGCTACTCCACATTCTTCACATGCCCCGTGACCAATGATCCACCCACAGAGTTCTCTAACGCTTGCATGCCATGCAGGGCAGCGTAGAGCGGGAACGTCAACTTCTGCCTGCCACCCTCTGGGGGTCTGAAGTGGCCATGAGCTTAAGTCAAATTAACGTTCAGAGATTTGTGCGAAATATTACAATAGTTACGTAATAATTTAGAGCCATTCTTAAAAAAAAAAACACTGTCGGATGAAGACCTCCACCGCGATGATTGTTTGACCATACTTCACCACGCTGGTGGAGTGCGTGTTCGTAAAGGGCGTTGGGCCCAGGGCCGGTTCAGATATCAGTCGTCACGTTAACTGTGGCTGGGAACCCGGCACACTGTTCGCTAACTACATCACCACCAATCTCCTTTGCTATAACATGGCCAACTCAATTTTTTTACGACCAACTCCAATAAATCATGCATCAAATGGTGCATAGTTCCATCACAAAAGACCGGTTACAGCAATTACCCTCATATAAATTAATGCAATTAAAGATTCAGACTAATGTGTGCCTGTTCACTAATGTGTACTATTAACTGAGAATTACTCAAGCTACAGACAGATGTTACCTGTGCCCAATTGTGCATGATGTCACGCTTTGAAGGTCACGCTAATTAGATAATTGTGCTGCTTAAGGTGTGCGTGCTAAATTGCATCTACATTCTCATGCACTCTGCCAAGTTTATAAAATTGAATCAACTTGGGGGTGTGCGAGGAACCGTAGTCTGGTCACAACGCTCAGTGGCTCAATTGCATTAGCGCCTACTTCTTAGCTGAGCAACAACGAAAGTTAGTTGAAGGACTGAAAACTTTCCCTGCAAGAAATGTGTTACTTTGTCAATAATTCCTCAGAGGTATATAAGTGTTGGTAACTGATAATCAACAATACAGGTGTAAATTTGTAAATACAGTAATGAATATGTAAACAAACAAACACAACATCTGCGGTAATCAATGGGCTTGTTGTAACTATGAATGCAAATAAAACAACTTTAGTTAAAATATTTCACCCGGATAACACCTCGAGATGGAAAACCTCATTTGTAAGGGTGTCTCGAGCGTCAATTAGCACACAGAGGAAACATCGCGTACACAGTAAACACAAATCTGGATTTACATGGCATCTAAACGCAAACTGTGCCTCGTGAAAAACTGCGGCGTAAATATCTAAAGTTTTTTTTATATATACATACCCTGTATAAATGTCGATGAATCAACTTGAGTGCGGAAGACAGACAAGGTCAGAGGTGAAAGGGAACGCTCTTAAGTCTGGTGGATGGGAGGCAGTGCCCCAGAGCCAGTAGGAGCGGCAGAGGGAGAGACACGTTGTTTGTAAAATCCGTGAGGCGAACCCGGCAAATGCGACGAGCGTTACCTGAGGACGCGGTCGGACCGCGGGCTGGATTTGAGGCCCTCGCTGCTGGGCTGCTGCTTCACGTGGTGGGTTTTGGCGAGTTTTTCTGCAGCTGCAATGGGGCACCCCGACAGGCTAGAGTGCGGAAGCCAGGATAGACAAAGGCAAGATGGAAAACAAAAGAGAATGGTTACAAAGATTGTTTAAAGAATATACAATTATATCTCGACTAAAGACGGATCTATACTCTTTGGTTCTTCTTCCACAGCAGTTTTTTTCTTCTTGCTGTGGTTGTCCCACCTGATGACGATTGCTTGTGTTGCGATCGAAACGTCGTGATCTATTATTATTTCTCTACCTACCACGTGACTTTACCGAAAGGACCAAAGAGTATGGATTCCTGCAGTCACGAAAGCTTCAAATCAAGATTAAAGACGTATCTGTTTAAAATGTCTGCCTCTGTCTTTAGTTACTTCCAAACGTCTTTCTCACTTCTTGCTCTTTCCTTGGTTGATGTTAAACTATTTCCGCCTTTCCATGCATAGCGGCTTGAGAACGATTGTTTAAGGGAGCGCTTCATGAACTTAAATTATTGTAAAAGATCAGGACCATCAAGAGGCATCAATCTACCATGTCCTTAACCCAGGGCAGCTCGTACCTCACCCAGGCACTGAGGCAGTGAGAAAAAGATGAGGAATTGTGCACATCTACATTCATCTTGAAGCCGGCAGGGGTCAGCGCTACGCATTTTGATATTTCATTTTCTGAAAATCCGTGTACGGATATAGGAAAACACAAAAATAAGGCACTTGTCTGACAAAATGTGTTTGTATAAGTTAAAAGTACTTTCTTAAAAATCTTCTAGAAAAAAACTCGATTTGCATAGATATTTTATTGAAGAAAATAATAAGTGTGAAACTGAAAAATGTTTCCATACAGAGGTTTTATATATACATATTGTTTTTTTGCAAAGGCATTAACCCTACACCACAGAAACAAGATAGTAATGTTAACAAAGACATTTCTACGTGTACAATGTACTGATCAAATTCTAACCAATACTGCTCACAGGTGGATGAAGCTCACAGGACTTATTTGAAGACAAAAACCACTGATATAACTAACACATTAAGAGTAGCCCATTGAAGTAGCAAGGACAGTGCATACATTATCAGAGTTGTTGTTTTTTGTTTGCGTTCCGACCGCAGGTATTGTGGTCAATGTAAACATGACTCCTTGTAAAAAAAGGTGTCAGTTTTGTTGCCAGATAAAAGGGTAAAAAAACAATTAACATATTTTGTTACTGGCAAATGAGGTTTCCAATAGCAAGTCCCGTTGAAGTACAGTGACATGGCTTTCGTCGAAGTTGTTTGAGACAATTCGAAGTTGTTTGAGATCATGCACGTATGAAAAAGTATCCATGCCAGAATGACAAAGCAGAGGGAGTGACCCCCCACACGTAGCGACAGTTGGTGACGTCATGGGAGGATTCTCGAGCACCGACGAAGCTCAAAGCGGTTGCAGAGAAACGTCGCCGTTGGTTGGGGTCCGGTTTAGTCAGTCTTAAGTCTTAAAGCCTCCAGCGAGGAGGAGCTTTATCGGTCACAATCTCATCATCAACACACTGGCCACGAAGAAGTAAGATATGTGTAAACGTGACAATCTTGTCGGGTGTTTGAGGGTCCATGACTAGGATATGGCAGCGTAAAGTCACCACCACCACCACCGATCCCTAAAACAAATCTCGACAAAAAGATATACTGCAATTATGATTTAACCTCACTTTTTGTTAATCAAACAAATTTAATACTGTGACATTCGTATGACAAGCGATAGGAAAGATTAATTCATTTAATTATATCTGCTATGAAAGGTCATAAATCAAATTGTCCTTAATTAAAATTAAATATGGACACATTCCATTTAAATTGTTAATGGAGTATTTCACTTTTAATGTTGGTAAAATTTGCACAATAATGATGCTTATGTAAGATACCGTATGCATAATACGTTCCTTTGTTTTGTCCAAAGTTTACTAATTAAAACATAAATCTCATCTCCTCTGCTTCATGGTGGGAGCATTGTGTAACCCTAATGCAGGGGTATCAAACCTTTAAACTTACTAGCTACACATGTTATTCATTAGGAAAAGCTCACAGTATCCTTGCTACACTGCGAAATGACGGCGTATTTTCCAAAAAAAAAATTTCATTATTCGCATGGTTTGTAGAATTCCTCTCGTTCGCAATCACCTTTCAATTAATTCTGCATTTCCGTACCTGCCGAACGGGCTCAAAATTCTTCTTCTTGTTGTCTGACAATTTCCAACGCAGTGCAACCTATGACGACAATATTCCCGTTGCGTTGGCAAGGGGAAACCTACGATTCCGTAGCACGTTGTGCCGCACGAGTCACGAGGGCAGTTCGAGTGTGGCCCCACTCGGACTGTCTCACGAGCGCGCGGTCCCTGCCGTCCCCCCCCCACCACCTCTCTCTGCATCTCTCCAAGTGTCACAAGGAAAACACTAAACACGATCTCTGTTCCATGTTATATCTATTGACTTTAAATCCAGTCACACACAAAAAAAGGGGTAGGCTGAGTTTGAACCTAATTAACACACTCGTGAATTGGTACAAACTTTTATGAGCGTGCAGGTAAGCACGGATGTATGTATGTTGAACTTCTTTTGCTCCGCAAATAGCCAACCGTGCTAATCGGAGATACGGGAAGTACACGTGTATCTGTCAATAAACTGCTGTTAACCGGTGTTCTAAACTATGCTGTGAATTAGGTAAATGAACCCTGCCATGAAGACTTCAAACCGGGCAGTCGTAAGCAAAAGTTACTAATGAAAGCAAGCCAAATGTTAGGGCTGGCTGATACACACAAGTAGAGCTGCGTTTTGTGTTTAGTTTGTTGTCCTTCCCCCGCACCTCCGATTGGCACGGTTGGCTACGTACGGTGCGAGAGAAGTTCAACATCCGTACGCACGAGTATAATGTGAGTTGGCCAGGTGGCTGAGGGTTCAGATCGCTCAACCGGAACTGCTGAGATCCTCGATTCTAATCCAGACAGCCATCCATGGTTAAACGCGAGTCTCAAATGGAGTGAGTTGATAGTCTTAGCCTTGTGACCAATAACTCAATAAAATATAGGGTTTTAGAAAAAAAAAAGTTTTGGCTAAATTCCATCACTGAGAATAAAAAAAATGTCAATTCCATTGGCATGCAACATCAACCATTTCTACGACGCACGAGTGTTGGGGAGGGGGAATGTGTGTGCCTGCTAGTGTCTGGATAAATAGAGGTCACTTGAAGCGTCTCAGGAGCGCGTCGACGACACCGCGAGCCACTGTCGAGCACGCGGAGTGGCCCTGCTCCGTGAGAGATGTCCGGAAACCCACCCCGTCTCCTCGTCGTGGTGCCAACGGCGCAATTGGAATACGAAGGCGCAAAGGACAGCACATTTTGTTCTCCGCTACAACGCTTTAACATTGCGGCAATTGCATTGTTATTATTACTCAGGATATTTACAGTGAGGGAAAAAAGTATTTGATCACCTGCTAATTTTGTACGTTTGCCCACTGACAAAGAAATGATCAGTCTATAATTTTAATGGTAGGTTTATTTGAAGAGTGAGAGACAGAATAACAACAAAATCCAGAAAAACGCATGTCAAAAATGTTATAAATTGATTTGCATTTTAATGAGGGAAATAAGTATTTGACCCCCTCTCAATCAGAAATATTTCTGGCTCCCAGGTGTCTTTTGTACAGGTAACGAGCTGAGATTAGGAGCATACTCTTAAAGGGAGTGCTCCTAATCTCAGCTTGTTACCTGTATAAAAGGCACCTGTCCACAGAAGCAATTAATCAATCAGATTCCAAACTCTCCACCATGGCCAAGACCAAAGAGCTCTCCAAGGATGTCAGAGACAAGATTGTAGACCTACACAATGCTGTAATGGGATAAAAGACCAGTGCCAAGCAGCTTGGTGAGAAGGTGACAACAGTTGGTGCGATTATTCGCAAATGGAAGAAACACAAAAGAACTGTCAATCTCCCTCGGCCTGGTGCTCCATGCAAGATCTCACCTCGTGGAGTTGCAATGATCATGAGAAGGGTGAGGAATCAGCCCAGAACTACAGGGGAGGATCTTGTCAATCATCTCAAGGCAGCTGGGACCATAGTCACCAAGAAAACAATTGGTAATACACTACGCCGTGAAGGACTGAAATCCTGCAGCGCCCGCAAGGTCCCCCTGCTCAAGAAAGCACATATACATGGCCGTCTGAAGTTTGCCAATGAACATCTGATTGATTCAGAGGTCAACAGGGTGAACGTGTTGTGGTCAGATGAGACCAAAATGGAGCTCTTTGGCATCAACTCAACTCGCCGTGTTTGGAGGAGAGAGGAATGCTGTCTATGACCCCAAGAACACCATCCCCACCGTCAAACATGGAGGTGGAAACATTTATGCTTTGGGGGTGTTTTTCTGCTAAGGGGACAGGACAACTTCACCGCATCAAAGGGACGATGGACGGGACCATGCACCGTCAAATCTTGGGTGAGAACCTCCTTCCCTCAGCCAGGGCATTGAAAATGGGTCGTGAATGGGTATTCCTGCATGACAATGACCCAAAACATATGGCCAAGGCAACAAAGGAGCGGCTCAACAAGAAGCACATTAAGGTCCTGGAGTGGCCTAGCCAGTCTCCAGACCTTAATCCCATAGAAAATCTGTGGAGGGAGCTGAAGGTTCGAGTTGCCAAACGTCAGCCTCGAAACCTTAATGACTTGGAGAAAATCTGCAAAGAGGAGTGGGACAAAATCCCTCCTGAGATGTGTGCAAACATGGTGGCCAACTACAAGAAACGTCTAACCTCTGTGATTGCCAACAAGGGTTTTGCCACCAAGTACTAAGTCATGTTTTGCAGAGGGGGTCAAATAGTTATTTCGCTCATTAAAATGCAAATCAATTTATAACATTTTTGACATGCGTTTTTCTGGATTTTGTTGTTGTTATTCTGTCTCTCACTGTTCAAATAAACCTACCATTAAACTTATAGACTGATCATTTCTTTGTCAGTGCGCAAACGTACAAAATCAACAGGGGATCAAATACTTTTTTCCCTC